CGATATTGTCCTATCCCCTTCCCAGGGTTTGCCCTACCCACCCTGATTTGCGGTCTTTAATATCCCTGTCTAAGGGCCGTTAGGTCTTTATTGCTTTATTAGATATTTTGCCTAGCAATCTAATCTCGAGAATCTGTTGAAAACAGCATTAAAGCAATATTGAATAAATATTACTTTTCTAAATTGTTAAGTTACTATTTTGCATTATTTTGTTAACAGTAAATCACCCAAAGTTTAAAAATATATTTTTTCGCCTATCTCAACTTGTTATAGACCTAAATAGAACGCCGAGCGTGGAAATATTTTCTGTGTCATTATGAAACGACAAAGTTTCAACTTTAGAAATTTGGAAAAGGGTTCATGGCGCCAAGTTCCGCATTTATTTATTGTATCAATTACTGCAGATAACCCGAACTAATAAACGTCACACCATCACCAAAAGTCTTTGATGTTTGGCTTCCTTGTCCTGTTTTTCTAGTTGTTGTCTCCAACTACTAACCACATCCTCCATCATGTTCCTGTTTTTCTGTTTCTCAATAGTTGACATCCTGATTGTATAAGGTGCGAATCGTGGTGCGCAAAAAATGTCCTAATTCCGGGGATTATTTGCCGGAGAATACCGGAAATCTCCGACAATACCACGACGTCCTTTGTGTTTTCTGCCGTTTCTATAAATAACCATACCTTATCCTGGAAGTCTTGAAGACAAATTGTTATCTGCCGCCTAGACGGTGTAGGAACTCCGGTTCGAGATTATCTCGATATCAGGCCAAGGTCGTTATTGTTTTAACCGTAGAATCAATTAGGTGTCGTTTTTTTTTTCTTTCCATTTTGAGCTCTAACAAAAATGCAGGCAGGGAAATACAGTCATATGAAGTTTCAGGTCTGTCTCGGTGGGAGGGTCAGAGCTAAAATTGGGGCTAGGGTTAGAATAGGGCTGGTAAGTAGGTCACCATCCATTACTATGGCTCATGCAGGTTTTATTGAGCCGTAGAACTGGTTGGGGACCTACTTACCAGCCCTATTAGTGCAAGGTTCAAGGTTAGGTTTCGGGTCATGTCTACAATTACCGTTAGGACAGGCGTTTGAGTCGACATGATGGCTGAGGTATCGATACTGGGGAAAAAAAGACTTTTTCCAAGTACATAATTACGTATCGCAATGTCTAAATCAAACGATATTCGATTATTTGTTATCACACATTTCAAATTTTTCAAAATCCCTTCCAGGCTGGCGAAATAGTTCAACAAAGTTTTAAGGGAATTGCACTTTGGTTAGATGGCTGAATATGCATATAATTTATCTTTCATAATGAAAACAAATTAATTATAAAAGATAGATGGGAATTTGTCGATAAAATGTTTTCATTCAAAAGTGAGCGAAAAAAAAGTCACCGAAAAACAAAATTTATTTCGTTTCTACAGTAACGCTAAAAATCAATAATTACACTTTTTATAAATTCTCGCCCACGAGCGAGATTAAATGGAAGATGAGCGAAGCAATTTATATAAGCTTTCACCAAATAAACAAAAATCGTTTCTGTTTTCATTGCTGTTTTTAATGGTTTGTAGGGTTGTTTTTTTATTGTTGTTGATTCCTTTATTTAGAAAACTATTTTGAGTTTGAAAAATATTTTAAATTGGTTGTTATAGTACAGTGTTGTTGAGAGACGGCAATGAAAGAAACGTATTGTGTCGCTTCTGTAAATAAGGCCGCAGTTAACATAGCTCATTTTGGGGTTAGTTGCTCATCTTGGGGTCAGTAGTTTATCTTGGGGTCAGTAGCTCATCTTGGGGTCAGTAGCTTACCTTGGGGTCAGTAGTTTATCTTGGGGTCAGTAGCTCATCTTGGGGTCAGTAGCTTACCTTGGGGTCAGTAGTTTATCTTGGGGTCAGTAGCTCATCTTGTGGTCAGTAGCTTACCTGGGGTCAGTAGCTCATCTTGGGGTCAGTAGCTTACCTTGGGGTCAGTAGTTTATCTTGGGGTCAGTAGCTCATCTTGTGGTCAGTAGCTTACCTTGGGGTCAGTAGTTTATCTTGGGGTCAGTAGTTTATCTTGGGGTCAGTAGCTCATCTTGTGGTCAGTAGCTTACCTGGGGTCAGTAGTTTATCTTGGGGTCAGTGGCTTACCTGAGGGTCAGTAGCTTACCTGGTGGTCAGTAGTTTATCTTGGGGTCAGTAGCTCATCTTGTGGTCAGTAGCTTACCTTGGGGTCAGTAGTTTATCTTGGGGTCAGTAGCTCATCTTGTGGTCAGTAGTTTATCTTGGGGTCAGTAGTTTATCTTGGGGTCAGTAGCTTACCTTGGGGTCAGTAGCTTACCTGGGGTCAGTAGTTTATCTTGGGGTCAGTAGCTTACCTTGGGGTCAGTAGTTTATCTTGGGGTCAGTGGCTTACCTTGGGGTCAGTAGCTTACCTGGGGTCAGTAGCTTACCTGGGGTCAGTAGTTTATCTTGGGGTCAGTAGCTTACCTGGGGTCAGTAGCTTACCTGGGGTCAGTAGTTTATCTTGGGGTCAGTGGCTTACCTTGGGGTCAGTAGCTTACCTGGGGTCAGTAGTTTATCTTGGGGTCAGTGGCTTACCTGGGGGTCAGTAGCTTACCTGGGGTCAGTAGTTTATCTTGGGGTCAGTGGCTTACCTTGGGGTCAGTAGTTTATCTTGGGGTCAGTAGTTTATCTTGGGGTCAGTAGCTCATCTTGTGGTCAGTAGCTTACCTGGGGTCAGTAGTTTATCTTGGGGTCAGTGGCTTACCTGAGGGTCAGTAGCTTACCTGGTGGTCAGTAGTTTATCTTGGGGTCAGTAGCTCATCTTGTGGTCAGTAGCTTACCTTGGGGTCAGTAGTTTATCTTGGGGTCAGTGGCTTATCTGGGGGTCAGTAGCTTACCTGGGGGTAGCTTTTCTTGATCAGATAATCTCCTTGGGGACAGTAACACACTTAACTCGTTGCATAGTTCTCTTAAGCTCTTTATTATTTGAGATGGATCTAACACAGGGGTCGGCAACCTTTTGAGACGGAAGAGCCAAAAGTTACAATTTTCCAAATTTCCCAGTTTTTAAAGAGCCACAAACATTTTGTATACCAATATTTTATTATTCGATTAGGATTAGGTAAATAAATTTGATTTTGCTATTTAAAATAAATAGCTTTAAATATGACATGCACTTCTTTCGCGAGAATAATGAAATTAGTAATACAAATAAACAACGTAGGACTATCCCAATCCACTTTAGAAGCAGTTAACTTTTTCTTTCTTTACGAGCATCACATGCTCAGTGGGTGTCTCCCATTAGCCAAGCGGGCCTCAACACGGCAAACTCAACTGGCTTGGGTATCGGTTTGATTAGCGTGTATCGGTCTTTTCTGTCCTTTGGATCTCACCAGGCTTTATTCTAACACATATTATATCCTGCCCTAACTATTCACCATCTGCGATTCTCTACCATCTTCATCCTGACTCATCTACAACCCTTCATTTATCTTTCTTTTTGTTGCATAATTTTTAGTGTAATTAAGTTTATACTTAATTATATGCAATCTCAGATTGCAAATTTTATTTCCTTATGGTGTTGTTTTTGATAAAACAAAATGTACTGTTTTATTTTTTTTAACTATCTTTTCTAAATAAACAAAAAAAAATTCTCCAAACATTCACCTTTATAACAACAACAACAAATGTCAATTGTCTTACTTATTTTATTTCGCAATCCCAAGTGTTTTATCTAATCTCATGGACTTTACAAAACAGTTTACTCATTAGCTTCATCATTATACGAGGGCGACGCCATTAATACCTTTAACCGCAGGTATATTTCTTTACGTCACTCATACTGAGTTTATAAAGTAAGGGGAGAGAAGCAGGAAATAAAGCTTATAAAACAAATCTTTATCCGCCCCTGTCTTCCTACATTCATCCATTATGACGTCATCCCGCATTATCCATTATCTCTTCACCGTCTACGCCATCACCCTTGACCTATCCAGCATCCAAGCCTACGTAATGCTAACCGGCTACGTCATTACAGCAAGGAGAATGTGAAATAGTAATTAGCATTAAGCGGCCCGTCGACTGGTTGAGCACCCGTGCATGCGACGGGGAAATTATTGATCACACGGCAAGCTGTTTAGGCACTTGCCTGGAGCAAGACAGACACACAAAAAATGTCTAACTTGTGTACAGGTAGTGTGGGTACGTGTGGGGTCCAATCGATTTTTTTTTTTACTGAATCGTGGGTATTCTTGGTATGCATGTATATTATAGATAAATTATGTATTTTATCAAGGTTCCATTTTAAGAACGTGACGGTACAAAAGCAGGTGAAGTAGAGTTCTTCTATTGTTGTTTTTTTTTACATCGGCATATGAAGGGATAGTGTTGTCAGAACTACATCTGGTCGGGTTTAATTTCCCCAGCTCAAACCAGGTACTCATTAGAGCTGAGTGGACTCCTGTACTACCTCGGGGTTCGAACCTGGGAACCTGACTCGATACGTGCGTGCTAATAACTGTAAGCTCTACCCCTCGACAACAGCATACTAATATATACCACAAATTACTTTTACTAAATAAAAGTACGTTGATATAATTTAAAAAGGTTTTGTTTTTTTTTTCTTATTCCAGACATCATCTGATTCCCCGCCATAAGAGCCGCCATGTTTACATCCTCCGTTATAGGCCGCCCCACCGTGAGCCGCTCCGAGGAGAGCCCGCTTGGCAGCATGCACCTCAACGCCATCAACGGCTCCTCCGACTCCAACAGCTTCAGCCCGTTCGGCCACTCGAGCCAACCCCGGGCCATCGGTGGCCTGTACGGCGCCTCCCTCTCCGACAACCACCCCTACCGTCCTCAGGACTCTGGCACCAGCTTTCACGAGACGAAGAAAAACTCCGGCCAGTCAACAGGTCAGCCAACAGGTCAGTCTACAGGTCAGCCTACAGGTCAGCCTGCGCCAACAGGAGATCCCGTCACACCCAACAGGCCAACTTCCTATCACTACAACTGCAACCAGATCATCACTCGGCAGAGAGAAACGCTGGAGAATCTGAGGAGCACCATCATGGCGTCGCCGGAAGTACCGCGCCGGCGCAGTCTTGACCTGGATCACAAAGGGAAGCCCCATTCGTGCTGCGATGAGTTGTTGATGTCGTTGGAAGAGGCTGAAATGTTGAGGAGCAAGAGCTCTCCTCTAGCTGATGATGTGGCTGCCCTCAGCCTAAACGAGGTGGGTGTACTTTCGTTTAAATATTTTTTTACAGAGTGAATGATTTCTACTATAGACTAAATCGCGTTAGTACTGTCTTTGTCTTAATCTCTTTAACCAGCCGAAATTAATAATAAAACTAGGTTTGGGCTTTGGTGCGGGTTTGGTCGGACGCTAGTGTAGACATCTTATGACTTGATAGGCAGTGGTTCCCATCTGGGTGTTGTCTAAGTGAAAATAACACACACAACATCACTACTGTATTAGTTTTACATGAACTCTACTTCACCTAGAATTCTAGCACTCATGTGTTGAGAAAGTCAGAACAAACACCGAGAGCTGATTATGACAGAAACAATAGCTCAGTTTATCGAGAAAAGTTTAATGTTTTGTGTTTAGTTTTTAACATAGCCTCGAATTATTGCCTGAACGTGTAGGTAGACAAAACGAAATTTACAAATCAAGATCTACAAGTATGTTATCTAGTATCTATTTGTATCACCAGCATCACACCTTGGCACACGAATCAGTCATCTACGAGACAGACAACCGCGACAGCAAAGGTGCGCCAAAGTTGACACAGGAGCTCAAAAAACGACGCCGCTACCACACTGCCGACTCAGCGACAACAGAGAGGGCTATCAAGCTCTTGGAGAAAATAAAAGGTACGGACCTCCCACGCCTATTCTGTTCATCTTTTATTGTATGTCACCGAAGCTCTCATACTTCAGAAGTTTTTTTTTTTTTTTTTTTTTTTGGGAGGGGGGGGGGGGGTTATAAACCAAAATAATGATGAGTGCGCATGCGTGGATGTATGTATGACTGATGACCCTGACATGACGAGAACAGAGAGCAAAATCTCACCGGTTTGAATACAACGAAAAAGAATTTATATAGAAAGTATATACTTTTATCAGTGTCCCCCCCCCCGGATAATGTAGTCCACCTCCCCGTCCCCTCCCCTGAACATGTCATGCCGCCCCTTTCCCGGAAAGCAAGGTCTGAAAGAAACTCTGAATCCAGAGCTCTAAACATTCCCAGACCTGAGCCAGGTGATGAACACTGCCCTGCCCACACCATTACCCCTGTAATCCACAGCTCCATATTTGATTTGACTCACAACAACACCACCCACTTTCCATTACAGACAGCAAGAAAGACGCGAGCGCCACCGCCCACAAACACAGCAAACTCCGAGAAGAAGAAGAGGACGAGCAGAGCATCAACCGCCAGTCAACATCGCCTTCCAAATCCACCGGTAGTTCCCGCCACAACGTCTTACGTCATCTGTCGGACACGGCTCAGCCCAAAGACAAAGCGCCATCTGGTAGCAAACGATCCAAAGACAACAAACTCTTGTCAAGAGCCAGCGTTGATTAGAGTCCGGCTAATTAACTAATTAACAGAGGAAAAAAATAACATTTTAGAAATGTTATTTCATTGTTTTTTTTTCACCCAAAAATTGTTTTGATGAAAACTAAGAAGATTTCTTTGATGCTGCTTATAACAAAATAACCTAAACCTTGCACAAATTAAGTTGGTCTAGAACTTTGATGATGATATTAATGGTTGAGTGAGCAAGAATGACGACGCGTGAATCGAGCATTTGTAGATGTGGTGCTTGTGGATGAGGTGGTTGTCGATGTGGATGTGGTGTTTACGGGTGTGGGTGTGGGTGTGGTAGTTCTGGATGTGGATGTGGATGTGGATGCGGTAATTGTGGATGTGGTGGTTGTCGGTATGGGTGTAGGTGTGGTAGTTGTGGATGCGGTAGTTGTGGATGTGGTGGTTGTGTATGAGGTGGTTGTGAGTGTGGTGGTGACGATATATCATGTGACACATACGTCCAGTCGGTAGCGTAGTGTGCGCGTAGGAGCAGCTCACCCTTGACCCTTAGTCACGTGACATTCATACCTGTAAGTATGGTTGACACAAACTGACTGGACATGATTGCAATTTTTTTTAAACTATTTGTATTATTTTGTACGCGACTCCCCTATATATAAATAAATTGTTAAAATCTCGGGCGAAATACCAGACAAATTATATTTCTGACCAAATCCCAGAAAAAAAAATTGTCATATTTCAAAATATTTTTTTAAATAATCTCACTGACTAATCAAGACCAAAAAAGTCACTACGAAATCCCATACACAATATCCCAGACAAAATCAAAGACAAAATATCTCATTAAACAAACTACAGCTAAAAGACTTCAAGATCTAATATACTTGAATAATCATGGAAATGAATTTTTAAAAAAAAAAAAAAAACAACACTGGAACTAATGTCTACAGATTAAAAAAAAATGACAAACACATGACTCAATGTTACGTATCACAATGTAAAACAATCTATTGATTGTTTGTGTAAATAATGTACATATATTTTTCAGTATTTTACCCCCCCCCCCCCCCACCCACCCACCTTATGCTGTGCCATATTGGCTTCCCGTTCTGTTAAACCAGACTTTGATCAATTCTTTTGTTTTTCTTTACACGACGAGTCGTACTATCCCCTCTGTCGTCTGATTATGTGTGACTCGATTCTCAAGGAGACATGTGATTTTTACCCACCCTGAGACTAGTGACTTGGGTGATTGTGGTGGGGGAGGGAGACTTCAATGATATACCCCCCACCCCTCCACACACACAAACACACACTCGGATTCATATATTCTGCTGCTGTTTAACGAGGCTCACTTTTCAACAAAAGAATATTTTCATCGTTATTTTTGTGCACTATGTCTTATAATATTTTTTTTTACAAAAAATTGAGTTATGATACAGTGAGAATCACATTGTTTGTTTGTTTTAGTATATGTGATTTTCAGTAAAAAAATGTTTTTTACTTTTGAATTCCTCTGACTTTTAGGGATATCTTACAATGCCACGCTAATTTTGCTCTATCCAATTCTTTACTTGTTCTCCATCCAGCTCGCTTACCTGTAGCATTCCCTCCCCCCCCCCCCCCCCATCCCCTCTTACTCATATGTCGATCCACAATATGTGATGCGTATCCATTTTTTCATATTCCTCATAGAATATTTTAATTTCTCAACTCACACATCACACTTCACCCTTACCCCTCCCCCCCTAAATAATTGCCCAACCATCCATTACAAACTCAAACAAAGCCTTCAAATTGTGATACGTTTTTATATATCCCTATTTTTTTAATTGTGATACGTTTTGTATATCCCTTAATTTCTAAAATATGATACGTTGTATATATCCTTCAATTGTGTGATAACATTTATGAATCCCTTTGTCATTAAATGTTATACATTTTACATATCCTTTAATTATTTTTTTTTTATTTTCCTGTGTGACATTATAAATGTTACCGGCAAAGTGAGATATGTAGGCATTTTGGAGCGTGGCAAACCATTTTTAGGCCAAGTGTGAGATATAGGTACAGAAGAAATGTTAAATGACAAAATGGTTATCAATAAACGAATAGACACAAAAAAGTGATAGGCTGTGTAATAGTCAGTAAATGTTTTTAAACAATCAAACATGTTACGATTTACTTTGGAGAACGGATGCGCTTATTCTACACTTTGCCGGATTCATGTTTGGTATTCTATAGAATGCTGGGTGTCGCATTTTTCCGGTAGCATACTTTGTGTGTATATATATATATATATATATATATATATATATATATATATATATATATATATATATATATATATATATATATATATATATATATATATATATATATATATATATATTCACATTTATATTTAACATGTAATCGGCTGGCCGAGCGAACTAAATGTTTGCCCATTTTTACATGTATGAACTGTAACATTGTCTATTATTCATCCATTTGCCGCACACACATAATCGTATGTATGTGTTAATGATGAAACTATTTACTTCAACCGTCAGGCTAATCCTAACCCTCGCCCTAACACACAGAAATACGAATATGCGGGTAGGGACCTGTTGTAAAACGATAAGAACCCCGTGCTTATTGTAAAATAGCGTCATATTTGTTGTTGTTATTTTCATTATCAAGCTTTGTACAAGATTTCTGAACTTAGAAGTGCATTTTAACGTGTCTTTAATATTTTTAGCTGCTTTTTATCAAATTGTATGTGTCAACAAGCTATTTTTAGTGTCCATGTTTGGGATTGTATCTCTAAAAATAGCTACAAAGATTAATCTGACCAATCGATGAGGTTCTTTTAATTGTGTTTACTTCGTGTGACCTTTGATACTGGGTAATGTTATTGCTATTTAGAATGTTGATCTTTTATTTTTTATCAAAATAATAAAGATATTTTGAACATAAAATCGACGTACGTTTTGTTTGATACATCGTCCAAAATGTTTGATAATAGTTACGTTAAACGCGACTACAAATACGTTCAATGTAGGTGAGGCTATGGCATACCGTTTCTTCTTCTTCGTTCTTTAATGTATTTATATCGGAAGGTTTAGACAACAAGACCAACTTTGTTGAGGAACTGGACTGTGGTCTCCAGATCTTCGGGCGTCCCATACAGTTTACCCACCTTTTGAAAGTTTGGGATTTTTATCAGTTGCGACCAGATCGCACAGATACCGATTTTTAAAGCAACGCTCTGATAACCCTAGCCTAAAATATCGGATATTTTTTATAACAAGCTTTTACTCAGTTCACAATGTCCGTTTGTTTGTGGCATTGTGCTAAATCCTGTAACTCAATTTTGAAACTTTCTTCTTCGGTGACAATACAAGAAAATTTAATTTTTAATTAAATTAGAGAGACAATTTTAAAATGACTATATTAAATAATAAAAGCGGAGCTAACAAGATAAAATACTAGCTAGCGACCACGTGATGAGAGGGCCGTGAACTGTTTGTCACGGTTGGCTGATTTCCACCCTATCGACGACCACGAACGAAGCAAGGGCAGATAACTGAAGTTACTGGTCGGGTTTTAACGAAAATAGTTTTAATTGTAACCTATGTAGTGTCAACTTCATTTCGAATGAATGACTAAAAAGTAGAAAATAAAGCACATTTTATAAAAAAAAACATATATTAGAAGGAGCTTTTAAATGCACTGAAAATAAGTAAATAAAACTAATTTGCTTCCTCTAATAAAAAACTTGGTCGTTGAAATATTATGTAAGAGATCTCATTAGCTACCAAAAATGTTTATTAAAGAAAGCAAATTAGTTTTATTTTCTTATTTCTAATGCTTTTAAAAACTTCCTATTTTAAAGGTTTTTAGACAAGTTTTATTATGTGGGGCTTGGGACATCTATAAAACAACCTTTAAAAAAACACGATAAATGTAAAGATACGAAACGCGTTTAATCCAGTCTGTTTGCTAGTCATTAATCGAATTGTATGCCCCAGGTTGTGTCGCCCACACAACGTAGAAATGTTGCGCTGATGAGATGAGAGAGAAAAAAAAAAAAAAGAGTTCTAATCAAAGGTGAGACAACCAAGCCTCATCCAAACATCGAGAGTTGTGTTTTCTTTGATCCGGTGCAAGCGTCCTCAACTTTCTCAAATGTTGCGCGATTCGAATACACGCAAGATGGTAATCGATTATTGCATGCTTTAAGTATACTCAGAAGAGTCGCTATTATTTAAATTCTATTATCTAATACTCGAAAAGTTAATTGAACCTTAAGTATGGGGTAGGTTCACTAAAGCAGTGTTTTCTCTGCGAGATCTGACGGTGTATCAGAAAAGTGGAGTAAAATATTGACAAATCATTTTGGTAGATTGTCGTGGGTATTGAATGGTAAACGTGAAACAACGTATTCAAATAAAAACGTTAGCTTAAGGCAGAAACGGATAAACACTTTTCAGAATTCTGTAACTAAGGCTGATTATAGGTGGTAATTTAAAAAATAGCTAGTAAATAAGTCATGTTATAGCTGGTAACTAAGTCATATTATAGCTAGTAACTCAGTCATATTATAGCTGGTACCTCAGTCATGTTATCAGAGGCGAAACGATGGGGGGGGTTACATATGTCCCCGGGCGCCGACCTTAGGGGGCGCCAAAATGGGTTGTAAAAACAAATTAAAATCTCATTTTAGCTGCATTTTGCATTATAAAATTTAAAATATATATGGGGGTGGGGGCTCAAATTGAAAGTTTGAGGGGGGTGTAAATTGAAAGTTTGAGGAGGGAGGGTGCAAATTGAAAATTTGCTCCCGAGGGGGGCGCCAAATTGAAAGTTTGTCCCCTGGCGCCGGGAAGGGTCACTACGCCTCTGCATGTTATAGCTGGTAATTACGTCATAGTATAGCTGGTAACTCAGTCATATTATGGCTGGTAACTCAGTCATATTATAGCTGGTAACTCAGACATATTATGGCTGTAACTAAGTCATATTGTGACTGGTAACAAAGACGGGTTATACTCGGAAACTAAGTAAATGAATATCTGCGTGCTCAGTCTGCTAAGAACTCAATTTAGCCCCTCATTATCACTCATTATTGAAAGTCTTAAGCTGCACTGGGTGTCGGCTTATAAAGGAACAAAACCACTTCATCGACAAAATTATTTCAGTGTATCCTCTTAGTGAACCTAAGCCAAAACACAAGTTGTATGTATAGTTAAATACACGTTTGCAGACTTGTCTTAAAATTTGGGGTCAATTGGGCAAAAAAATAATTCTGATACTTAAAATTCATGTCGTCGCTCCAATAAGCTGATTGGCCTAATTCTAATTAATTAATTCCGCTGTCTACGAGTACCTAGTTCGATTATTTCTTTTGATCAATAAACCGTGAAGGTCGCGAGTCGACCAAGAAACACGTGAGTAACGGTTTTAGTAAACACGTGAGTAACGGTTTTAGTAAACACGTGAGTAACGGTTTTAGTAAACACGTGAGTAACGGTTTTAGTAAACACGTGAGTAACGGTTTTAGTAAACACGTGAGTAACGGTTTTAGTAAACACGTGAGTAACGGTTTTAGTAAACACATGAGTTACGTTTTTAGTAAACACGTGAGTAACGGTTTTAGTAAACACGTGAGTAACCATTTTAAAGTAAACACGTGAGTAACGGTTTTAGTAAACACGTGAGTAACGGTTTTTGTAAACACGTGAGTAACGGTTTTTGTAAGCACGTGAGTAACGGTTTTAGTAAACACGTGAGTAACGGTTTTAGTAAACACGTGAGTAACGGTTTTAATCATGGGATTATTGTCTCGTTGACGGTCTCAGTAATGGGCTCAGTAACGGGTTGAATCAATATGTGAATAACGGTCCATAGCACCCTAATCAATTGCACTCTAATCCAAAGCTAGTACTTTAATCCATAGAATTTTAATCCATGGTTCTTTAGTCCAGGACATATGAATTCATTGAGCTCTAATCACAAAGGACTTTAAATCATTACACTCTAAATAATTCTAAAGCTAAAACAACTATTACACACTTTTATATGTGGCCTTCATGTCGATGGCCCTTTAGTGTCTGGCCCTCTAACTCATGGCCCTTTTGAATGTGGCCAAGTTTTAAAAGGCTATGATAACACACAAGAGTAAAGTTTTTGTTTTTAAATTTTCTTTAAAATCGCCCATAGTGCGCCCAAACACGACCAAAAAGCGACCATTCATTATTCGTGATTGTTATGTATCTTCATATTCACAACATTGATGCGTTTATTATCAATAAAAAAAAAATAAAGTAAAGTAACTAAAAAATCAGCTGAATAACACATCAAATAAATTTAAAAATTTATTCATCAAAATTTAAAAGATCAATTAATAAACACAATGCATAATTAGGTAAGAAAGTCGGGTAAATAATGCACGTTTCATGTGTCAGTAAAAGTAAACATTACTTAAGTAAAAAAAACAATGTATACGCTAATTTAGCGTATTATAATTCTACTTCACAATACATTTTTTTTCTTATTCGAATTCAGCACACAGAAGAAAACAATCATAAAACAGGTACAATAAAATTTTAATATAACAAATGTGATCTACTCTAGAAAAATGACATTCTACACTACCTTATTAACAATTTACTCAGTCTAGAGAAAACGACCTGGCTATAACCAGGAGCGTATCTTCACATTTCAACACCAGGGGCGGGCCCTTTAGCGCATCCTTTAATGGCTACATCTACATACATTGATACAAGATTTATATCCAAGTTTTATTGGAATGGAAGTAAAAACTGACACACACAAAAACGACGTCACATATCTTGGACGTATTTAAAAATATGTGTTTTGGCAATTTGATAACTTGCTAATGGGAAGAAATTTTTTTGACGATGAACTAGAGAGACAAAAGAAACTATACGACAAAACATGGGCAGACTACTGCGGCTTCAAAACAAAATATGGGCAGACAACTGAGGCCACATGACAAGATATGGGCAGATAACTGCGTCTACATAACAATATATGGGCAGACAACTGCGGCTACATAACAAGATATGGGCCGACAACTGACAAAATATGGGCAGACAACTGAAAAAAATGGGCAGACAACTGCGGCTACATGACGAGATATGGGCAGACAACTGAAAAAAATGGGCAGACAACTGCGGCTACATGACGAGATATGGGCAGACAACTGACAAAATATGGGCAGACAAATGACAAAATATGGGCAGACAACTGCGGCAACATGACAAGATATGGACAGACAACTGACAAAATATGGGCAGACAACTGACAAAATATGGGCAGACAACTGACAAAATATGGGCAGACAACTGACAAAATATGGGCAGACAACTGACAAAATATGGGCAGACAACTGACAAAATATGGGCAGACAACTGACAAAATATGGGCAGACAACTGACAAAATATGGGCAGACAACTGCGGCTACATTGCAAGATATGGGCAGACAACCCGAGGTCACCGAAACAGGTGAACTCTACTTGTCCCATAGATCGTCAGGTTTGAATAGGAAATTTACTTACTTATCTTTACCAACAGTTAGTTTTCAACAAATCTGTTAGTTTATGTGCGTCATTAAACAGTTTCAATCTACACTTGTTTTTATTTGACAATTTGGCTAATTGCAGGGCGAATGTCAGAAATCTAACCCTGAAATCTTGCACAAGAAATCACGCCGAGTATATATGGAACTATGCTGGAACACGGTGTGTCACTGGCTAAAACTCAAGGTTTGAGAGTAAAAACTACACAACTATGTAACAAGGTTGTCTAGCTACAAATAGTACAATAGAAGTCATAAAACGCTCAATGAGTCACGGTTAATCAGCATATGAACTCATAGTAAATCACACATAGCTCACTTCGTCATTACTAGTTTGTTTGGTTTTTTTTTTTTGTTTTTTTTTTTTTTTTTTTTTTTGCAAGCGCTTGCACCCGACAAGAGGAAATTACTCACGCGTAAGGAGTAATAACATAATATAACAATCTCCGCCTTAAGCTATGACCCAGGTATTGCATTAAATCAGTCAACTGAAAACCGTTACAATACTTGTTGGCGTCTCAACAAGGCAAAAAATATCAAATTCATCCAGCCTCAATCTGTTTCGTGCAGGAAAAAAAATAAGCGCAAATCTCTTCTTTGCTTAGAGACGTCGCCTTTTTTTGGAAATACAACTTGGTTTTCTGCATGTCAATATCTAGGACGGCGCCATCTTTTTTCCTTCTGAAAATAAAATAAGGACAAGTAAATACAAATCTATTCCCAGATACAATACATTCTTAATCGTCAGACAGATGTAATTATAGAGAGGAAGTCATAAAGAGTGAAGAGATGTTGGGATGTCTTCAAGTTGTGGTATTGTGATGTCATGTCATGATGTTGTGATGAGGAGATGTTGGGATGTTGTCAATTTTAAGTATTGTGATGTTGTCATAATGTTGTGGTGGCGAAGTGGTATGGTGTGGTGATTAAACTAGACAACAACAAATAATAACACATTAAAATAATGATCATTTAAATTATATTAAATTAAACGCAAGACCAGATAACCGATTATAATATTTTTATTACTACAACAATTAAATTTAATAGACCATTAAAATTTAATTTAATAAATTTAATTACTAATAAACTCACTAATAAAAAAAACTAGATAACCAAATTAATTTACCTAACTAAGGAGTTATCTAACCAGCCCTAACCTTTCATTTTCTGCATCAGCTGTAGTGTCCTCTCCGTATTTGTGTAGTCAGACAGGTGGTAACGTCTAACACTCTTGTAAGATTTAGCCGCCTGTGGTGCCAATGTGTTGGAGACGTCTGACTCGTCACTAATGGAGGCCGGTGTTCTAACCTCGTTCTGACAACAATATTACACTTTGTTTAACAGTACTCATAAAAACTCACATTTTTTACAAACTAAAGGTGTGTTTAATTTTATGTTTTTAAAAAAGTGTATTAACAAATTGTATTTTAAGAGTATTGTCAAGTGATAGAGCTTTCAATTACAACAGAGAAGGAATCGAGTTTGGATCCCATATTGTTATAGAAATATACTGCTTGACGACAAAGATAAAAGCTCAATGAATGACAGAGTACCTCGTTAGTAATTGGCCTACAGGTTTAAATTTTAAATTGGAATTATTTTTATAACCTTCAACACAATGCGATATTTAACTTGTATTGTAACTATTTGCGACAAAAGTGGTTATTTCCGAAAGTGTTAATCTTTTGATAAGTGAATGATTTTTTTCTATTTTCAAATAGATTTTCTACACGTCAACAACTTGTCTAATTGAATTATTTTCTTTAAATAAAGAAAAACAGTAGGTCGCTCTGGATTATAATTAGAAAATTTTCCAGCTAAAATTGGAACGTTGCGTTGTTTTTTCTTCTATTTTAAGAACAAGAGTGGGTTCGCGGACAGTGTAATGCAGCAATTACTGGAAAAATCAAAGAGTTACTAAAGATGGAAACAGGCGATGCAGACGTGACTTACATTGGTGATGTTGAGGTCGGACAAGGTCAAGGCACTTGGTCGATCCTCGTCATATTCAAGGTCGTGCTGCGTCACGTGACCTCTGCTCTGGTCCAGCTCTTCCAGGGACCGCAGCAAATCCTCAAACACGGGGTGGAAGTGTGGGTTTTCCTCAAGGTCAAGGCTGTTTCTACCCGGCTCCTCCTCCGACGTGCTCAACCCGGAATTCCCGTTTAAAAAATCGTCATTATTCCGGGGTATTATTTGGCTGTAAAAGATTGGTCGTTCTGTCGCGGGTTTGACGTCATCAGTGATGACGTAAGTTGGGGATTTCTTGGGAGACGAGCTTTCATACCGCGCGTTGCTGCTGTCCTGCGACCGATACCGGTACGTGTCCTCCATAGAGAAGCTGAAATGTCCCCCGTAGGACTGGGACTGACCGGAATAGCCGCTGCTGAACGGACTGAAGGGCGTGGAGTCTGTGGAGCCGTTGATGGCATTGAGGTGGACGCCGCCCACGAAGCTGTCCGGCGCCCGATTTTTCCGTGTGCCGTTGAATATAACCGGGGAGAAGTACATGGTTGCTGGTTGCTGAAATATAAAATTGGTGATTGTCATGTCTAGGTCGCAGCAAATGTATCAAAGAAACACATTGGAAACACATGTAGGATTTCGATTTCAAAAGAAAAACTGTTCGTATTGACCTATCTGTCGCCATTATAAGAATTTATATATATATATATATATATATATATATATATATATATATATATATATATATGTTTCTATAAAGATGAAAGAAACGGCTAAAATTCTCCTAGGGGTAAATAAATCATACAGACGAGGAGGGGTCGGCGTGGTCGAGACGGTAAAGCTCATGGTTGCTAAACCGAAAAGTCTCGAGTTCGAACCCTCGGGCAGATGAGGCTTGTTAGCTGGGGACAGCCACTCCTCTCTAGGAGAGACAACCCCAAAATCAAACAACTGCTGGCTTGTAGTTTGTTCTTGGTTGGACAAAGGCTATGGAAGCAAATCCAAAAATCTGTAATCGGAGTCAATGGCCTCAATGGCGCATAACCAGTTGACACGTATCCTTAATTGTGATGGAGGCGTGGTCGAGTTGGCAAAAAAATAAAAAAAAAGCTCATGGTTGATACATTCGAAAAACGAAAAAAGTCTCGAGTTCAAACCCTCTAGCACAGGGGTCTCCAAACTTTTCAGTCCGAGGGCCGCATTACCTATCAAATTTCAGTTCGGGGGCCAGTTTCTTCCAGGCATGTCTGATTTTTCTGGGCAAAGTTCCTCAGCCATCATCAACAAACGTTTTTTTCCGTGGACAAAAAGAGCTCCGCGGGACGGATGAGAGGACCTCGCGGGCCGCATGCGGCCCGCGGGCCGTAGTTTGGAGACCCCTGCTCTAGCAGATGAGTCTCGATCCCTTCCAACACTAAAATTTAAGAACGAAGAAGAAGAAGATACAGACGAGGTAGTTAATTTTCCACCTAATCAAACGGCTCTCTCTAATTCGCGATTCTACTTTAATGTCTTGAGTAAAAGATTTTTTTAAAATTGTTTTTACTTTTTATGGTTCAATGTATCAGAATGGCCGAGTAAAATTGTTTTGCAAACGCTTGAAGATTTTTTTTTAAATATTTGAACTGAGTTCAAGTACTGGAGCGATATAAATGTGCAGTGTTTTAAACTTGTTTACTTCTAACCCCTGTATTGACCACAACCCCTTTGTATTTGACGTTTGACTCATTGACCCCTTGATCAAAGCAAGAAGTTGAATCACTGAAAGCATTGTCTTGAAAAAAAATTACAGGTTGCTGGAGAAACAAGTTTAATTTCGTTTTAATGAAGGTGTTAATGAGTGCCAGTGTTTGATCCTGACTTGATTGCTTTGTTTGTTGATTGATTGCTTTGTTCGGTGATTGATTGCTCGTGTTTTTATGCTCAAGTCTCGCGCGGTCTGGTCGAGATAAAGATGGGTTTTTTTTTTCTTATATCGGTTACAATCTAACCTAACAGAAATATAACGACCTCGGGGTAGTTAGGACGAGTCCATTTTCTCCAGGGGGGTGGAGGATAAAAACCAGGTCAGTACAGGTAAACTATAATGTTGTCACCTTTCAAGTAAAAAATAACGATGATATCGGGTGTAAAGCGTGGACATCAAGACATATGTCGTTTGTGGTAAAATAACGATGATATCCGGCGTAAAACGTGGACATAATGTTTTATGTGGTTGTTGTATGCCCCGGTAGTTATTGCTAGACCAAGAGTTGATGGTTCCAGCGCAAGAATGTCGACTTGAGTGAGCTAACCCAGCAAAAATTGATATCAGGCATTTAAGTGTGTTTGTAAGAGTTCAGTAAAGAATCTGATCAGTACCCTACTCGAGACTACGAAGGTAACGGCGGTTGGGCGTAAAGCGATTAATGAAATTCATGTGGATTAAGTGAGGAGGTGTACTCTACTGATATCATTTCATTTTTATGTCTAAAAGATATCCTGACTGCATACATAGGCTTAGACCCACCACTATCACAACCCCCCCCCCCCACTACAGCTCTATCCCAGCCAATCCCCTCATCACAACACCCATCAGAGCCCTAACTGAGCCCGTACCAACCCTCAATCCAACCATCATCGCAAACCCCATCACAACCCCAACCCCAACTTCCACCTCATTCCCGTCCAACCACCACATCTCACCACCGCATAGCCCACTATTTCACGGACCTACAGCCATACCAACCAGTCCTCTATAGTCCTACCAGTCCTCTATAGTCCTATCATCCATCCATCTCACTTTACTTCCGTGATAATTGCCGGCTTGATAGCCTCCCATTAACCGGGTATTGAGACCTCTGATGGAAAAATTTAATTACTAAAATATAATTAACTCTAGCAAAACAAGCTTGACGGTTAAGAGTTTTGCAGTCAATTAAGTAAAAGCAATGCCAATCATTATAGCTGTTCAGGATACGTTAACAACTATATATATATATATATATATATATATATATATATATATATATATATATATATATATATATATATATATATATATACGTACATACACAGACAAATGCAAATACTGACACATGACGGTAAACAGTATACACGCATGCATGCTCGTTTTTACATACACACACACACACACAAGCGCAGTCACAGACACACAAACACACTGGTGCACATCACTGTGTTGAAACGCACAGCTGCACACACGCACTCATTCTTACATGCATAAACATCTCACACGCTAACATACACACATCTCACACACGTTTCACACACATGACACATACATATACATAAACACATAATTCACATACATACACACACACACATCATTCACTCACATACCCACATCACAAAAACTCACATCCTCATATATCTTCACAAACACGCATGCATTTCCACACATATTTCTTACACATCACATACACACATACACACCTCAATCAATCATTAATCACCATCTGACTTGTAAATTAAACGCCGATTTCAATCTCGATAATTGGTAACTGATCGAATCTGCTGATTTTTTGTTGAGTGATTGCGTATTGATCCCACCGCTAACCGAGGCGTCACGGTTGACTGACTGATAGCTAACACAGATTGATAGCGCTCTTAACGTGTTTTGTTTTTTCGTCATTCCAGTTTGGCTGTTAACGTCAAACAATGGCGGACACTGATGTAACTACCAAACTACCACATTCAATTCCTTAACTACTTCACTATCGCGTTGAGTTATAGCTGTAGCTTTTAAGCGTATATAAAACTTAGACGTGGAATAGCGTGGTTGAAAGGTGGAACACACGACTGCTAATATGAAAGTCTCGTATTCGGTTGTCTGGTAGATTCAGAAGAATGTCGCTGACGTAAACTTAACATGGACTATGGTACATTGGATGTTAAGTTCGTTTCTAGGAGGTTCCAAGATTAGTCTGATCTGTTGTTTCTAGTCCACAGTTCAACGTTATTCAGCGTCTGCTCCTTTTAAAACATTCCCGCGGTTTTCTCTTGGGTTTGAACCACCATCCCTACACCCCCACCACCCCTACACCCTACCATCCCTACACAACACCACCCATACACCCCATTATCCCTACACCCCCCAATTCCAAAATTTATCACAGTAGCGTAGCGAGGGGGTGGGGGGCGGGGGGACATATGTCCCCGGGCGCCGACCTTAGGGGGCGCCAAAATGGGTTGGAAAAATAAATTGAAAGGTTGAGGGGGGTGCAAATTGAAAGTTTTAGGGGGGGTGCAAATCAAAATCTTGAAGGGGGGTGCAAATCGAAAGTTTGAGGGGGGTGCAAATCGAAATCTTTAGGGGGGGGTGCAAATCGAAAAGTTTGTCCCCGGGCGCCGGGAAGGGTCGCTACGTCTCTGATTTATCAAGTGCCCCCCCCCCCCCCGGAGAAAAAAGTCTGAAATAAATACTGCACCAGGTCTACTCTACTTCAGTTACATTTGTCTGGTTACCAAGCTTACATACAAAAATTATTTAAAATTGTGTCCTGACACAGAAAGCCTGTTTTAATTTTAAAAATTAATTACTGTAATGGGAAAAAGTTTTAATTTTAAAAATTAATTACTGTAATGGGAAAAAGTTTTAATTTTAAAAATTAATTACTGTAATGGGAAAAAGTTTTAATTTTAAAAATTAATTACTGTAATGGGAAAAAGTTTTAATTTTAAAAATTAATTACTGTAATGGGAAAAAGTTTTAATTTTAAAAATTAATTACTGTAATGGGAAAAAGTTTTAATTTAAAAAATTAATTACTGTAATGGGAAAAAGTTTTAATTTTAAAAATTAATTACTGTAATGGGAAAAAGTTTTAATTTTAAAAATTAATTACTGTAATGGGAAAAAGTTTTAATTTTAAAAATTAATTACTGTAATGGGAAAAAGTTTTAATTTTAAAAATTAATTACTGTAATGGGAAAAAGTTTTAATTTTAAAAATTAATTACTGTAATGGGAAAAAGTTTTAATTTTAAAAATTAATTACTGTAATGGGAAAAAGTTTTAATTTTAAAAATTAATTACTGTAATGGGAAAAAGTTTTAATTTTAAAAATTAATTACTGTAATGGGAAAAAGTTTTAATTTTAAAAATTAATTACTGTAATGGGAAAAAGTTTTAATTTTAAAAATTAATTACTGTAATGGGAAAAAGTTTTAATTTTAAAAATTAATTACTGTAATGGGAAAAAGTTTTAATTTTAAAAATTAATTACTGTAATGGGAAAAAGTTTTAATTTTAAAAATTAATTACTGTAATTGGAAAAAGTTTTAATTTTAAAAATTAATTACTGTAATGGGAAAAAGTTTTAATTTTAAAAAGTAATTACTGTAATGGGAAAAAGTTTTAATTTTAAAAATTAATTACTGTAATGGGAAAAAGTTTTAATTTTAAAAATTAATTACTGTAATGGGAAAAAGTTTTAATTTTAAAAATTAATTACTGTAATGGGAAAAAGTTTTAATTTTAAAAATTAATTACTGTAATGGGAAAAAGTTTTAATTTTAAAAATTAATTACTGTAATGGGAAAAAGTTTTAAGTTCAAAAATTAATTACTGTAATGGGAAAAAGTTTTAATTTTAAAAATTAATTACTGTAATGGGAAAAAGTTTTAATTTTAAAAATTAATTACTGTAATGGGAAAAAGTTTTAAGTTCAAAAATTAATTACTGTAATGGGAAAAAGTTTTAATTTTAAAAATTAATTACTGTAATGGGAAAAAGTTTTAATTTTAAAAATTAATTACTGTAATGGGAAAAAGTTTTAAGTTCAAAAATTAATTACTGTAATGGGAAAAAGTTTTAATTTTAAAAATTAATTACTGTAATGGGAAAAAGTTTTAATTTTAAAAATTAATTACTGTAATGGGAAAAAGTTTTAAGTTCAAAAATTAATTACTGTAATGGGAAAAAGTTTTAAGTTCAAAAATTAATTACTGTAATCGGAAAAAGTTTTAAGTTCAAAAATTAATTACTGTAATCGGAAAAAGTTTTAAGTTCAAAAATTAATTACTGTAATCGGAAAAAGTTTTAAGTTCAAAAATTAATTACTGTAATGGGAAAAAGTTTTAAGTTCAAAAATTAATTACTGTAATGGGAAAAAGTTTTAAGTTCAAAAATTAATTACTGTAATGGGAAAAAGTTTTAAGTTCAAAAATTAATTACTGTAATGGGAAAAAGTTTTAATTTTAAAAATTAATTACTGTAATGGGAAAAAGTTTTAATTTTAAAAATTAATTACTGTAATGGGAAAAAGTTTTAATTTTAAAAATTAATTACTGTAATGGGAAAAAGTTTTAATTTTAAAAATTAATTACTGTAATGGGAAAAAGTTTTAATTTAAAAAATTAATTACTGTAATGGGAAAAAGTTTTAATTTAAAAAATTAATTACTGTAATGGGAAAAAGTTTTAATTTTAAAAATTAATTACTGTAATGGGAAAAAGTTTTAATTTTAAAAATTAATTACTGTAATGGGAAAAAAAAGTAATCAACGCAGGATTCCAGTGCCGGAAGCTGAGTGGATTACCAATGGATAACATGACGGTAAACATGCGCGCGCATGGCACGTGTTGGGGCGGATGTCAACAAAACCTACAGCTGGTTTTATTCTTGTGTTGTTGCTCTGCTGGTCTGGGGGGGGGGGGGGGTCAAAGAGGGGCTAATGAGGTCAAGTGATCTCTGGGGATCTATGGTTCTAACAAAACAAATAGGCGCCGGATGTGTATCGGAGGGGGGGGGGGTATAAATACATGGATGTTTCTCATAGAGGGGTGGGAACCGTAAAGGGCCATGGTTCAAATTTAACAAGGAGTGGGGGTCACAATCCTGAGAACGGGGGTCCGCGGATATGAAGTGGGTTTAGAACGTCATCGTTTTTTTGGGTGGGGGGGGATTTAAACCTATCAAAGGAAACACATTATTATGTTATTTAATATAAATAAATTACTAGGCTGGGTACCTGGCTCAAGTCAGTGAAAACTGAGGCGGCTTTGCATAGTGCTGACCACACTATCCCTTTGTATTCCGAGTTGAACCAGTTGAACTCTACTTCATGTGCCCCATGTACCTTGGGCACGAATGGGAATTGATGATAATGTATTTTATCATGGAAAACAACTGCTGTGATTTTCATTGTTTTATTCTACCTAGCCACTCCGGATAATTTAAGAAGGTGTTGAGGTCAAGTTTTTTAAATATTTGAATTGATAAAATAATTCCAAAAAGTTTTACCGGCCTACATACAACAGAAAAGACGAAGTATTGAGTGAAATGTTTAGTACCCAAACAGCTTATATTTTTCAAAATGTAACTGTAATAATATTGTGTGCCGTACTTTTTTTAAAGATCATTTTTTAAATTTTGTATGATTATATAGACTTTTTAAGCTTATTACACCAAGGCGTCCTAAATTAATATGATATTAGATATAAAATGTTCTGCTCTTATTGTATCTTAAGCTGCATGTGTATAGTTGATTTATCACTTGAAGAACATGAGGGTTCTCTCCCCTCCCGAATATATTTAGAATTATTTAGTTGTCGTCCGTGGGTCCGTCGTTCCCCCTCCCCCCTTCCCCCCACCTTCACCCGTCCACCCCTTTCAACAAGTTAAAAGCCTAGACATCATTTTACCTTATTATTTTCAACGTAAGATTAATCCAGCCCATAAAAAAAAGATTAAAATCTAATGAAGAAAAATATTACAAACTTACGATAAAAAGCAACAATGTATTAAAAGCATCGTTGCTAGTAATTTAAAAGAATAATTATCTTCAAAAGAACATCAACGTCGTTTTAAAATCCGAACCTTAAATAAGTTCTCTGGATCTAATCAAGAACTTTTTTTTAAGTCGTTAAACTAGTTTTTCATTAGGGTGACGGGACTTTAAAGTTAGAGAAAAACTGATCTATTTATAGCAAGAACGCGAGAGACGCAAGTTAATAACTGTCATTAAATATTCATGAAGCACCGATTGTCTCGTTTCATCTAGCGAGAGCGGTGATAGTTTTTATTTTACCGTTGTTGTGAAGCCGATGTACTGACGTCAAAATATGGCGTCATTGAACGGTCTAAAAATAAACTGTTAGGTCCGTAAATAGCTTTTTGTCGATGTGTGAAAGTTGTTTTTTGAAGAATAAAATTTTTAGAAATTCTAGGTAAACATCAATAACATCATTTGATTTACTTTACATTTAAAAAAATTGTTAATAGGAGTTAACTTCTCATGTCGCTATTTAATGTCACAGTCACAAATCACATGCATATGTCAGGTCAAGGTCACTGTATTAAGTCACACGATGCAATTTAAGGCCAAAGTCCAAGGTCACAATTTAAGATCAGCATTTTTTTTCGAATGTGACAAAATTCTCTGGTAGATGGCTAAAACCTATCATATGAAAGTTCCCTTTAAGCATTAAAACACAGTGTATTCTTTAAATAAATTACAAATGGAGGGGGGGAGGATTTAAAACTATTTTTTAACCTTGATATCCAGTCTTCAACAACTTTGGTTCACATAGTGTAAATTAGAGATCTAGATGTTCACGAAAATACGTAGTTTTGGATCACAAAAACAACAACTACTACATTCTCATAACAAATTTCTAGTGTGGTTAAAATTCGGGTTGGTGGGATTTCGAACATCGCCGTGAAAGTTGTTATTTTTGCTAACAGTACTGTAGTTTCTACATTTTTTATAACCAATTTTATACGGCCTAACATTCGTGACCTTCCCTACAACATTATTACGCGAAGTCAGGAGTTGGATTATGGGAGACACGAGCTCAAAAAACAGAGGCGTATCTACTCTTCTGGTGGTAACCTAGGGTAACCAGATTCAAAATGTGTCACCCTTTGTCTATACATGTTTTGATGAAGGTGTGCCCTTAATTTTGGTTCCCACGAAACAAACACACAACCACAACACACATAGGTATATATATATATATATATATATATATATATATATATATATATATATATATATATATATATATATATATATATATATATATATAGTTGTCTATGTATATGGGTACTTCTTTTTTATAACGATTGCCTGCATTGAGGTCTTTTAACTATCACATATACAAGTTATATTTTGCCTCAAACCACAATAGTAAAAGCCTAACTCCACCAACTTTTAAAAACGATTAAGTGCCTCACAAAAACAAAAAAATGTGTTTAACCAATATTCATAACAAGTATTCCGACCTAGATTAAAATGTTTTACACAACAAGACAAAAAAACGGTTGGCAACTAAATTTAAAAAAAAAAAAGTTACAAACAAAAAAAAACTACCTATTAAACTTAAACACTCATGAAAAAGAAAGTCTCCTACCTTTTGATTATGGGAATACAGTTCCAGTAAGGGAGAGAATTCACTACTAAAATCTCAACAAAGCCTGGCTGATATTTATAATGATTCGAGTGGGGCTGACTCGTCGGGGAAGTACCCGGAAAGTCGATGAGACAAAGGTTGAAAATACCGCATCTCTTTCTATGGTACACCGTTTGTGTCAGAAATGTAATAACATTGCGGAATGTTGTGTTTATTTATTGCATGAATTTTTTAAACATAGTTTTGTATCAATAAAACGTGTATAATAACAAGCTTTATTTATGCACTAAAAAGAAATGAAAGGATTTGCTTTAAATATACAGAAATTAGTCAAACAACATTAGGATGAGTGTAAAAATATAATGGAAGTTTGTTTTACAAAAGTGAATTTGCTAAGTTTGACAAAATTGTACTAGAACTTGACTCACATTAATAATGTCTAGATATTTGCATTAGCAATTTGTATAATTTTATTCGTATTGTAAAATTTCTAAACTGTTGAAAGTTTAAGTGTAAATCACTAAATTGTTCGAGATAAATTATTAACTCACATAACTTGCCAAAGTAAACGGTAATCAGATACTTGTACACATGTTATGCCCTAAACCTATCCCTAACCTAAACACCAGTCTAAACACGTCGTAATGATATTAAATTCCTACTAACAAATAAAAACTCTTATTTTAGAAAATTGAATTTTCAGAAACTGGTTGGAAAAAAAATTAGCCTTATGGGCTGTTTACTTTGGGCGACATCGATACCGTAAGTGTATTGCTAGTTCAGTTTAGTTGGATACTTTGTCCTTGAGAGTTTGATTAGCTCACCGAGGGAGCAGGGGAGGGGTGTCGCGCGACAACTACAATGTGCTAGCGACCTTGAGATTTTGGGCGTTGAATTCTGGGTGTACTCACATGTTTGTCGGGGTCAGAGGTTGGGATAGTTAAACAAACGTTTAGGGAGAGCAGCGTTTTTTGGCGCTAAACTGGACGCCTCGAGGAAAAAGAAAATAAGGAAGGCCAAGGGATACGTGGAGGTGCATAGCGGGGAAGCAGCTGGCAGAGGCAGGACTGTCATGGGGGACTGCCAGGAAGCAGCTGACAGAGGCAGGACTGTCATGGGGGACTGCCAGGAAGCAGCTGACAGAGGCAGGACTGTCATGGGGGACTGCCAGGTAGCAGAGGCAGGACTGTCATGGGGGACTGCCAGGTAGCAGCTGGCAGAGGCAGGACTGTCATGGGGGACTGCCAGGAAGCAGCTGACAGAGGCAGGACTGTCATGGGGGACTGCCAGGAAGCAGCTGACAGAGGCAGGACTGTCATGGGGGACTGCCAGGTAGCAGAGGCAGGACTGTCATGGGGGACTGCCAGGTAGCAGCTGGCAGAGGCAGGACTGTCATGGGGGACTGCCAGGAAGCAGCTGGCAGAGGCAGGACTGTCATGGGGGACTGCCATGTAGCAGAGGCAGGACTGTCATGGGGGACTGCCAAGAAGCAGCTGGCAGAGGCAGGACTGTCATGGGGGACTGCCTGGAAAATTTTGCCGGAGATAGACCAAAGTGAAGGGAGCTTTCTGTAGCGGCCTCATCTGCCTTTGGGACAAAAAGGAAAAGATGATGAGTGTTTTCGGAGTCCACTTATTTAAGGTCTGAAAAGTCTATTTAATTTGACTGTTACGGTTTCCAAAAAAAGACAATAAAATTTTCTTTGAGTTGACGAGTTTTTCCTATAGTTTATGGAAACAGTTTTCATTGGAGGTTTAATGTTGAACTTAAAAATAGAGAACTCAGCATTGACTAAAATGTTGAACTTAGACAAACTTCATTTGTTTAATTGTTTATAGTTTATACCAGACGATACGAATACACACGTAAGTCATAAAACCGTTAGCGTCCCGCTCTGCTGTACCATCGATCCAGCTCCACCAGACGACCGTGTGAGTACATAAAAAAACTCACGTACATGATTTCCCTCTCTAAATGATGTTCTTCGATTGCAGACCTCAGACCGATGGCCTTGTCGTCTGCTTGTTAAAGAAAAGAGCGCCAACCTAATTTCAGCCGCGAGTGTTAAATCAATCAGCCTACTTTGTCACGGTACATTGCTAATGTGACGCGGCGATTGGACGGAGGCGATCACGTGAGAAAGAAAATTTTCTATTTTTAGCTTCAAGTACGACTCGGAGATTTGTAATAGTGGATTGTTTTTTTTTTTTTTTAATTAACGAGTCTTAAGAAATATTTGAATTGACGTATTTAGATTTGATACTATTTATGGAAATAAAATGATTGTGTACGGTAGTACTGCTTCTATGCTAAGGGTACCCCAACATCAGTTTCTTCCAGGCATCTATTCGGGTCCGCCTAACACTCTCCCCCCCCCCCCCCCCCCACGAAGAACCCGAAGAAATCCATCGCCCCCTACCCGAACGAAATTGAATTAATATAATCTTTACTTTTTCCAGTATCCGCCCGTCCCCACACCCGGAAAACTTAGTCCGTCCGTCCCCCCCCCCCCCCCCGCGGGGAAAAAAGTCTGAAAGAAACACTGCCCGACACTTCGAGGTGCTCGTTTAACGCGTCGTCGTGAACAGAGAAAAAATAAAGATCAGGCATTTGATGGAAGAAATATTTTAATACAGTCGTAATATACATGGAATAAAACTGTTATGATGTCATTTCATTATATAATGTTGTTTTACTTATTTTACAATCTGTATCTATGTGTAGGGTTGGGGGGAGGGGGGGGGGGGGGGTTCTGGTGAAATCTGGCATTAAATTTTTTATCCCAATTGTAATACAGCGATTTCGTTTTAACATTTCTGATAAATTAGTTGCATATGATAAGGCTCATATCTAACTTCCAATCTAGTTAGATATTCAAATAGCAATTTAAATAAATGTAACTATTATTGTATTTCAACAGGGCAGATAAGCAATGTATCGGGTAGAGCCGTTCGTTGATGTTTTCACACATAAGAACCAACCACTGTCTCTACTAAGGGGCAGATAACTGTCTTTAGAGTTACTAGTCGTGTTTAAATTAACCGGATTAAAATAATATATATGTTACTAATTGTTTTTTAAAACCAAATATATAAAAACTAAAAAGTATAAAATCTTTTCAACGCAGTAAAAGTAAATAACGTAAAACGTAAATTGTCTTCTGATAAAAAACAAAAATAAGGGTTGGTTGCAAAATGTAGTGGAAAGGTTTTGGAGCGACAAGCGATGAAAAGGTCCTGTATTTGTTTATTTTACACACTGTTTGTGGAAAAAAAAATCTAACCGTTTAAGACACACACAAAACTGGATTTTAAAAACCAAAACCCTCCGGGCTCAATTACCTAATATGTTATCATTTCATTTTACGGATAGCTTAGCCAAAAAAAAAATCAAAACGAAACCAAAATCCTATTCCACCAGTGCAATGCCCTCGCTCGGCCATTGGAAATGTTCCATAAATAGAAAGATGGCCGAGAGATTGCAGTCATGTTTTGCTGTTTCTGTAACAAATTGCCTACTATTTATAGAACTCTAGATGGGGAAAATCAATGTTGCTGCTTTATATAGATGTGGGTTTATTTTCTTGAACAGAGACGTTGTTAATCATTTAATTGATTCTAAAACCATTATTTAAAAAATTCGATATATAATATGACTGTGGGAATATATATATATATATATATATATATATATATATATATATATATATATATATATATATATATATATATATATACATGCCTATTTAGTCAGCTGTCAGTTTCTATGCTGTGTGTTTGGAAACCTATGTATATCAGTGGGCGTGCTGCCCAGTTTAGCCAAATATTGTATCTTTATGATAAGGTTGAACCATTTAATCCATGATTTATTTTATTGCACATGGTAATGATTGCCGTTTCTTATAACACGATATATTATGTTGCTCAATTTAAAGCTATCTTTGTCCTGCAAACGCCCTCCGATTTTGAGAATACTCGCATTTTGACATGAACATACAAAATGAAATACAATTATGTCGGACCGGGCTTACAGAATGCAAGTCTTTGGAATTAGCCTCTGATTACTAACGTTTTAATTAACCGATAAAACTTTTATCTTGAATAAAAGTACAAATCTGTAAACATATTTTCCGTTGAAATAACCGGGTTTTCTTTACAAACATGGAACTCCATGCTATAAGGTAAAATTGTGATGTTATCAACCCTTGAGCTAAACACCCCCACTGTCTGATGTAAACATCTGTTTGAATGTCAAGGTCTCAGGTCTCTGTTCCACCATCCAATAGTCGACAGGAGATGACAACACCACAAGGAGAATAAATTATAAGCAACGAACTGTTTCATTGAAATTGAAGCTAAAAAAAAATAAAAATCGTTGAAACAGCTTTGAAAAATGTAATTAGATTTTTTTTTTGTTTTCTCCGATACAAACTGGACCAGAGTACAGCGTGCCGTGACAGATTTCTCGGCAATTTCGCTAAAAGGGGTCGCCAATAAATGTGCCGAGGTTTTATTTTTTGCTCATCTCTAAACTATTGACACCAGTATTTACGAAGCCCCTACACATACACACATATATACACAACAACCCAGCCCCTACCCCCTTAAAATGACGTCAGATAATGTAAATTAACCGTTACGTTTTGTCTTAGAAATACAATATATGCTACATTACATTTTGTGGACCCCCCCCCCCCCCATCTCTCCACATATTTAGTTTTAGAAATAGAATATATGCTGCATTACATTACTTGCCCCCCCCCCTCCACCCACAATATTTTTTCCTTCACGTAGCACATCAGCATAAATGTCTACATTCTCTTATTCCACACCCCCCCCCCTTCCGGAGCGTGACCGTTATAAACGAACCCTATCAAATGTGGGACGTATTGTGAACATGACACGAGGAGGTCAATGTTCTAATTTACACTCCCCCTCTTTTTCCCTCCCCACCCTCCCCCTCTTGTCCTCATTCCGTCAACCTTGACAAACCGATCAGCCAAACCCCCCCCCCCCCCCCCCCCCGTATTGATTAACAGCAACAGACATCAACATTACTTTCCGCTCGTTTGATTCAAGTGTCTATCGCCCCATCTCCCCTCCCCTCTAAATAAAAAGGGGAATTAACTCCTCCATCAGACTAAGTACAACCCTAATCGACTTACTGCCGCTGTACTGTCAACACTTACTTTGGAGAATCCGACATTTTGTCAGCTGTGACAGTTTCCGTGTCAAAGCTTTCATTGATCTCTGCCTAAAAATACCTGTCGTGAATGTCGAGGTGAAGAGCGATTTCACACGGAGAATTTCTTTTATTTTCTTAAGTTGAAGTAAAAAAAAAAGGGTGGTCTGTAAAATAAATATTTTTAACGCTGTTAAAATAGGTGTATGTTAATTATGTGGGAACGGCGTGGTCGGGTGGTAGAACTCACGAATGCTAACCCGAATGTCTGGAGTTCGGATCACGGGCTCGCGTCTGTAGAAAGTCCCACATTTAGATCTGAAGGAAAGTCCCACATTTAGATCTGAAGGGTACCTGATTCATGTTAGAGAAACAAAGGCGCCTAGGCCACCTGAATGTTGTGTGCTGTGGTGGTTGAAGCAGATGAACTCTACTTCATCTGCCCAATGTGACTCGGGAAAAGATAAAGAAGCTTATTCAGTAGGTATTTTTTTAGATGAAGTTCCATGTCGGGTTAGCCAGTTGGTGAAGTTGGAAGTCCTTGGAAGGTTCTGTGTTAAGTTAATAGACATGTTCTTGCATTAATTCAGTGGTTCTTAACCTTGATTTAATCGAACCCAATGGGTTCAATATATCAGTCTCAGTCATCGGTAGAGTTCAGACACACACCAGACCCATTTGATTGACATTTTTTGTCTGTGCCGACGACAGAAATGTAAAGAAGTGTTAGGTAAATGCGCAAATGAATCTGGTGGGGTTAGATACCTCAAAAAAAAGGATGAGAACAACTGCGTTAGTTAATGTAAGGAACTGTGTGGTCGAGCAGTAGTCACATTATTGTTGGCCTGTGTGTCTCTAGTTCAGTTCCCAGTATTAGTTGACAGAACAACAATTATGCTGGGCACTTGGTTTTTTTAACAGTTAACTTAACCTAATTTTCGGAATTTTTTAATTAATTAATTAATTATTTTTATTTTTTGTTTTCGTAATTTAGACAGCTCGGGCGCTAACTGAACTCAATGCAAAACTGTTGCAAAACTTGTGGGGTTTTTTAACTTGTGATAACTTCTACAGAACACCGACCCCGGATGTAACCGTTAAACTCAATTTCCTATGGTCCCCCTCGCAGCTTAATTTGGTGTGATAACATAGTTACAACCACTCACCACTGCCCCACATTGCACACATTGAGCACCACTGTAAAAAAACAGAACATTACACAAGACATGTAATTTTAAATTAAGTACAGCTCTTTCAAATTTGAATCCAATCAATATTTCTATCATTTAAAAGAAAAACATTTTTTTTTCAGGTTAACCCAATTTTCTGAATGTGCAGATAATACGAATTCTAATCCCTGATTGGTCAGTGCCGTAAAACATGAATGCTTCTAATCCCTGATTGGTCAGTGCAGTAAAACATGAATGCTTCTAATCCCTGATTGGTCAGTGCCGTAAAACATGAATGCGCATGCCCGTAGCTGTCGGTAAACTTGTTTACGCTGATGTTGAATCAGACGAGTTGATTGCCCTTTTATTGACAAAGCAATTTTCAAGATCTGTCGCATTTAAAAAGAATTCGAAAAAAATATTTTCAAAACGTCAATCATTAGAAAACGGATCAACACGGCTAGATAGACAGGCAATGAGGCGACGAACGATGTTTAAACTAGCACAGGTAGCCTGAGGCTATTGGTGGTGCTTTACTCAGACGCCAAGATCACACACACACACACACACACACACACACACACACACATATATATATATATATATATATATATATATATATATATATATATATATATATATATATATATATACATATATATATATATATACACATATATATATACACACACATATATATATATACACACACACACATATATATATATATATATATATATATATATATATATATATATATATATATATATATATATATATATATGTGTGTGTGTGTGTGTGTGTGTGTGTGTGTGTGTGTGTGTTTATTTATTCATTTATTAACTTATACTTTTTTGTTTGGGGAGTGACACCATTAGGTGCCGCACTGAGTGACAACCGACCCAGAGACGCCACTGCTTCTATACACTATACACATTAATATTACACCAGTATCTTATAAACCTAGATGCATTTTTAATGTATTAAATTGAATATTATATGGTGTCGACTAGGGTTTTCTCGAGTTTGAACCTCCTGGCCAGATGAGGCTCGATATATGGGTACAGCAACCTAGGAGTTACTACTCCAAAATCAAACACTTGCTGACCTGTAGTTTTTTCTTGGTTGGACAAAGGATATGGAATCAAATCCAAGATTGATGCTGAAATTGTGAAATCCGAGTCATAAGCCTATATGGCGCATAACATGTTGACACGTAATACTAATACTGAACTCAGTTGGAGTGAATACCATCTAACGTGACAACTAAGAACAAAGAAGAAGAAGCAAATTTACATCCATATTCTAAATTAACAATGAAAAACAACCAAAACCTATTCTTGTTTAAAAATTTGTCAGAAATAAAAATAAAATCATTATTTACTAAAAATACAAAATATTGTCGTACAAGCCGACCCACGGCCTATCATATGCTGCTATTTAGTTGTTTTATTTTCTACTTTTCAGTCATTCATAATTTGTGAATTCGACAGTACCAATGCTGCCACTGAAAATATCTGCTTTAAAAACACTATCAGTAGGTCGTTAAGGACGATAACCCCCCCTCCTTTCCCCCGACCCCAACCCCCCCACCCGTAAAAGCAGCCTCCTCTTAGTTACCTCCCCTAAGTTTAAAATAGTTTCAAACTAAATTATCTGCTCCTACTAGCCGTCACTAAACCCGGCTCTACGATTGTAAACATTTAGCGTGAACCACAGCTTACCAGACCATGTGGGGGTGGGGGTGGTAAGGATATGCCTAGAGAGGAAGAGAGGGGACTGCTAGGTGCGCTTACAGCTTGGTGTTTTCTGGGGTATCCAAGAAGAGAATTATATATATAGATTGGGTCAAGTGTCCGTTCGGGTTATATGATAACGCATCTAGGTATTGGAATAAAATAGTAGCCCGTCCGGGAAAACGTGTCCGTATTCCTTCATCTTTATCACTACACACCGACCCACTTCACGGCGAGCCATGCTAGTCACTTCAAGTGCTTTACACCTTGAAGGTCTGGGAAAGTTAGAGCGAATACATACAACCACAAGGTTATGTTCAAATCCTGTTGTGCCGCACACAAAGGATTGGCTTGGTGATCTTCGCCTATTTGAACACCGCCAAAAATCCGGTAGTTCACTCTCCGTCTAGTTCGCGCTCCGTGCTGTGTTTGCTCTCCGTCTAGTTCACTCTCCGTCTAGTTCGCGCTCCGTGCTGTGTTTGCTCTCCGTCTAGTTCACTCTCCGTCTAGTTCGCGCTCCGTGCTGTGTTTGCTCTCCGTCTAGTTCACTCTCCGTCTAGTTCGCGCTCCGTGCTGTGTTTGCTCTCCGTCTAGTTCGCGCTCCGTGCTGTGTTTGCTCTCCGTCTAGTTCACTCTCCGTCTAGTTCGCGCTCCGTGCTGTGTTTGCTCTCCGTCTAGTTCACTCTCCGTCTAGTTCGCGCTCCGTGCTGTGTTTGCTCTCCGTCTAGTTCACTCCGTTTGAACTAGTGTTCTAGGGGGACAGGCTGACATCAAATCACGAGAAATGTTGAAATAAGTAGCGAACCCATTATACAAATATGTAAATGTAAATAGCTTTTATTTGGTGCTGTAAGAATATACATAATTGCAATCGCTTTGTATAAGTATAAGAGTATATAAATAAAACAACATCATAAATTTTTTTTACTAAAGGATGAATATTTCACCGTTACAATTGAAAGGTTGTAAAAAATATTCAGGTGGAGCAGAAAAAATCTAATGTCGCTTTCTGTGCTTTGTAATACGTCCGTTTTTGTAGCCTGAAATTGGAAAATTAAAATTAAAAAGTATATAGCTTACTAGAGAAAATTATACAACCAACAAAATTGGCTTAAGGAAAGAAAATCATTGAACAAAAATTTAAAGCAGTAAAATAGATTAACATGAGATTAAATTATAGTACAAAAAGAAAAAGCCGTAAAATAGAGAAAAATTGAAGAAAGAAGTAAAATCATAAAATTTATTACTAAAAACAATAAGTCAATTTAAAATCAAAAAGGTTTTTTTTTTAAAAAAAAAACAGCCAAATTGCTTACCCAAAGACAATAATTTAAAAAGATAAATAAATGATTCTCCCCAAAGCTTACCTTAATAGAAAGAGTAGACATTTGCATTGAAAGGAAACAGAATGATTCCACTGGTCTTTAGTGGGAGAGTAAGGGCCTTTCAACAGGTACTTTTTCAACGGTCGGCTTTTCAACCGGGCGGCATTCATTCAAACAGGAGGCGCCCGGCCATTGGACGTAGACCGGTTCAGACACGTCGAGTGAGATAGGGAACCCAAAAATGGACAGGTGCTCGTAACGGTGTTTGGTGAATCCAAAACATGGATCGGCTCTTACACCTGGAAAGATTTATCGTATAGATCTCATTGTTGACTCATCAAACTCACTCATTCATTCATCCCACTCACCTCACTCACCACACTCACCTCACTCACTACACTCACCTCACTCACCTCACTCACCTCACTCACCTCACTCACCTCACTCACCTCACTCACCTCACTCACCTCACTCACCTCACTCACCTCACTCACCTCACTCACCTCACTCACCTCACTCACCTCACTCACCTCACTCACCTCACTCACCTCACTCACCTCACTCACCTCACTCACCTCACTCACCTCACTCACCTCACTCACCTCACTCACCTCACTCACCTCACTCACCTCACTCACCTCACTCACCTCACTCACCTCACTCACCTCACTCACCTCACTCACCTCACTCACCTCACTCACCTCACTCCCCTCACTCCCCTCACTCCCCTCACTCACCTCACTCACCTCACTCACCTCACTCACCTCACTCACCTCACTCCCCTCACTCCCCTCACTCACCTCACTCACCTCACTCACCTCACTCACCTCACTCACCTCACTCACCTCACTCACCTCACTCACCTCACTCACCTCACTCACCTCACTCACCTCACTCACCTCACTCACCTCACTCACCTCACTCACCTCACTCACCTCACTCACCTCACTCACCTCTCTCACCTCACTCACCTCACTCACCTCACTCACCTCACTCACCTCACTCACCTCACTCACCTCACTCACCTCACTCACCTCACTACCCTCACTCACCTCACTACCCTCACTCACCTCACTCACCTCACTCACCTCACTCACCTCACTCACCTCACTCACTCACCTCACTCACTCACTCACTCACTCACTCACTCACTCACTCACTCACTCACTCACTCACTCACTCACTCACTCACTCACTCACTCACTCACTCACTCACTCACTCACTCACTCACTCACTCACTCACTCACTCACTCACTCACTCACTCACTCACTCACTCACTCACTCACTCACTCACTCACCCACTCACTCACTCACTCACTCACTCACTCACTCACTCACGCACTCACTCACGCACTCATGCACTCACTCACCCACCCACCCACCCACCCACTCACTCACTCACCCACTCACTCACTCACCCACTCACTCACTCACTCACCCACTCACCCACTCACCCACCCACCCACCCACCCACTCACTCACTCACTCACCCACTCACTCACTCACTCACTCACTCACTCACCTCACTCACCTCACTCACTCACTCACTCACTCACTCACTCACTCACTCACTCACTCACTCACTCACTCACTCACTCACTTCACCACGAAGGTGATGAACATTTGACCACCAGGAAGGTGACGTCACTATTTGATGACCACAGTAATCCCAACTCACCCGAAAACTGCACAACAAAGCTTATGACAAAAAGCCATTTCAGCCACGTGATACTGGTTCTTCTGCTCATACGCACACTGGTCAGCTGATCGCCCAGCGAGCTGTCACCCTCCCTCATCACGTGACCAGGCTCATCACACGACTTATCAGTGTCCGAACGTTCCTCCTCCTCTGGTATCATCTGAACCTCGGCAATATCTGGGGAGATCTCGGCAATATCTGGGGAGATCTCGGCAATATCTGGGGAGATCGCGGCAATGTCTGGGGAGATCTCGGCAATATCTGGGAAGATCTCGGCAATATCTGGGGAGATCTCGGCAATATCTGGGGCAAGCTCGGCCTCGTCTAACTTCATTTCTCCCGGTGGATCTTCACCTTCTAACTCCACCTGTCTAGGTGGATCTTCACCTTCTAACTTCATCTGTTCAGGTGGATCTTCACCTTCTAACTTCATCTGTTCAGGTGGATCTTCACCCTCTAACTTCATCTGTTCAGGTGGATCTTCACCTTCTAACTTCATCTGTTCAGGTGGATCTTCACCCTCTAACTTCATCTGTTCAGGTGGATCTTCACCTTCTAACTCCACCTGTCTAGGTGGATCTTCACCTTCTAACTTCACCTGTTCAGGTGGATCTTCACCTTCTAACTTCATCTGTTCAGGTGGATCTTCACCCTCTAACTTCATCTGTTCAGGTGGATCTTCACCTTCTAACTTCATCTGTTCAGGTGGATCTTCACCCTCTAACTTCATCTGTTCAGGTGGATCTTCTAACTTCATCTGTTCAGGTGGATCTTCTAACTTCAACTGTTCAGGTGGATCTTCACCTTCTAACTTCATCTGTTCAGGTGGATCTTCACCTTCTAACTTCATCTGTTCAGGTGGATCTTCTAACTTCATCTGTTCAGGTGGATCTTCTAAATTCAACTGTTCAGGTGGATCTTCACCTTCTAACTCCACCTGTCTAGGTGGATCTTCACCTTCTAACTTCATCTGTTCAGGTGGATCTTCACCTTCTAACTTCATCTGTTCAGGTGGATCTTCACCTTCTAACTTCATCTGTTCAGGTGGATCTTCACCCTCTAACTTCATCTGTTCAGGTGGATCTTCACCCTCTAACTTCACCTGTTCAGGTGGATCTTTACCTTCGAACTCCATCTGATCAGGTGCGTATTCACCTTCTAACTTCAACTGATAAGGTGGATCTTCACCAGTGTCCTGTTTAAAGTAAAAATACACACGTATATCAAACCTGAGTCTATATGTGCATGTTATACAACACGTCAACTTAACGTTTTGAACCACCACTTACCCTATATAACGGTACAGGACATGTAACATAAAATATTTTGGTCCGAACGATTTATATTGTTTTGCGCTATTTATTATAGCTGTACATAATTGTGTCAGTTGATGTGTAAGTAACTTGCGGGATCCGATGTCTTTCTCGATTCTTTTTGTAATTAAAACGACCCACATAACACACAGATGACCCACAAAGCACACACATATAACCCACATAACTCAGAGATGACCCCCATAATACGCACAGATGACCCACATAACACAGAAGACCCCATATAAACACACACATTTGACCCACAAAGCACACACATTTGACCCACAAAACATACATATGACCCACATAACACACAGGACTACATCACACACCAGATGACCCACATAATGACATAACATGGAGACAGACGGCCCACATCACACACAAACAACACACAGACACCCCACACAACACAAACAACACACATACACCCCACACAACACAAACAACACACAGACACCCCACACAACACAAACAACACACAGCACCCCACATAACACAAACAGAAAGATGGCTAGAGTTACGTTGAAATGGTAACTTTAGACGAGGGAGCCAATAAAATAGTGCACTCTTGTACTTTGTTGAATTCGTAAAAATAATACAACGTATTTTCTATCAAAATTACCGGAAGTTTTAAAAGTCGACTCCCAGCTGTATGAGACGGCTTCAATACCCCTCGATACTGTATTGAACTGCCAAACTTAAACAGATATTAAGCTGGTGGACAACTATCTCTACTTGAGCTGGAAGTACCTGCCACTGCAGTCTTCTGAAAATATTTTCCCTTTAGTTATTGTAGTCATTGTATTTGGTAAACAATGTGTATTACGCCAAACAAGTTTCATGGCATATTTATAACACAGTAAAGGCGATCTTCTTTGATGTGCTGAATTGTTTTGTGCATGTCTTCAAAGCGGGCTATTTTTAGATTAGAGAGATGTGCAAAAAGAATTTAGAATAATTGTTAAAAAATACAGATATTCTTTGCAAAAATAAATTATCTAGGCCTATTTAAATAATTTGCACATTAAGCGGATTGAGGAAATAGCAAACAACAATTTATTTAACAAAGTAAAAATATATTCATTAAAAAAAATATTGGAAAACGTAATTAGATATTATACACAACTTTGTAGTTAAAGAGTGTCACTTACTTCCCTTACTTTTGATCTCTGCCGCTCCCCTGCCGCAAAAATCTGCGTGTGGGGTAAGGGCCCTAAGTCTTTTAATGTCCCAGGGCCCCGGTTGGTCTTTTACGCCAATGGAGGGATTAGTTATTGTTTATTAGAAAAGATTTTAAACACTTTATGAGGTTCCGAAAGGAAACAAATTTAAGCGGAAAATGGTTGATTGGTGGTTAACTGTGACAGATTAAAACGGAGGTGAAATTAAAGGTAACGGTAGATTAAATAGAGAAACCAATCATACGTGTTTAGCTGTAAAGTGCATGTGCCCTAGGCTATGTTCCCTCTAAGCTGCGCGGTTGCGCGGCCGTGCAGTAGTTTTTAACTGCCGCGCAGTCATTTTGTAAAATACATGTATCCTTATATAAGACTTTTAGAACACCACGCACACAAAATATACGTTGCACACGATCGTTTTCCCCTTAGAGGGAACATGCCCCTAGGCAGCAGAGGTGTAGATTTTTTTTATATGCCTATAGAACAGGACGATTTAAAAACAATTTTTAGAGATTTTTTTTTATTTTTTATTTTACAATATGATTGTAACTGTAACATAAAAAAAATGTCGATTGAAAATCCGACTACAAATAAATCGACATTATCGGTGCTTCAATTTTCACACTGATCATAATTTATTATGGGAGCAAACACAAATTAAAAGTAATTTGTACTGTAGCGTTTAGTTTGTGGAGTCTAGCGTTTAGTTTGTGGAGTCTAGCGTTTAGTTTGTAGAGTCTAGCGTTTAGTTTGTGGAGTCTAGTGCTTAGTTTGAGTCTAGTGTTTAGTTTGTGGAGTCTAGCGTTTAGTTTGTGGAGTCTAGCGCTTAGTTTGAGTCTAGCGTTTAGTTTGTGGAGTCTAGCGTTTATTTTTTGGAGTCTAGCGTTTAGTTTGTGAGTCTATCGTTTAATTGAGTCATTGACACTTTGCCTTAGCGTCTCTTAAGCCGGGTACAGTACTTTCCTATTAAGATGGATGTCATGCAGGCATCATTAACATTAGGTTTGTATTGATTATTTCCTGTTAACCGTTAACTTAATGAGTGTATCGATTAAGCCGTGTCAACTGTTAACCTTTAGCTGGATCGATTAGTTTGTGTTAACTGCTAACTTTTGTATTTGTACTCCAGTCTCAGCTACAGCTGATAGCGTGTCAATTGATGGAGACAGTCTGTAGTGTCAAGTGATGGAGCCTCTTTCTCTCTCTCTCTTATATATATATATATATATATATATATATATATATATATATATATATATATATATATATATATATATATATATATATATATATATATATGGCCCTAGACCTGTGTCCCTCCCGAAATAGGCCAATTGACTGACAGACGATACTACTACTGTAAGGCACACTTCCAGAGTTTCTTCCAGGCATCTCTTCGGGGGGACGGTGCCCCCCCCCCCCCGAAGCAAGTCTACCCCCCCCCCCCGAACTAAATGGAATTTATATAGAAAATATACACTTTTGACAGTGTCCGCCCCCTGAAAATTGTTGTCCGCCCCCCCCCCCCCCCCGAAAATTTCAAGTACACCCCCGGAGAAAAAAGTCTGGAAAAAACACTGCACACTTCCCACCCACCCACCCACCCCCTCCCCGTAAACCGCCTACAATTTTCCAACAAGTAAAACAAGAGCGAAGACCACCCACACTAAGCGACCAGTTGTACTTAAAATAAATATTATCTCGTTTAATATTTAACTATTGCGTGGGTTTGTTTGTTTGTTTTTTTAAATCGACTCAAAAACTTGTTATTGCTTAAATACGATCACGTGGTGTCGTCATCAGATCACGTGAGATTTTAACTGGGCCGGACGTGATAAGTTATTTATGGCGATACTCCATTTTGAAAAGCGTGACCTAGAAAAGCAAAGCGTAAACACTCACCGAGGCCCGGTGAATGTCTGCAGATAATTATCAAATGTACTCACAACCCAGCAAGCTCCGTGGAATCCGATATCACGATACTAGCATTTCGACCCGGCTATGGCCGTTGTGTTGTGTGCGTTTATTTTTTTTATTTTTTTTTGGTACTGTTGGTCTCTGTTTTCGAGTTATTTATTTAATATCCTTTACTGAATTTGATGAGAATAACGCGATCATTATTATTAACATGGATGAAAAACATGTTTTTGTTAATTTTCCGTTTATAGTCGCCGTAAAAAAAATATATTTAAAATATATATAATATATATATATATATATATATATATATATATATATATATATATATATATATATTATATATATATATATATATAATATATATAATTTAAAATATATTTAAAAAAATGTATAATCTTAATGCCGGATAAATCTGCAAATGCAGACAAAATATTTTTTTGTTTTAAATTTAAGTATCTATTTACTTTCTATCAAGCCAATAGGGCGGTGTGGCAGAGCATCAGAGTTTCTTCCAGGCATCTCTTCGGGGGGGGGGGGGCTTAGCCCCCCTCCCTCCGAAGAAAGTCTACCGCCCCCCCCCCCCGAACGAAATGGAATTAATATAGAAAACATATTTTTACCAGTGTCCGCCCCCCCCCCCCCCCCGGAAAATGTTGACCGCCCCCCCCCCCCGAAAATATCAAGTGCCTTCCCCCCCCCCGAGTAAAAAGTCTGGAAGAAACACGGCAGAGCACTCGACTGCTAACCCACCCGAAAGTCTCGGTCCAGACTTTAGGCTACACGACGTCCCTGAGTCCACCCAACTCTGAAAGGTACCTTACTCATGTTAGGGAAAGTAAAGGCAGCCGGGTTTAGTGCTGACCACACTGTTTCTTAATTTATCAAAGTCAAGAAATATGTACTCTACTTCATCTAATACGTCTAAAAGAGTAACTTATCATTTATACTAGCCGACATTTTAGAATTAGATTAACGAGACAAAGTTTGACAACACAGAAAAACGTATATTTCTTGTTTAGTTACCGAAACTACTAAAAACATGAAATAGGTCCCATAATTAGAAACGTCACACAAAAAACCACACAATCAATTTTTCAAAACCAAATCTGTTTGAATAACACTGAACACGATGATTTTTTTAAATTTATTGATTAATCAGAACATCAGGATTCTACCTAGCCGAAGCCTCTCCTCATAATAATATATAAAACAAATTTTTAAAATCCTAAACAAGATTTTAAATTTTTTAAATTAACGAATAGATATGGTAAAAGTTCCTTTCTTTCAATACAAAAGTAATTTAAAAAAACAATGGTTTTATTATTATCAAAAGTCAGAATGTTTTTTTCCTTTATTTATTGTAAATCTCTGGTTTAATATGTGTCAGAATCAATGGTCGAAACCATCTCACCTCAGTTGTATTAAGGAGTCTGCTTGTTTGTTGTGGAGTACGTCATTAATACAAAACTGTTATATGATCTTGTTATCTCCCCTATTGTTGTTGTCTATCAACTACCACTGGCGCACGTCGTATCAACAAGCGAGTGCCATTTTATCCTGTCTCTAGCTGTGACCTCTGTTTTATCCTGTCTCTAGCTGTGACCTCTGTTTTATCCTGTCTCTAGCTGTGACCTCTGTTTTATCCTGTCTCTAGCTGTGACCTCTGTTTTATGTTGTCTCTAGCTGTGACCTCTGTTTTATCCTGTCTCTAGCTGTGACCTCTGTTTTATCCTGTCTTTAGCTGTGACCTCTGTTTTATCTTGTCTTTAGCTCTAACCTCTGCCTGTTGGGATGCTAGGCCTCTCTTGCAACTCTTTCTGCATTGATCGAACTTATTTTAACTGTAACTACTACCTGTCCCAAATCAGAAATGAAATGATGTTTAGATTAGAGTCAGCAACGGACATTGTGACCTTTAGTTGACCACAAACCTACGCATAGAAGCACGGACATTGTGACCTAAGTAAAATCTTGTTATAAAACATAATACCCCCACATCGTTGATTTAATGCTCTATCATAAATTAAAATGGCTGACTTTTTCAAAGGGAGGCAATCGATAAGATTACAATTTCATTCGCCAGGAGTTAACGTTCCCTGGCTTCAAGTCCGGCAGCAAGCTGGAAATGAAACACCGCGGTAATTAATTATTTTTTTACCCACACTATAGCTCGTCTTTGATTGGCTAACGTGTATTTTATGAAACATTAATCAAGAAAATAATTAAAAGGGGAGACGGGATTGGTAAAAATGTGCTTGTAATCAACACATTATTTTATTTAAGGAACTTTTATGTCGCTTTGCCAAGACAAACATTTCAAGAAATAAAATGTGATTTCTAGTTTTAGTAGCACGATGTTTAGTCATGTCTGTGTCTATGGACGGTAATAGTTGGGCAGCTGTCGTGGGAAAAATTGGACAATGGATGGCTTCAAACCCCAGCCTAGTGAAAAATAAATGTTTTATCCTTTTTCGTTGTTAATTGTAATGTCGAAAAGGATTTCCCTCCAACCCAGTTATTACATGTCAACATGTTATGTGCCATGAATTAGCCCGTTTACATCGATTTTAGCCTTTGTGGATTTGCTTCCTTAGCCTTTGTCCACCAAAGAGAAAACTACTACAAGTCAGAAGTTTTTTTTTTATTTTGGTGTTGTCTCCAGCTATCGAACCTCATCTGCCAGGGGGGTCGAACTTGGTACTTTCGGGTTAAGCAGCCATGAGCTTTACAGACTCGACCATGAAAAATGTCTGCTGTCTTTGATCCCATCTCCCTGCTGCCTGAGCCTCCCATCCCCTTATGAATTTATCAGCTGCGGCGAAAACTTTAAAGCTAGGACAGTAAAAGTCCGTTAATGTACGGTAACTCTTGGATCTGCTATATTGTTTAAATATATTCGAGTTATTTCCCTTTTTCTTTTCTCCATTTATTTTCGAAATCAAAGCCAATTTAATTAGTGCTATTAAAACTAATTAAAATGCTTCTGCTGTTAGTAGGGCATTAATTATAATGTAACAGTAATATTCAAAAAGAAGGTAGTTCCGACGATTAAGTTGAATTTGATTTTAGCATGTATTTTTTTTTTCTTGAAGTCATATAAGAAGTTGTGTTTTTGTTTATCTTCTTCTGGGATTAATAGTATTTTATTTTTAATTTATCTTTTTTTTTAAATGTAGAGGCTAAACATTGTCTCATTTTCGCTTTGGTCATATGTAAAGTAAACGTGTGTCTGTAAAGGATGTACTCACAACCCAGCAAGCTCCGTGGAATCCGATATCACGATACTAGCATTTCGACCCGGCTATGGCCGTTGTGTTGTGTGCGTTTATTTTTTTTATTTTTTTTTGGTACTGTTGGTCTCTGTTTTCGAGTTATTTATTTAATATCCTTTACTGAATTTGATGAGAATAACGCGATCATTATTATTAACATGGATGAAAAACATGTTTTTGTTAATTTTCCGTTTATAGTCGCCGTAAAAAAAATATATTTAAAATATATATAATATATATATATATATATATATATATATATATATATATATATATATATATATATATATATATTATATATATATATATATATAATATATATAATTTAAAATATATTTAAAAAAATGTATAATCTTAATGCCGGATAAATCTGCAAATGCAGACAAAATATTTTTTTATCCTGTCTCTAGCTGTGACCTCTGTTTTATCCTGTCTCTAGCTGTGACCTCTGTTTTATCCTGTCTCTAGCTGTGACCTCTGTTTTATCCTGTCTCTAGCTGTGACCTCTGTTTTATGTTGTCTCTAGCTGTGACCTCTGTTTTATCCTGTCTCTAGCTGTGACCTCTGTTTTATCCTGTCTTTAGCTGTGACCTCTGTTTTATCTTGTCTTTAGCTCTAACCTCTGCCTGTTGGGATGCTAGGCCTCTCTTGCAACTCTTTCTGCATTGATCGAACTTATTTTAACTGTAACTACTACCTGTCCCAAATCAGAAATGAAATGATGTTTAGATTAGAGTCAGCAACGGACATTGTGACCTTTAGTTGACCACAAACCTACGCATAGAAGCACGGACATTGTGACCTAAGTAAAATCTTGTTATAAAACATAATACCCCCACATCGTTGATTTAATGCTCTATCATAAATTAAAATGGCTGACTTTTTCAAAGGGAGGCAATCGATAAGATTACAATTTCATTCGCCAGGAGTTAACGTTCCCTGGCTTCAAGTCCGGCAGCAAGCTGGAAATGAAACACCGCGGTAATTAATTATTTTTTTACCCACACTATAGCTCGTCTTTGATTGGCTAACGTGTATTTTATGAAACATTAATCAAGAAAATAATTAAAAGGGGAGACGGGATTGGTAAAAATGTGCTTGTAATCAACACATTATTTTATTTAAGGAACTTTTATGTCGCTTTGCCAAGACAAACATTTCAAGAAATAAAATGTGATTTCTAGTTTTAGTAGCACGATGTTTAGTCATGTCTGTGTCTATGGACGGTAATAGTTGGGCAGCTGTCGTGGGAAAAATTGGACAATGGATGGCTTCAAACCCCAGCCTAGTGAAAAATAAATGTTTTATCCTTTTTCGTTGTTAATTGTAATGTCGAAAAGGATTTCCCTCCAACCCAGTTATTACATGTCAACATGTTATGTGCCATGAATTAGCCCGTTTACATCGATTTTAGCCTTTGTGGATTTGCTTCCTTAGCCTTTGTCCACCAAAGAGAAAACTACTACAAGTCAGAAGTTTTTTTTTTATTTTGGTGTTGTCTCCAGCTATCGAACCTCATCTGCCAGGGGGGTCGAACTTGGTACTTTCGGGTTAAGCAGCCATGAGCTTTACAGACTCGACCATGAAAAATGTCTGCTGTCTTTGATCCCATCTCCCTGCTGCCTGAGCCTCCCATCCCCTTATGAATTTATCAGCTGCGGCGAAAACTTTAAAGCTAGGACAGTAAAAGTCCGTTAATGTACGGTAACTCTTGGATCTGCTATATTGTTTAAATATATTCGAGTTATTTCCCTTTTTCTTTTCTCCATTTATTTTCGAAATCAAAGCCAATTTAATTAGTGCTATTAAAACTAATTAAAATGCTTCTGCTGTTAGTAGGGCATTAATTATAATGTAACAGTAATATTCAAAAAGAAGGTAGTTCCGACGATTAAGTTGAATTTGATTTTAGCATGTATTTTTTTTTTCTTGAAGTCATATAAGAAGTTGTGTTTTTGTTTATCTTCTTCTGGGATTAATAGTATTTTATTTTTAATTTATCTTTTTTTTTAAATGTAGAGGCTAAACATTGTCTCATTTTCGCTTTGGTCATATGTAAAGTAAACGTGTGTCTGTAAAGGATTATGGACAAACCACAATAAACTAGTTAAAAACTAGTTAAACTAGTTAAAAAAAGATATATGGGAGCCAAAATAATTTATTTTTGAGAAGTTGTCATAGAAAAGTACAGCAACAAGAGAAGTGTACAGCATATGTATATTATCAAACAAAATACAATATACATATAGCAACATAATATACATACAATTTTATTTCTATATACAAATCATAAATGTATATTATATAATTATAATCCAATCATTCATTTCTTTTTCCCATATTCCACAAGGTATTACTTCCCCTTCATACTTTCACCCTTCTTTTTGGGTCCATAAAGAAATCATATTGACTTGGTACAAAGTAAAAATAACATTACAGCATTTAAGCCCAAATAAAACTATTGCACATTATACATTCAACAAAAAAATTTTTACTCTTTCAAATAAATTACAATCTGTAATTATTGTACAGAAAATTAATATGTATTTTAATTTTGTGTATTTTATAAATATACATGTTATTTATACAGCAACTAACAAGGGCACACCAACAAGTTATTTTTATAGAAATAACTTGTTACAGCAGGTTTTTATTCTTACAGAACAACAGACTAGTCAAATGCTGAAGATTTTATTTTAAAGGAATGCTGCCATTTGATCCCATACTTGCATAATAATATAGGCCAGAGAAATTTTTTTTTATTTCTAGTGCAACTAAAACATTTTACCTACTTAAGTTAGCTATTAATCCTCTATTTCATGGTTCCTTAAAAAAATTCTGATCCTGAACAAACTTTTTACTTATTACAAAATGTGACTCTTGTGTAGTAATAAACTCCACGTTTTTGGAATGTGAAAATGTCTTATGGCAAAGCTAACTACTTTTTTACCCAAACAAACCAAAGAGTATAAAGGGTAACCACTTGTATACTGCATTATATAACAGAATCAACACCAAGGTGGTTACATTTGTGAGTGATGCTGATTATCTGAAAAGCACAAAAACATATTCAACTGAAACAGTTTGATTCCAAAAAATTTTTTTTGCCTGGTTGGCAAATATTATCAGACTGCATAAGATCAATTAAATCCATGGTTACTATCATCAATTGCTGAAGTTTATTCTATCATATTACAGATTTTTATCTTCAAATTTGCCCATTTTACATGATGTTTTATTTAGTGACAAACACATTTTTTTTTACAAAGTTTGCTTGAGAAATGTTACAAGACTTAAATAATCATAGAGATTTTATATACCTAATTCATTAAAAACATTCTAAATTTTATTAAATGTTTTAGTATTTTTAAATTTAAAAATGAATTTTAATGTATTTTCAGTAACCCCAGCATCAGTTCACAAATAATAAGCTAAAAGATATGCTTAATTCTGCGAGAAATTTTGAAAACATACAGGAATAAATATGTTTTACAAAAATACTAATCTTTGTAACATGGTCTAACCTGTTATTTTAAAAAGTTACGTTTTCAAAAATGTTTTGAAAAAAAAAAATCTCTAAATAAAACAAAGTAAAACTTTACCTGCAACATTTTTAAAAATACAACACCATAAGAAAAAAATGCTTGAGCATCTTATTTTATCACATATTACTTGGTATAAAAAGGTGAATTTGAATGACATTTACATAAGTCAACAGATTTATTCAGAGCAAGCTGAGATTCTATTTCTTTAACACTAACTGAAACTAACAAAACACATGCTTTGGCTAGCTAGCTATACATAATACATTATTTTAAACACTATTTCAAATAAAGCAATAGCTACTTAAGATTTAAATCTATAATATACTCTATGTGTATAGCAAATGGTAAAAGAATTAAAGATATATTTTATAGCCTTAAGCATACAACTGCATTAAGATCAAACTATCAAAGCTAATCACAATAATGCTAAAAGCCTGCATTGATTTTCAAACAACTATTATTATCTTACATTTTGCATCAACATGAAAAAGTATGATAAGTGTTTTAGCACCAAACATTAACACATATCTGGCCACTTGACCTGTGACCTGTAAGAGTTTACCCGATATTTTGATATGACTAGAGTTTGTTCACCAACATAGCAAGTGTAAAATATGAAACAACAAATAATGTGAAATGTGATGTGCTCTCAGTAATGTGTTCTCAAACTAGCAATGTTACATGCTGACTTTTACCAAAGCCTTTCTAACTCGTTTGCCTGTCACTACCAAGGATTGGTCTGCTGATGTGGGCCTCTTTCTGTAGTACCTGTAAAAATAAAATAACACATTTATTTACGTTGTTCAATTCATCTATTACAGAAGTATAATTTTTTAGTATCAAATTACAAAATGAATATACTCTGGAGCTAATTAAACAGATTACAGGTTGGCTCATATTATAATTATAATTTAAGTGCAAATGTGTCATGAAAGATTTTGTATGGTTTAAAAGTGCTAATAATTTGATCCTCTATAAGCTTTTAGATAATCATTATTTATTGACCACATGAATATACATTATTGACCACTAAAATTAGGATTATTGACCACTTAAATTGTTTATTGATTGCAAGAATTTAAAATTACTGACCAGTAGAAATTGGATTACTAACAAAAGAAATTAAAGCTTTCTTCTAGTTCCAAACATAACAATCTTTTTAGGAGTTTAGACAGAAATAAAACATAACAAATATAATAACCTTTGTAGTAACAAGTTTTTGAATGTAATTAAACATATTTTAGTGCTAAAAAGTTTTTATTAAAGAAAGCAAATTAGTTGTGTTTTTGTCTTATTTTTAGTACACTTTAAAAGTTTATTATACACGTTTTTATATTTATTTTATTTTGACTAAAAATATTTGATTTAAAACCTGACTTGCTAAAATACAGTATATGCGCTTTTTTTATTTCTGTTGGACGTTGGTGAAAAATCAGCAAATTTTGATAAGCAGTTCACCCTCAACAGCCTTTAGACAAGCAATCACTAGAATATTTTATCTTATTATCTCCTCTTTTATTATTGAATATTGAAATTTTTTAAAAATTTTAATGACTAATATGTCTGATTCAATTAAAAATAGACATCCTTGCATTGTCATCAAAGGAATGTGGAATGACTGAACAAAATTGCTGTATAAGAAGTATGTTTAAATAGAGTTGCAAGACTTGCTGAGCCACAAATATATTAGTTGTATGTAATGAAAGCTACTAACATTAAGATCTTTTTACTGGAATCATTCAAATAAACAGAAGCATCTTTACACACAAAAATAATAGTAAAGAATTAATAACTTTTGCCAACTGTAATAAAAAGCCTATCCCAAGCGATTTCCACATCAGTTTTTTTTTGTTCGTTTAGTTTGAAAAAAGAAAGCACTTACTTTTTTTGTTTGTCTGATGATAAAGAAAATTCATCCTGTGCTTCAAGGTCAACCTCATGGGTATCTCCACTAACATCCTTCTCTTCATCTTTCACACTTATTTCCTCCTTTAAGGAGAGCGAACTTTTTGATTTTCTCTTCACATTTACTGTTTTATTGACAGGGGACTTGGAAGCTTTTTTCACGAGCAGGTGGGTGGGTTTGGATGGAGAAAAATCCTGGAAGACCTCCAGTCCATGATCTGGCAGTCCATCACTGAGATGGTCAGAGAAAGATTCAGACCTGGGGATCTGGTCCACTTTAAAAGTGCCAGGTGAATCTAGCAGATCTGTATTCGCCTGCAAGGTGGAGGGGCTTCCTTTTGAGGAGGTAGAAGATTTTGATTTTTTTACACAATGTGTAGACAGCAAGTCATTGGGTAAGCTGGTGTCAATGTTGTGCTGAGATCTCCCCATGCTGAGGGTGTCCTCGGAGAGAGGTGCGTCCTCTTTGAGGCTGTCTTTGTACTTGAGATGGATTTCACTATTCTTAGAGCTATCATCCACCATAGGAGAACAGAAGTCTGAGGTGACCAAGCCAGAGATATCACCCGCTGAGCTGTGGCCGGACATGCCAGCAAAGTCCGACAGCTGTTCTTCTGTCATGGTGATGATACTGCCGTGAGTGCCGTCCAGCGGCAAACTCAACGCCTCCATGTCCCCAGACAGGAGCTGCACGCCTCCCTCCCCTGAACCACCCAGTGATGTTAACATCTTCATTAAAGCGTCCCTGTCTACCGCCACGTTGACCAGTGTGGGCTGGCCAGTCTCACTGTTCACACACGTGTACCCTTTGACGACAATATACTGAGGCTGAATGTTTGTGTTGTCTGATGTTGTAGCAGTGCAGGTGTTGATGGGCTGTAAGAGGGAATCTGTGGAGGCAGCAGAAATGTGCCCAATGCTAGTGTTGGAGATGTCACCTTGTTCTGTCAGAGAATTTCTTTGAGAGCCTCCAGAAAAGACATCATTGCCCTTAAATTAAAACAAACAAAAGTTATAATTATCCTTTTATTATATCACTTCAAGTTTGTTAAAGCGGATGGATGTTAAAATTGGGTTTACAGTAACTAGGAATGTTACCCTTACTTTTCTTATGATAGCCTTTGTTGAGATGGAACCCTCACTCTCACTGTCATCTGCAGAATCTAGATCTGAATCAGACTCCAGTTCAGCTTGTGTGCTTGCTTCACACTATAGCAGGGAGATAAAACATAAAATAGCCTAAATATAAATGTTATTTTAATATTTGATTTGTTTCTGCTCCATAAAAATAATTTAATTTCTACACCAAACAGAAGACTACACATGCATAATAACAGCTGCTAGAAGAGATGATTCAAACAATGGTTTAATTAAATATTAGATTTTAATCAAATAGTTGAAAGTAATGAAAATGTTGACAATCTGGATAGTTAATTATAGAAGTTGAGCTTTGCTGTTTACACTACCTTAACCTAACACTTCACAGAAAAAATATCAGAAAAAAGTAGCCTCAGGTAAACTGATGTAAAGATGATTCAATTAACACAAAGGAAAAAAAATTAACACTAACTTGCAAAGATTCAACAGGTTCTTCTGTACCATCCTCATCATTAAAGTGATCATCATCGGAGGAATCATCATCTCTGGAAATTTTCACAGCAGCTTCTGTATCTTTATTACCTCCCTTGTCAGTGTTTACCTTCCCTGCTAGTGAAGACTTTTCGTTGTTGGTAAGTGCAGAGAAAATATCATCCATGTTCATTTTGTCACCCTTAGAAGTCAAGAAACAACAATGTTTAAGAACTTAACATTGTAGCATGGATAAAACATCAGACTTTGTATTACATAAATGGATTATACACACAAAAAAACTAGATTAAAAGTGAAACAAAAATTATTTTTTTTAAAAAAACATTTTAGCTTGAGTTGCTTTATAAACTTGAATTGACTGCCTGTATCTTAGTACGATGGCAGATAACTACTTGTAGGAAAATGATTTAGTACTAAAAACTCAATGCTTCTAAACGATGACAAAAAAAATGGCATTACTATGGGTATTTTGGATGAGATTTCTTCTAAGGACCCATCAGGGTGCACAATGACAACTTGTGGCACATCTCCAAGTTTTCCAGCTTTGATGTCCTGCAGCAAATTCCTGTGTAATGTGTCAGAAGTGAGAGGGGCACTTGTTGTGCTGCTGCCATCAGCACTGAGTATTGAGTCCAGCTTGTTTTCTTGGGTGGGGCGATCCAGACTGCTTTTGTACATGGAGGTTTTATCTACACTATGTTCATCGCTCTGTAGAAAGAGGCACCAGTGCTATTCACAGGGTTTTTACAACACCTTTTAAAAATTAGATTTCCAGATCTTTTCAACACATTTTCAATACATAAAGGTAACAAATCAAGAGGGGCTATGTTTACGACAATCCTAACGGTTATTTATTTTTTTTAAACAATTAAAATTAAATTATCTCTATTTTTTTAAATATTACCTTGACAAAAATTTTAAATATCCTTGAAAATTATACCAAAATAACATTACTTTAAAAAATGTATTTAGTATAACTATTTTGAATGTCAATAAAAACTAAAAGAAAACTGCTGACTTGAGAAGTACTATGAAATTGTAATAAAATTTCTCATGGACAATAAAAGGAGTAATTAAAATAATATGTCTGTGTACAAACCTCTTTATCTCTAGAAGAATCCAGTTCCGACTCTTCTCCCAGCTGACATGTGACCTTATGTTTGTCTAAAGTCTGGCTGAGGTTAAAGGACGTGTGGCAGGTGTCACATTCATACTTCTTGCCATTGGAGTGGATGGCTGCATGGGCATCAAAACTACGTTCTGTGTTAGCTATGAAGTCACACTCATCACATTTGAAGCATTTATCTATATCATGACCACGGACATGCTGTTTGTATGAGTACCTACAAGTATCAAATACAAGAAACAACATTAAGGTATTGCCATATGTATGGATTCATATATGTAATAACAAAAAAAATGTAATATAGTATGGACGATGATGGATGATTATGTATTCATACAAGTCAACATTAAGCCTAAAAAATTAACAACATAATTATGTAGACCAATTTATTTTGGAAAAAAAAAGCACTATATAAATTGAATATTCAGTTTAAACAATGACTTATCAGTGCAACTCAAAGAAATTAATCAATCTCTATTATCCTTAAACATAAATTTACCTGTAAACCCAAAAAATAAATGTATATACACATATTGAATTACCTGAATGTGAAAGATATTACCTGTCAGAGAAAACTTGTCCACATTTTTTACATTCTAAAGGTACACCTTCAGCATGTAACTTGTTAATGTGGATTTTCAGATCTGTTCTTCTCCCACAGGTAGTTGGACATAGGCTGCACTTAAAGACAGGCTTATTTCCTGAGTGTATAAGCTTGTGGGCTTTTAAACTGTTGCTCTGGGTAAAGCGTGTATGACAAATATCACATTCATATGGCTTTTCTCCTGTGTGTATCCTCAGATGGCGTTTTAGTTTGTAGGTGTCAGGGCTTGCGTAAGCGCAGTATGAGCACTGTGGAATTTGAATATTTTAGATGGTTTGCTAAAAAACCAGCCTAATTTGTGATATCCATCACAATCACACTGGCTTTTTTAAAAAGTATTGATCCTCAGAAGTTCTGAGTACTATTTTTTGACTAACCTTATATGGTCTCTCTCCTGTATGTGATCTCATGTGTCTTTTAAGTTTTGAAAGCTCAACGCTTGCATAATCACAGTTGGGACATCTATGAGGTTTTTCAAATGTGTGACGGTATCTGATGTGGCGAACAAGTTCCCCTGATGTGGTGAAAGCTGCCTCGCAGGTCTAAGGATAAAAATAGATCACTGAAATTGAATGTAAACAGCGTGACACAAACTACAGAGTTTTGTAATTTTTAGAAAATTGTTTTGATGTTAAATTAGCTAGAAAGTCTTTTAAAGAAATTTGTTTCTAAAAATGAAAATGCTGTTCTATGTATGTCTGCTGACATGAATACACAACTAAAATAATTGTAAATGTTAAATTTAACAGTGAATATTTTAAACTACTTAGTAATGGTGGCTATTATAAATAACAATACTTTTTTCTCCAAAGAATGAAACTAAAAACTGCTGCTATTGTAATAATTCAACAAGACAGAAAAAAATAAAAACATATTAATCTAAAGCATTAAACAACCACCTCAATATTAATTCTTTCTGAGTTTTTAACAACATCTTGTGGTTTTCTTAAGTTCTAAAAAGGTCAAGATGATGCTTAATTTTTTTTAGTAAATCAATAGAACAATAAATTAATTAAAATAAATATTTTTCATTACACTGAGTAAAACTATAGCACACTTACTTTACATTTATGTGGTCTGGTTCCTGTATGAGTATTTACATGATTCATTAAAGAAGCCGGAGTCTTGAAGCCCCTGTCACATTCTTTACACTTATGAGGCCGCTCATCAGAATGAGATTTCATGTGCCTGGTTAGTAAATAACGTTTTGGGCTTGTGTAATCACAGTAGTCGCATGTCAGCTGGGTCCCAAAGTTGTTGATATATTTCTTTGGAACAACCCTCAAAATTCTTTTCACTTCACCGTTTATTTCCACAAAGTCTTCTGTAAATTCTTGATTTTCTTGCTAAGAGAATAAAAAAATGTTTTAGTTTTCTATTGATCAAGTACATTTTTCATTTCTTTAGTCCCTGAAAACTAAAATCAAATAAATATTAACATAAAATATTTATGATAATTTTTGTTTCTATTTTTAAATATCTTTATGTCCACATAAGATTTGATAAAAAGTCTTTCTATTCAGCAGAAGATAACAGATTATAAAATGAAGAGATAAAACATGAACACAATGACAATATAAAAACTTACCTTGAAATCTAAAACTTGTGCTAGTTGCGTGGTTAGCTGGTTATTTCCATCTTTGTTCCCATCTGACTGGGACATGATCAGGACGTAGTTCATATCACCACCTTGATTGAGCTCAGAAGGAAGGATAGTTATAGTTTGAAAACCAAGATCTGAGTTTATGGTACCATCTGTTGCCAGTAAGCCAGACATCTAATTTGAAAATCATAACAAAGAAATAATGAAACAATTTATAGCTATTCAATATTTTAACATTCTTACAAGCTGTAAACTAGTCAGAAATAAGCAGTAGAAATTCAAACACACCTTCTTAAACTGTTATCTATTAGCCCTTAACATTAAAATCAATAATATGAAAGCAGTAAGGCACAATCTATTGGATGCTGGACGAACATTTTTGACAATTAATGAATTGTACCAAGTAGGTTATATAGTTTTTGTTTTTAATTAAACTGTAAAAGTTTGACCTGCAAGGCTTCAGTGGTTAAAGCTGTTCCATTGGGTAATGCCACCAGCTGAGGCTGGGAGCTATCAGACTGCAGGGCCACAAGTTGGGTGCTGTCTGAGATACCATTGCTGCTATTGGCTATGGTGGTGATGCTGTCATTCCTCCCTGTTATCATTATACCATTGGCCCCAGCAGATGTCAGAATGGAGGAAGATTGTGTGGCACCTTCGCTGGCTGAACCAGTATCACCCTACAGTAAAATATCAACATGTTCACTAGAAGGTTAAGAAAAATGTAACGCATTAAAAGTTGGCTATCAAAAAACATAAGCAAGAATACTGTATTTACTTTTTTTCCTACTTTTGCTGTTATAGTCTGGGGTATGGTTAAGGCCAGGAACAGGATCTTTTTATGAATTAGGATAGCTAAATAATTTTAATAAATGCCCAACAATCTAAATTAACATAAAAATGTACCTTGTTTGTAGTATTAATATTCTGTTTTTAAAAATTGTAAGATTTGGTTTTAAATAACGTTTCTTTTTTATGAGCCATGAATAGTATTTAAAATGCCAGCTATAAGCAAAACATCTTTCATGCAACCACTTTTTAAATAATCATTTTCATTATAGAAGAAACATCTTTCCAAAAATATTCCTACCCCTTGCATAGCAAGAACAGAATCAGAAGCTGTTAGTGCATCACTAGACATGCCCAAATCTTGGTTGAGTATCTGCATCTGAGCCCCATCACTCAGGGAAAGATAGTGGCCATCGTCGTCCAGGGACACAATCCTGATCACCTTGCCACCAGTGGGGTCAAGGTTGTCACTCAGTGATGTCATAATTAAACTCTGTTGATAGTTGTTATGAGCAAAATTAAACTGCAAGAAGATAAATAATAATTCACAGATATGGAAGTGACAGTTTATCCTACATATATATGTGACAAAATAAGTTACAATGATCCTTTTGAGAGAAATACAAAATAAAAACTCATATAAGTGCATGAAACAAACCAAGTTTCATTTACTTAATAAAATTCACTATGAATGTAAGAAGATTTTTCCTCCCATTGCAGAGAATTAAAGTATAAGGTGAAAGTTTAAAATAAATGTATACAAATAAATGTATGTAAAATGGAGTTCATACCCCTGCCATTGGGTTGGATTGAATGTCCCTTATGCTCTGAGCAGTTCCAAAACCTGCATTCTGTGTCAGGACTGATTCAAGGTCAATAGTTCCAACTTCCTGTTTTATATTTACAATATCTGTATCAGTGGATCCAACTAAACTTTGAATCTGGTGTGTGGTTTCGTCTGAAAGTGGTGTATCAAGAATACCTGTGTAGAAAAGCAAAAATCCCATTTTAAAAAAAAACCTCAACATGTCCAAAAATGTGCTTATATTATGAAAACATTGAATACATATGTGTGAGATTTACAATTAACTGTTTTGAGAATCAATAATTTATCAATATAAATAAGTTTTAGGGGATAAATTGCTTATTGTGCAATTGTGAAAAGGCTACCTTGCTCTGAATAAAATCCAGATGAAAACTGTGATGTAACGCCTCCTTCACCGGGTTCCTGAAGGTGATGACTCCCTGATGTAGGATTGTACAGGTCACCCACATCTCCCGTATCAACACCCATGTGGGACAAAACATCATCACCAGGCTCTATCTCTTTGTTGAATGTGGATAAGTAGTTTTGAAGGTCGTGAAGATTTTGGTTTTGGCCTGCCGACCCAGGCTCATCTTCAGGGTCCATTTATGAACAAGCTTTGGGTCAACTTCTCTGAACAGCCTGCACAAAAAATTTAAGTTAACTTTATACAAGAGTAAACAAGTAAAAATGTAACATACATTTCAAATTTTTTTTTCTGAGCAACTAGTTGTGTAATGTAGTGAATAAGTCCACACATGGATGACATAGATGACATACTTGAAGCTAAACAGAAGTAAATTTAATTTTATAGATACTGTACTGGGTACAGGGCTAATTAAAAATTATACATTCATTCAAGGCATTATTCAGACAGTGGGGAAAAGTGGTAGAGTGATTGAAACATTATTGTCTCAAAAGTTCGGTTCTTGTCAATGAATATTGTACATTCAGTTCCAGACTCATTAGGCAAAATTAAGGTAGCTAAGCAGTGAATCAGAATCAACCACAATATATCAATATCCCTACATGTGCAGAAATCACAGAAACAAGTTAACTCTGCTTCATCTGCTTTAAAGTAGAATAGAATTGACGGTCTTGCCTGAGAGGGTAACTTGTTTTTTTTAACTGAAAATTTGTACTAGGCCCTTGTGAAAATTAGTTAATGTACTATGTGTATGTACAGGCTAGTGGATATTTATTCTTATGACCCATAGGTCAATTTTAAAACTAGTGTATTAAATGGGGTCCCCATTTGAGGATAATTACAGTATTACAGTTAGAATGGGCCTATAGCCTATAGCATAAAAATAGGGGTTTACAATTTGATGTAAACTGTTATTATCTTGGCAGCCAGGCAGAGATATTAAGTTTAAGGAAAATAAAATAAATCCCTCTTTCACTCTTGTTTTCATCAAGTGGACCAATAAGTTGAATAAGACAACCTAACTAAATTTATTAGAACTATTACTAGATCTAGAATGACTAGATCTATATGTTCAGTTCAAGTTACTACTTTATTGCAAGTAGAGCAAAATGTTCCCATTATATGATTTTATTTGTGTGCTCAGAATAGCTGCGTTTTAATATTTTACATTTTTTATTTAAATGTGTGTAGGCTGGCTGTAAGTGTAAAGTAAAGTGTTTTCTATGGAGACGGTGGTATAATCAACTTGTATTCAGTGGTGCACTTCGCCATCTTGAAATCGCTAGGCCTATAATTAGATCGATAAGGTCTCTGTATATTAATGAAATGTGTTAATCAAATGCGTTTTTATGTTGGTAGCTTTAATAGTGTTGGATATAGTTCGGTGTCGATTTAGAACAAAGAGTAAGTGCCACCGCTAGGGGTGTTCTTGGCTTCAAGCGCCCTCATCTTCCAAGCGCCCTCTGCAACATAGGTGTTGCTCGGAGACGGACGCTTATCTAGTCTACAATTCTCTAGCTCCAGTTGCGCACTAGATGAAATTCAAGCTAGTTTAGCAATGTATGTGGTTTGATTACCTTTCAAAAGCAACCATCCGTTCGTCTTCAATCGGTATTAATTTGAGATTTTGCTTCACGCCTGTGTTAAATCACAAGTATCTTCTTTACTACAACAATGTCCGGGTAAAAAATTCAAGATGGCTGACAAGTTCAAAAAAATACTTGACTGAAATAGTCACGTTAAATTCTTTTGAAAACCTACGACTTATGATAGTCTACATCACTCCATGACTCAACAATGACAAGCAATTACCCTTCTTTTCAAATAAAAAAGTTTCTAAATGTTATGTTTTTAGTAAGGTTAATATTTAAAACCAAACTTTTAAATCTGTCGCTGGAGGGCGCTTGTGCGCAGTTCTCCATGAATGTTCTGATCTCTGCGCATGCCCAGGTCAAGGGGTGGAGTTAAAAATAAATAATTTAAAATGCAAAATTTCTACATAATATAAATAGAAAAAAAAACTAGATTTCTAGATCTAGTTATTGGTTAAGCCACACTTGAAAAACACAGTTGTTATCTACAGATCTAATGAGTAGGCCTAGAAGTAACATTTTCTTAAAATTAGCCATTTTCTATCTTCGAAATAGTTTCAATTTGTTTCTTTTAAATAGAATACTAAACTCGTCTTTTATTGGGATATATCAAAATAAAAATTAATAACTATTTAACACTAAACTTTTTAAACTTGTGTTGTAGGATTAAAATTAATTAAGTTATTATAATGATCTAGGCCTATTAAAACGCTACTACCTAGAGTTATTAATAAAAGGCCTTTACTTTTACTATAGCTGTGTAAAGCGAGCTGCATATCCGTGCTTCGCTTTACTTTAAGGGTCATCCATAAATGACGTCACGTTTTTTTACATCCCTCCCCTCCGTCACACGTCGTCACAAAAAGGCAGACCCCCCCCTTAAAATGACGTCACACCTCAGCCTACAAGCCCCCTCATAAAAATTGCAGTTGAATTTTTTTGAAACGTCGATATTTTTCTAAAATAGGGTATAAATTCTTATTGCAATTTATTAAAACAGTTTTCTAAAACGCGAAATAGCGTCTAAAATTCGTTTTCTAACATTGCTTTTTTATAATGCAAAAGTGTGACGTCGCACCATCTGAACTCCCCCCCCCCCTTCCCCCTCGTCACACACCGTCACAAAATTACGGACCTCCCCCCCCCCTACGAGTGTGACGTCATTTATGGACGACCCCCTTAGTGTTCAAATTGGCCATAAACAGACATTTTTTTGTGTAAAGTAAATATTACATTTTCACATAATAAAAAAGATATTAAATTGAATTAAGGGGAGAGAATTACAGACAGGGAAATAACATACCTCCATGAACCACACTCACCTCACCATACGACCCACATCCAACTTGCCCATATAGCACAACACACGCCTCACCCCCGCGATCCACACCCAAACACTCACCCCAAACCACTCACATCATTCCCCATATATCAAACTCAACCCCACAACACACATAAACAACCCATACACGTGAAGCAGACCAAACCCCACACCATCCCCAGCAACACACCCCATTACCCAGAAACACACCACCCCACACCCCGTAACCAACACGCCACATCATACACCACACAATAAAACCCAATTATCAGATCACATCCCAGCAACCCACACAGCACAACCCACACATTAACCCAGTAACCCCACCTTCAACACTCACTCAACCACTCATTGCATACACCCCACTACACTCATACATCACATAACATACAGAGTACACCAAACCTTACACCAACTCTCACACATACCGAACCATACTTTTACACACCCCACCCAACACTAATTTGTAGTTGGACTGTGTTAGAAACTATTCAAATATATGGTACGTAAAAGTAAAGATTCATTTAGACCTAACGATCCATTGGGCAGCTGAAGTGGAGTTCATAATATAAAGGGATAATGTGGTCAGCACTATGCCCAGCCGCCTTTACTTTCCCTAAGGTGTTGGGTGGACTCAGGGATGTTCCACTATTTTGAACCCGGATTCGAACTAGAAACTATCGGGTTAGCAGTCAAGCGCGCCACCGCTAGGCCACGCCGACCAAATATATGGTGGGGGTGAATCGATGTACAGAAAAATACAAATACACACAATTTTAAAAGATGACCGGCATTTGCAGATGTAGGCTACTTCAATTTACTGATCACTTCGACATATTACAAAGTGTAAATGACACACTTGTAAAGCCTAATACTTAAATACATCGTGTAGATGTATTAGTAATTTAAATAATAGAAAATGAAGCAAAAAATACAACTGCTTTAAAAACGAAAATCATTATACTGAAAAAGAAAAAAAAAAGAATAGCCGATTTTTTTACAAGCAGAAACCATAAATCCTTTAAACAGGTGACACTCTATTACTATTAGATTATCAGTATTGAGAGATGTGCGAACCAACAGTACAAATAAGTTATTTAGCCCAGATGGTTTTTTTAAGCGGCCTATTAGCAACGACGTATGGAATGTTAATGTTGTTCAGATTACTTTTTAAAACAAATCCCTTTTAATTTGTCCCATTGTCCTCTCATCCTAACTCACCAACCCAGTTCGATTAAAATAAAGTTAGTTATCGTTCTTCATCCTTCAGAATTTACTATGATATTTGTATAAACTGTTGTTTATCTGAGTCGTTTTTGAGGCAAAGACTAACTCCGTTGAACATTTAATACACCGCATTAAGTAAAAAAAAAAACAAGTAGGCGTAAATAGTAGTAGTCCTATTGTTGTACTTCGATTAAATGACTTTCCGACGTTGTATTTTGGAAGATAGGATACAACATTGATATATTGAAATAAGTAGATCTAATATCATGATTCAATGTTCATCATAACCTCTTCGTTACAAAAACGCATTTGACATCAATGCATTAAATGTCAAAGAAGTCGCAGATACAAAAAGTTTGTAAAGCTCTGACTCCTTAACTTCATATGACGTCACGTTTTTATGCTATCTCCGCCCCCCCCCCCTTTTTTTTTCATTACTCAAGGACACAAAATGTTAGACCCCGGCGTACTCTAAGATGACATGACATTTTACGTCGCGCCTTCCACAAGATTTGGGTCAAGAGTACTCAATCAGTTGTTATTACAATCAGCAAAAACAAATAGATCTATCTTTAAAGATGAAAAAGTAATGCTAAATTGAGTTTTAAAAATTGCCAAAGTGTGATGTTTTATAATTCTTACCCCCCCCCCCCCCCATCATTTACCTAAAACGTGACGTCATTATTGGAAGGCCTACATTATGTATGCAATCAATTTTACAACCACTTATATTTTTAGCGCAATTTCCATTCTGGAGAATTGCGTTTATTAACCCGTCATTTCTGGATGTATGAATGAATGGATGGATGGATGGATGTGTGTCCGCAGCTTTAAGTCGTATCTCCTCCTCAACGAAGCAATATCGATGACTAGTTCCAAAAGCAATTATGTTAAGCAAGTTACGAGGATGAACATAGGCCATAAAAACTCCGGGTTTCTTTCATGGATTTCCCGGAAAAGCCAAAAAGCCTCGAAAAAATGCAGTTTTTGGCCCATATTTCGGCAACCAGACCACTTAGCGACTTGAAACATTTACCAATCGATTCCTGCCATAATTTAGAACAATATTGCCGAAGAAAGTTTTCAAAAATATCCTTTCGTTCGGTCACAAAAAAAATTTTTAATTAATTAAAATTTGGACCGAATTACTAGGCATTTTTATTCAACCAGACCACACGCGTCATCACGTTCAATAGCTGCGCCATCACGGTCAATGGCTGCGCCATCACGTTCGGTAGCTAGGCGCGCAATGGTTTTTAGTCATGTAACTCTATTGTAAATAAAACATGTAAAATACTGAAAAAAAATTAATAAAAAACGTTTTAATAACTAACCAATGGTTTTACTAACCCTGCTCTTGATTTACGCTACGACAGAGCTATTTTTAGATAACATAAGGAAATTGCGCTTAAATGTCACTAGACTTTTTAATTAACTTGTTTTATAATGTCTTATAACGAACCTACTTCTTGCATGTCCCTCTGATCACATTCACACATTTTAACATAATTAGATGGTAAATTGATTTTTTTCAAAAATTACATTTTAGTGCTATAAGTTATAAACAGCTCACATACAGCCTGTCCAACGCTATTCTAAACGATCAACATACTGCATTGTTTTCAGCAGTTAAAAAAAAATAATAATTTAACTTAACAAAGTTGTGGGACTTTCTAGCAGATTATCTCTCTTTGGTATACCCAATTCAAAGCTACAAGGGCGCCAATCTATAGGGTAAAACTACAGTATAATAAATCAAATGTAGGCCTACATTACCTTATACACCATTAACATAGTGGTGAGTTTTCATAGTTTATTTGTTAGAATGGACCTCAGGACCCCTCACAAGATGAATCTAAATGCTCCTGTCTTACCCAACAACATGGTTATCATAGACATCATTGGGGGGGGGGGGTGTTATTTGGTGTATTGTTCAGTGTGTGTTATTTGGTGTATTGTTCACATGTCATAATTTTGGACCATCGAGATTGTGATTCTGATTTAAGTAGTGAGTTAAGCTTATACCCAGTATGGCTAAATATAGCTTAAAACGTAGCCAAGGGAGTGTTTTATTATTTGAAAAAATTATACCTACAAAATATATTTATATATCATAGGACTTAGGACAGCAACTTCTAGACTTTACAGCATACAGGTAAAAACAAAATAATATACAACTGTTAATGTTTAAAAAAATTTAATTAAAAAAATAACTTCAACTTAACATGTCACATTAAGTTAATGACTAAAATACTTACAACAATCATGATAAATAAAATTACTTTGGATAGCAGCTTTTTTTTTTTTTTTTTTTACGGCAAACTAGTAAAACTATACATTTGGTAATGATAAAATAATTTTAATTAAAAAATAAATTTAATGTCACATCAATTTAATAACTAAAAATAGCTACAACAATCATCACCGAGGATAAAGAAATAATATCATTTTTTTTCCACTTAGGACGGCAACTTTTGTTTTAGATTAACCAACAAACTAGAAACAAAATTAACTTCCCTTAAACATGTAGTAAAGTTAATATTTTTAAATGGTCACAACATTCATGAAGTAAAATAAAAAGTACAATATCATCTGATCTCCCTGTAGGCAGTTAAGGCCAAAATAACTGCTTTGCTTACATTTGGAAGTATTCAGGTCAAGACAATAAACACAAGGTCAATAATATATTATAATATACATTTTTACAACTATTTTCAGGGAATGAATTTGCATTAATTTGGAATTACAAATTTTCAAAGAATGAAATATTTAAACACACAGTTCATACTTGCAGCTCTTTATATTTTAATAGCCATATTATCAGTAGCCATATTCGCACCAGGATATTCAAAATATTTACAAAATTTCCAATTTTAAAAATTGAGTATTTTATAGTTGCAAGGCTTGAAAATATCTTCTCTTTTGTTTGTAAGTGTTCATTTTCTTAAATTAAGTATCATAAGTGCATTTGTGAATAAATTTTAAAACTATAAAAATAACATAAAATATCTAGACCTAGAAAAAATAAATTTAAACTATAATAATGACATAACTAGAGGGAATAAATTTTAAAACTAAAAAAATGACATAGCTAGAGACAGAATTAAAATATTTTTAAAAAGTTAAGTAATAATAAGCTAACATGTTCAATATTTGTTTGAAAAAAAAACAACTCCCAGCTGAATGCCTTTCTTACAATATGGTACATGTATGTGAAAGATACCATTTTTTAAATTATTTACTTCATTTCAAACTTAATATGTGACCCATATAGACTACTTGTAACTGGAATGTTGACTGCTATTTAAAAAATAAAGCTTTTAGAAAGTAGAACTGAAATATTTTTACATATAGGAGTTATTCTACCAGCATTTTCATTTAATACTATCTCATTTACAATGCAAAAAGATACAAATTAATATATTAATCAGCTCTAAAATCTCAAAAATATCTGAAGAAAGGTCAATGCTATCTTTTAAATTTTAGAATCCAAGCAACAAAAATAAAAGGTATTCAAGATGTAAAACAAGTTATTAGAGGAAATCTACATTTTTAACTTTAGCTTGAAACATATCTACACATTTAGTAAAGAACCAACATAAATTATTTAACCAAACTTTGTATGTACATAAAGCTGTTAATAAAATAATCTACCATTGTGAGATGTGAAAAATTCCAAAGTTTATAAAATAATCTACCATTGTGCGATGTGAAAAATTCCAAAGTTTATAAAATAATCTACCATTGTGCGATGTGAAAAATTCCAAAGTTTATAAAATAATCTACCATTGTGCGATGTGAAAAATTCCAAGAACATTGCCCTCGTTTTGTATTTTGGCCAATTTTAATATACCAAAAGGTTTATAAGGCACATTTTTCAGTGGAGAGAAAAAATAATTACACAATGGGTTCTGGGTACTGTCAGAGAACAGCCTGGGTGAAGTGAGGTGTGTTAACCAGGATAAATTAGACTAGAGTAGATGGAAGTAAGTACAATTTTGGGTTGATGTGGACGGAAGAAGAATCAACAGTCCTCGAATTTTTGTGTGGATTGTATAAATCAAATAAATAGAAGATCTCTATGATTCAATACCAATACAAAATTAGTCCCAAACATACAAGAATAAACAAAGGAATGGTTTAAAAAATTAATTCAAGCAGCATATGATGCTAAGCTAGTAAACTTTACAAAAACCACTGATTGTCTGTTTTTTTTAAGAAAAACATAGTTTTAAAGTCAGCATTTCCAATTTTGGAAATATAATCTCAATAGGAAAAAAACTTGTTACAAAAAACTGAAAGAAAATGTGAAGTACAGGGCACAGAAATAATTCACATTTAAAAATCTAGCTGACAATGCATGAAATGAACATTAACCAAAGAAAAATGAAATAACATATGGCACAAATACCCTGAAAAAAGCGTGTCACAAAAATCAAAACAAATGTGCCCCAACAAAAATGCCCAGTAAATCTCATGGAAGAGAATATGCTATTAGTTCTTTCAGTTACTAAATTTTGTAAATAACTGAATTACAATGACAACAATGAACCATCTGAAAGCACAAAAGAATGACAGGATTCAATAAAATAAAGCATATGTTGCACTCAGCTGAAGACACCCCACGAGCCCACAGCTCAAGGCTTCAGGTGGCCTCACATTGTGACCATCCTTCAGGTTGAAACCAACAAAAACATGCATAAAATCAAAATACCTTACTCCTAGATTATTAGAGCCCTCCAGTTCCTTTTTCTTCTAACCATACAAAAATTACCTTCACTAAAATTCACTAAAACATTGGCCAGAAAAAGGAAACTTATTTGGCATTAAATATCTGATAATTTTATTATAGGAATGTCAACACAAAGTGTTCAATGGATTAAAAATGTATGTTAATAATGGTCATACCAAACTTTATAATTGTATAGCACACAAAATATAGCAAACATGATTGTGCCGTTTACTTAATAAAAGTAAAGTAAAGTTTCCCTTTCAAACCTGACGGTCTATGGGGCCAGTGAAGTAGAGTTCACTTGTTTCTGTGACCTCGGCATATGAAGAGATAGTTTACTTAATGAGAGGTGGCAATCAATAACCATATGATTGGAAGGGGATCTTTTTTATCTAGAGCTACATTGTCAAGGGCCATTTTTTTTTTGCTGAACATTGTCAGGCCTATTTTGACCAGTCCTTTTAGCTGGGCAATTACTGTCACTGGCTGCTTTGACAGAGTACCTTATTTAACAGCAATTCAATTTAACAAGATATCACTGTCAGAGTCCAAAGCCATATCATCATTGCTGCTGGTACTGCCACCTCTGTTTGCCTCCCCTTCTGGCAGAGTTTGACCTCTTTCTACCATTGCTTTACGATGAAATGCCACTAAAAAGAAAGAATAAAAAACTGGATAAATTTCAAAACATTTGTAGAATTCTAGTTTTAAGTTAACTAAACTAGGGTACAATTTCATTCTAATCCAGTGCATGTTGGTAATCCAGCTAATGTAATTTCAATAGCTATCCCATTTTCAAAGGTGACAAGAGTTTTTTTTTTTCAAAACGGTCATTTTTATAAGTTTTATGTGATAATAATTAAAAAATTTAAGAAAACATGTAAAAGTATTTTCATTTGTTTTGCTAATTTTTTTTTTGTTACTGAAATTGATTTCAATTGGCAACAATTGACTATAATTTCAAAAGTAACTGGTATCTATGCCTTCCTACCACTATTGAAAATTCTGAAATTTTGAATGTCATAAAACCACAATTTTCTTTTGTTAAAATTATTATGTTTGTGTATGTGTATTTATATATATATATATGTATACAGATGTTTTTATCCCTTCACCGCTGCCTCAATGTGTGATGTTCATAAAATAGCAAGTTAACCAAATAATTCATGCAACACTTTCTTGCTAGATGCGTTGAAAAGTATTGATACATTTTTTATTAGGAATCCAATTATCACAACAATGGATGAAAGAGGATACATATGAAAAGCTACCTTTTTCCTCATTAAAGTCAATGTCTTCATCATTATCAAACACATGTTCACAGTATGGTCTTAGGGTTGGAGGCTGAAAAATAAAATACTTCCGGTTACAACATTTCCCCACAAAAATATTTCAATGTAATAATAACTTTTTAAAATCCGAACAAATTAAAGCAAAGCATGTTGACAAAAAAAGTGTGGTAAAAAAGCTAACAACCACACCTTCTTTTTTTGTTTTAACAGACGGCTCCATTGTCCTTGAATATACTTTGATAACACAACAAAGGTGTTGCTGCTTTGAAAAACAAAGTTTGTCTTATCTGGGGAGACCATGCCGTACAACTCCCAGTTTAACTCGTAGGTTACCCCTTCTGTTTCAGTCCTGTGGAATCAAAATATTTAGAGCTAAAGTTGCACTCGTTGTTTAAACTGTCAATCTAACAATCACATTTATGTTTTTGTTTTCATCTAAAAAAAAATTTTAAACCACATTAACAGACCTGCACTGTATGTTGGTAGATGTTATGATAAAATTTTCGCGCTGTGCATTTTTTATTTTGAAGCTAAGAAAAATCTTGAAGCAGTTCTGGGTCCATTCTACAACAGGCACAACACTGGGGAACAAAGTTAACAATTTTTAAGTAAAGTAAAGTTCCTTTTCAAACCTTACGGTCTACAGGGCAAGTGAAGTAGTGTTCACCTGTTTCTGTAGCCTCGGCATATGAAGGGATAGTGTGGTAAGCACTATGCCCAGCCACCTTAACTTACCCTAACATGAGTTAGGTACCCATCAGAGCTAGATGGACTCAGGGACGGTCTAACAATTTTTAACTAGGATTTATGACTAATACATCATTTTTTGCATTATAAAGACAAGATGAATTCATAAGAAATGAAAAATCTGAGAGAAAACATAGCAATTTTTTGTTGTGGCTAGTTGAGTTAATAAGTAAATTTTAATTCAATAGAACAGGCCAATAAATAATTAAAAGTACCAAAAATAACAAACTACGCAAATTTAACAGGAAATGGGTAAATTTCTATACTTGAGATTGGTAAATCTAAGTTGATTGCTGATTGGCTAATTATAAAAAAATGTTTTAAATATTTACCCAATTAATATTAAGTTAAGGAAAAGTAAACTTGCTATTTTGATATTCAACATTTGTACTCAACTAAACATTTTTAAAATACTAGAAACACTAGTTCTAAGAATAGATGAATAGATTTTTCAAGTACCAGGTTGCTTTTAATCATATATAGAGCTCTTCTAAAAACACCAACAGAAATTTTTTTATGTCTGGATTTATCTCTATTGGTGTCGAGACAATGGGACTAAAAATCTTACATTTTCCCATGGTTCTCCTCAAAATGAGCTGGAACACCTGAAAGAGCTTCTGGCTGTGGTGTGCTTATGTTCATTAACTCCCACAACTCATGGCATAGCTCAACTGTAGGACTTTGCAGTTTTTTCTTAGTTAGACTGTTGGAATAAGACAAAGCATTTGAGGTCTAAAAAAACTTCTGATTATTTTTCAATTTCCACCTTTTAAAATTAAACAAACATATCAGACCCCCTTTGTAAGTTAATTTCACTTGACTGGTTACTATAAAATTAAGAACTTATTAAAATAGCTCTTTCATTTACATAAAGTGAAATAGATATAAGATTTCTCAGGAATAAGTTATAAAAAAAAATTTCATTTTTAAAAATAGCAAAAATTTGAAAGCTTATTTTACTCACAATATTCACAATTATCTTTTTCTAGTGCACTTTGACCTTTTACCAGTTTGTATCCAATGAAAACTCACCTCTCTAAAATTGTGTAAACGTTTTTTTCTAGGAGCATTGTCTTGTGTCTCCTGCTTTGAAGTACTATATTCTTCAACACCATCATTAGGTAGTAAAGGCACTAAAAACCAAGGAAAAAAGTTATATAAATTAAAAAGAATTTGTATTGTCTAGTAGTTGCTAACTAAACCAAAATAAACTAAAATCTTCAATGCTTATTTAAAATCTATAAATTTAGACTAAGTTTAGATCATATGAATCCACAGATATAGTAAAAAAAATTGTATTAAAAATTAAATAAAAAAGAGCCCCAAACCTTTTGACAAGATGTATCCTTCAACAATTTAATAGAAATGTTGATGTTGTTTTCTCTCATGAAGTGTTGATGCATGCTAACCAAAACAGATAAAATTATTTATTAGTGATTTTAGGATTGTTACTTTTAATTTTAATAACTCTGACAGGCATAATTAAGAAGAAAAAAATCAGCCAGTTATATACTAACTAGGCATGCTGCCCAGCTTCGCTTAGGCTTTCGAAAACATTGAGAATTTGCATGCTTAATTAATTCGCCCGAGGGTCGGTCTACGACCTCAAGAGTTATGAAGAGGTTCCTCCGTGGACATTTTTTTTCGATTTATAGCTCATATAAGGTACCGGTCAGTCGAGGTCAGTTTTGACCCCCTCATCGTAGACTTTTCGGCCAACCGGCCCCCGTGTTCTGTCGCCCCAAGGCAAGATCCTGCCAAATTTGAAGCGCCTGCGGCGCCGGGAAGTGCCCTATCGGACACCCGATCTAGATTCCTAAAAGAATTTTTTTTTTTAAGTTTAGCCCGAGCATAATAAAAAAGAATACATTAACCAAGTTGACTTGCTGTGTCTCGAACCCGCACCACCTGCGTGGTTTAATGTACACTAACATCTCCGCTATTTAGGCACCTTATAAAATACGGAGAATGAAACACGTATTTTAAAATCTTAACTTACGCGAATATGCCTATTCTTTCAAATTAATTTTTTATCCCAAATTAGCCAGTTCATAACAAAGATTTTGTATAAAATAAATAAGTCTTGAAATAGTTTAGTCCTAATATAGAAATTTATTTTTGGAATTGATTTTAGAGAAGTTAGAGTCTAAATCTAGATCTTAGCGTCTACGTCTAGATCTAGTTATTGCGTAGATTTAGATTTAGATTTAGTCTAGATCTAGAATCTCTAGATCTAGAATCCAAATACATAAAATAAATTTTATGAGTTTAGGCCGGAAAAATTGTATTGTATACATTTCATAGTGTACGTAGATCTAAATCAAATTTGAATGAAATAGTTCATTTCTTTTCATTCTAAACACGGCAGATGACGTCATTAGTTAATGTATAAGCAATAGTGACGTCACAGTTTTATGCGTTCTTTTTCACATATATTAATGCTTTTCCGGTTGCATAAATAATACTGTTTCTCTACATTCGAATACGCCTTTAATTTTTATTTTTCTTCTTTAACTAAAATTGTGGTTATACATTTAAAACATCTAACATATTATTTTCAACAAAAGTCCGTAAAAAGTTCTTCATATATCGCTGCCGATTCTGACGTGATGTCCGGCGAAAATATTTTGCGGACAGACAGAGAGAGAGAGAGAGAGAGAGAGAGAGATGTGCGAACGTGGGGATTTATATATTAGGATTTTCCTAACAATTTAAAAGTGTTAGTCCTACTTTCACTACACCAACAGACCCATATTTATTTCCTAATTATTTTCAATAAAAATTTGACAGGAAGATTATCATTCGCTTAAGAACAAACTCTTTCATTTAGGGTCTTTGCTGTGGAACTTTGAGCGTATCTTGATTATTTTTTATTAGGAAGGTGTGGGGTAACACGCAGACAAAAAGCATTGAAGGGAAACACAAGGGATACAAGTATTCACCAGACCTTAGTTGATGTGGTGACACAAGATTAAGAAATACTTGAGCAATTCACTTTTTAATTTTTCTGTGAAATTTGCCTACTACTTGAAATATGATTTAGTTTACTAAATTTTGACAATATAAAAACTTTACATTTAAAATTAAACTGGTAATAGATAATTCCACTTGGGGGGGCGTTTTTATTAACTTATTCTATACATCGAGTTCTCTAAAATGAGAATTGTATTATGTAGTGACCAGCATTCAACTTTATTTTACCAAACAATATTTTCTTACTTTTTCCTTATGGATAACTCTGCGAGAAACTGTAGCCAAGGTTCTCTCTCTTGGTCATTGTTTGAAGAAGAGAGGCACTTGTGAACGTGAGTCACCATGTCAGCTGTTACAAGTTTTTCACAGAGACTAAACAAACAAACAATATCTCTGTTAATAAATAGTTTTCTTAATATTAACGTTATTAATATTACAAATTTTTTAGATAAAAATCAACATTATAAATATCACACACGATCACTTTATTAGCTCATTAATTAAGATTTTGGGACACAGTGGCCTAGCGGTAGAGAGCTAGACTGCTAACTCAAAAATCTCAAGTTTGAATCTGGGTTCAAGTCAGTATGACATTCCTGAGTCCACCCAGCTCTGATGGGTACCTGGGAAAATAAGGCAGCTGGGCATAGCGCTAACCACACTATTACTTCATATTCTTAGGGCACTGAAACAGATGAACCCTATCTGCCATGTGTCTTGAAATTTATTGTAAATATTTGAGGATGGGGCACAGTAAAATAAAGTCTGTCACGGGTGCCATGCTATACAGTACAGTTTTTTTTTAATTACAGTAGAACTAAAACAATTTTTTATTTGGTTCTGGGCAAAAATATACTGAGAGTTATCTAACTACCAAATTGTCTTACCCCCCTTCATAAGAATGTTCAACCAGATGTGATGTGGCACAACAAAGGCACTTGAGAGTCTGCATAGAGATTTATCAATAGGTTAACCTAACTAAATTCCTAAAGAGCTAAGACATTAATTGAAAAGTTCTACAAAAACAACAAATGCAAAGGGTTATTTATAACATATATATAGAAAGAATTTTATTCCTATTATCTCTTATCTTAATGCCTTATTTGAAATAAATTCTGTTTAACTTTAGAACTATATTGAACAAATTCATATTATATATTATTCAGTCTAACCAGCATTTTGATGCACATATTTTTATTGTTAAAAAAACTGATTAAAAAGAAAAAATTAGGGAAAAAAAAAGAAACAGATTGACATTTTGTTCTTTGCCTCCACCTAATTCTGTACTAAACAATACAGCATGCTCTTCAAACCCAAGCCATTAAATTATTTTTACAAAGTCATTTTTACACATTACTCACCTCTAGTTCAACATTATTATTTAGATGTCTCATTAAAAATGTCTGCAAAGTGAACACCAAAGTTCCTGACTCTGACACTTCATCGCAGAAGCTGAAAGTTTAAGAATTTCTACATCAACAACAGGTAACACATGATCTCAATATGCGCAGGATATAATGAGGTTTAAAGAAAATAAAAGTTCACAGGATGCCTTTGAGCCTCACATGACTAAGTCTGAGAAAGGAAATGTCATGAGACCTATCTCATCCACACTAAGGCCCATCAACATTTGAGTTACTTAAGTTTTAAGAATATAACACTTTTAAATTTTGTTAGTAAGCAACAGGTAAAAAAAAGTTTCTATTTCTAGTGTCATTGAAATTCCCTTTTGGGGTATAAAACAGCAGCCTGACTGCTATAGTCACTGCCCTAATATTATACAGCCCAAACAGCAACCTATTTTTTTGTGTAGCTTACATAGACATTGATGAGCTACAGCTATCAAAATCTTATTTAAACTTATAAACAAGTTTACAGTAAAAATACCCTTATGATCCAACTGCACAGGGTATGACAAAAACCAACCTTACCACTCTACTGCAGAGTTTCAAGAAAGAAAAACCTTACCATTCTACTGTAGAGAGTAAAGAAATTGCCCTTGCAGCTTGATATTGCACAACCGGCTGAGATTCCTGCAGACATTTTAAAAGTTGGATGAAGTGCTAAGTTGTTTTATTTTATTACACACATCAATACAAATATAATTGTAAATGTTTAATTCTTCCATGAGAAGGTTAAATGATAATGCACTGAGTTAATGCAGCCTTATAATGAATTAAACAATAAACTAACATAATTTTCAAAATATATTTGTAAATGTTTAACTCTTCCATGAGAAAGTAATGATAGTGCATTGAGTTAATGCAGCCTGACAATGAATTAAACAACAAACTCACATAAGCTGTGACATCAACCTACCTGCTCTAAACACTGTACAAGCCTGGTTGTCAAGTTCCCATTCAGTGCTATATTACAAACACTAAAAGTAAAAAAACAATTCAAATGAGCCATTAACATTTGAATAGGTGAATTCAGTATAAATTTTACTTTATTTTCTTAAAAAAATAGATGCGACAGTCTAAAAAACATTTAATTGATATAAGATAGGTTCTTTTAGACAATTTGCTCTAGGGGGGGGGGGGCAGTATATGAATGTTTCAAGTATATATTTTTAAATTAAATTGAAGAAACAGTAAAACACAAATCTATATACTCTAGTTGGAGACAATTATATCATTGGCAACAGTGTCTTGAAAGATATCAGTGTGAATGAGCTGAAGAAAATGATGAAAGACTTACAGACGACTGTCCACACAGCACTTTGTCAGACTCTCCAGGACAATACCATGAGCCTCGACATCTTGAATGTACCCTATGATCATCACAACAGGGGGCAGAACATCACGGTCTTTAAGCTCTGTATCCCATCTGAATATTATAAGAATTGCAGATCATTATTTTTTTTATAGATATAATTATTTAAACTGCTACTATATGGTAATGAAACAAATAAATGTAACGAGTCAGTGGAAAATACTGTTATGTTCCACAAAAATAAATGTTTCCTTTCAATGGGATTAATGATATAAATGTGTCTTTATAAAGATAACATTAACTTTTTTAAGTAACTGTAGGTTGGCAGAAATTTTTTCAACATGAATAACAACAGGAATAGATGACTAAGGTAACTGTGAAATAACAGAGACGGTCTAATACAAATTAAGTAGGTAAATGCCTTGTTGATTGTGGCTTATAAAAAGATATAAAAATAAGACATTTAAGTTGCTAAGTTTCATTTCACTCTAATTAAATTTCTTACACTACAATTTTAGTGAATCCATTTCATTTCTAAGATGTTTCTATACCACTATAAATTATGCTACACATGAAGTTTTAAAACATAATAATTACCTTTCTTCCCTTACATTGAGTAAAATTCCCAGTTCATCAGCCAGCAACAGAGATTCATCATGGTCCTTGTTGACAAAATAAAAGCAAACACTTTTAAAACTGTTACATTTTATGTTACAACTTGCAGCACATTGTTTACAGCATTGGGTTTTTAAAAATTGATAGCATTACAAAAGTGTATCATAGTGAGGTTACTTAAGAAGCTATCAGTGTTAGTGATAGAATGTGTGAGGGGGAAAGGTGGGTTGCAGAATTTATGGAACTACTAAAAACCAACGAATCATGTACATGAGATTTATAAAGATTACTAGCATTTTATTGCTTGAACATCATATAACCTAATAAACAATGTACATTTTTAAAACTTGTAATTTGCTGGTGTCTGGTGGCAATATAATCAGCCATACTTAAACCCAATCTCACACACACACTCACCTGAGACCAATACAGGTTAGCACAGAGAAATGTTATTTTATCTACTTTGTTGAAAAAAAGTTGAGACTTCAAAGCAGGTTTGCCAAGCAGCACCTGTAATGGATAAGTAATTAGACTTGATGTTTGCTAGTAACAGGTACAGTGTTCTGTAGCCGGATATACTATACTGAATGGGTTGTTACCCACAGCACAGTTTCATGAATAGTTAACAATTTAAGTTAAGTAAAAAATAATAATTCAAAATTTCATAATTACAATCTATATATATAATTCTCTTCTGGGAGCCGTTAGAAAACAAGCTGCAAGCGCGCCTTACAGTCCCTCTCTTCCTCTCTATCGATACCACCCCCTCCCCCCCACCCCCCCCCCCCCCCCACCTCACATATTCTGGTGAGCTGTGGTCACGCTAAATGTTTTTGTTTACAATCACAGCGTCGGGTTTGGTGACGGCTATTAGGGGCAGATAATTTAGTTTGAAACGATTTTAATTTAAACTTAGGGGAGGTAACTAAGAGGAGGCTGCTTTCACGGGGGGGGGGGGGGGGGAAATGGGGGTTTAGTGTTTTAAAGCAAATATTTTCAGTGGCAGCATTGGAACTGTCGAATTCACAAATTACGAATTACTGAAAAGTAGAAAAAACAACTAAATAGCGGCGTATGATACACCGCGGGTCGGCTCGTAATTTAAAATACGAGTAGCTTCTTGGTATTAATTAAGTACAACAAATTGTTTTAATTTTACAGAAAATTTATACAATTTACATAAGTTAAAAGCTAGTTATACAAAAAAAAAATTTTAAATTTCAAAATTAATTTCTAATGCAAAATACAGGTGCAACTAGAAAATTTTTATGTTCATTAAATATCAACATTTAAAAAATGGAATAGTTTAAAATGTTTTTTGATGTATATGAAGTAAAACTAAAAGAGAGGAGGTTTTTACTTTTAGGTTAGCAGAGTCGTCCACACACTCAGCCAAATGTTTTCTGACAAACTCCTCGGAGAACCGGATGTGACCATTGGCTGTCTCATGTAGGTCTATCACAAGTTTTTGTCCTATGCCGCACACAGGGTTTTTCTTGCCAACAACCTAGGCATTAAAAAAAACTAGTTCAGTGTTGGTTATGATTTAAATATTTTTCTAATGATAAAGAAAGCTTGGCTGCTGTGCTAAACAAGAAAGGTGAAGCATTAAAATATTACAGTGGTTAAACATTTATGTAACATGTTACATTTGCTAGCAATAAACAGCATGGTGACACAACGTAGACCTGCTTTATACAGTAAGAACTAATGTAATTAACAGCTTCTAAAAATTAAATTTAAAAAAAAAATCAAGATAACATTTTTTCTTTATTAAAGTAAATATTTTTCTTTTATGAGGAAAACTTAACAAGTCGTTAGAAAATATGCATTTATAGGATATATTAAACTTGATTAGGATTAAGTTATTTATAATTTAATATCAACAACATTGTACTTTTAATCAAAGCTCTCAGAAACAATTCTAATTTACTGTTCTCTTAAAGTAAAGTTCCCTTTTGAACCCACCAGTCCATAAGCAAGTGAAGTAAAGTTCACCACTTTCTGTGACCTCGGCATATGAAGGGATAGTGTGGTCAGAACTATGCCCAGCTGCCTTTACTTTCCCTACCGTGAGCCAGGTACTTATCAGAGCTGAGTGAACGTTTCAAACTTGAGACTTTTTGAAGTTAGAAGTTATATCATTTGACAGCACCGTCCCACTTAGTCTTCTAGTATCGGATTAATTAGGACTTGTCAGTGTATTTCTCTTGCATACAAGACTATTATTTTTGGACATGGTTAAAACCAAAAAGCCCTCTAAGCACCAAGCGTGAGTTGGCAAGAATAGGCTGTGTGTACAGTGTTTTTCACAACATGTTAGTTGATATGCATCAAGGCTTGCTATTAAGCAGTGTAATGAAAGTATGCATTCTGATAATGTATAAGGCTTATGAAAAATTATGTGGTTAAATGGAGATACGAATGCCATAATTAAAAAAACCCTGATATAAACTTTCAGAGCAATACTTGGACAAAAAGTCTTACGGTCTAATTACGATAATAGTGTAAGTGTAAGGCAATCATACGGTAACCATGTTAATATCATACAACAGTTTTACATGGGCAACACTGAATAAAGCTGACTTGAAAACAAAGCTAACCTTTTATAGGCAGTTATTACAATTTCTCATGTCTAACCTTGGCTTGCTTCCACAAATTATGTTTTTTTTTATCCACAATTAAGATCTACTTTAATTCGTATTAGATTCTCCAAATGTGTAGCTTCAAGTCTGCTGTGTGCTTGCACTTTAATTATGTTCATAATGCCAAAAACCTAATTTTCCATCCACACTTGATGCTTGAAAAGGACAGCAAATGTCAGTTCACTTTGCCAGTGAGCTAAATTGTTCATTGTTTAAAGCAACTCTTGTGATTTCACGTAGTGAATTTACAGAGCCAGATTTGAGTGGTTTTTTTTTTGCTAATCTGACATTTGAAGTCATTGTTGAGTGTTAATTAACTCTTCATTTGTTGTATGTAACATGTCTTTGTACTTGACACACAGTTCATTGATGCCAAACGCTAGGGGCGTGGTTGAGTGTAGCCATTAACAAGACCTGTACAAGTTTGTCACCTACAGTAACCATCTTGAGGTATCAGCTTGGTCAAGGCAGGTGAATGATACTCGCGGTATCTCTATACGCCCCAAAATAAACAAAAAGACTGTCCATTAAACAAAGCAGGCACAACGTAGCTAAATTTAAGTCACTAGCTTTTGCTCATTGTCATTGATATTACGTGCACAGAATCAGAAAATCAGTGTGTTGCATATTTATAAGTACTGTGCGGATGTGCGGCATAGAGGAAACATTGGTTACAGCCCACCCACGTTACTGAAATTTAAAATGTGTGTTTTGCCATTACAGATATTGATTCAACAGTTTAAGTAGGTAACTAATGTTTTAAGAATGTTCATCATAATAACCTTGGCAAATAACTTTTTCTTTTCTTCATCGACGTGGTAGCTGAGGTCACAGATCAGGTTTACAGCATCAACTGTCCAAGCTTTCCCTGTAATAACAAACAAAATTTGCAATTCCCATACAACTTTTATGTACTCTTAAAAGAAAGGTACAGATTAACTAAGCCACTAAAAGCTAAATGAAGAAAGGCATACAGTATTCTACCAAGTTAAACAAAGTTAGAAACAACAGAAATATTTTTTTTAAATTGTTGCAACAGGTCCAGCTACCTTTTGGTTTAATGTAGGCCAGTTCACATTCAATGGCTTGGCATGGGAACAAAGCCAGGTATCGGGGGAGTGGCTGTATATTTTCCCTTGACACAAGTTCTTTGTCACCATAGTCCAGTAAATACACTCTCAGTGCACCATCAGCACATTCAGAAATTATCTTACCTCTGTACCACCTGTGGGGAAAATCAAAACAAATTTAAATGTTATCACTCTGATCAGGGAGGGCAAAGGTCAGGTAAAGTCAAGACAGTACTGACCACACAATCATTTCATATGTTGAGGTCAAAGATCTACTAAATCTACAATACTGACCACACAATCATTTCATATGATGAGGTCAAAACTCTACTAAATCTACAGTACTGACCACACAATCATTTCATATGTTGAGGTCAAAGATCTACTAAATCTACAATACTGACCACACAATCATTTCATATGATGAGGTCAAAACTCTACTAAATCTACAGTACTGACCACACAATCATTTCATATGTTGAGGTCAAAGATCTACTAAATCTACAATACTGACCACACAATCATTTCATATGATGAGGTCAAAACTCTACTAAATCTACAATACTGACCACACAATCATTTCATATGATGAGGTCAAAACTCTACTAAATCTACAATACTGACCACACAATCATTTCATATGATGAGGTCAAAACTCTACTAAATCTACAATACTGACCACACAATCATTTCATATGTTGAGGTCAAAGATCTACTAAATCTACAATACTGACCACACAATCATTTCATATGTTGAGGTCAAAGATCTACTAAATCTACAATACTGACCACACAATCATTTCATATGTTGAGGTCAAAGATCTACTAAATCTACAGTACTGACCACACAATCATTTCATATGATGAGGTCAAAACTCTACTAAATCTACAATACTGACCACACAATCATTTCATATGTTGAGGTCAAAACTCTACTAAATCTACAATACTGACCACACAATCATTTCATATGTTGAGGTCAAAGATCTACTAAATCTACAATACTGACCACACAATCATTTCATATGTTGAGGTCAAAACTCTACTAAATCTACAATACTGACCACACAATCATTTCATATGATGAGGTCAAAGATCTACTAAATCTGCGCTACAGGTCAGATAATGTTAGCAAACAAAAAAATGTACTAAGAAAATGAAGAAGTCACTGGGTTCAAGAAAACGCTTGTGAGTGATGTTTACATTCTAATATCATTATGGTGCTACTGTGTTAATTTAATTGAAGACAGCAGGGAAGTCTTGAGAGATAACAAAGTTAACAGCCAGGGACCAGACAAAATGGAAGGTCTTGGTTGAGACCCTTGCTTCTCAAGGAGAAAAGAGGATAAAGTCAAGTAAGTGTTAATTTAATCAGCACATGTATACTTCTGGGTTATAGACCATAGTTGTGACAACTTAATATATCAGAAAGTGAAAGTTCAATGTATATTTGGGTCAGAGATTATTTAGAATTGAGGTTCTATGTATAGTTTATGTGCACCTATGAGTCTATGTTGTAGAAGACAAATAATAGAAAAGTGTTTATGATAGTGTAGGAAGTAAGTGGAATAGTTGTGATACTTACTTGAAGACTGAGCAAGGAAGACATGACCCAACATAACTTAATAATTAAGAGTAATATCAAAGAAAGATCCTTAATAATTAAGAGCAATATCAAAGAAAGATCCTTAATAATTAAGAGCAATACCAAAGAAAGATCCTTACTTTTGATCTGAAGACTGAGCAAGGCAGACACTACCCACTCCTAACTTTACTGAAGAATCTGCTTTAGTGTTCTGACTTTCTTCATCTTTTTTCTGATCAACCATGGCTGCAGCTATTTTTTCTTCAAGCTCCGCTAGTCTGAAGTACATCAGAACTTAATTTAAAGCCAAAATTAAAAACAACATAACATTGATATAAAACTTAATTACAGATAGGGAATAAAAGTACTTTATTCTTCACTAATGCATTACAGCTGCATTATGCAATTGTGATATTGCTTTGTTTGAAAATTAAATTTTAAAAAAACTTACTGTTCATAATTATCCCATTTGTGAATGTAAAAGAGATCAGGGGAGAAAACTGTGGCAATGTTAACAGCATGCAAATCATTGCTACTGTCTGGTAGAATTTCTTGGGTCATTTCAATCTCACTGTTTTTAGACAAATCAAGGTAAGTCTTAAAATTCATTAAAAGGAACACTTATTACTATAGTAATCGGACACATCCATTACTATTTTATTTCTATCTACTCAGACCTGAGATTTAACCATTCAAGTTTATTTTATTTCTATAATATTTAAAAGCCTACATAAAATTTAAACATTTAGTTTCATAACAGAAAAAAATCATTTATGAGTAAGGGTATGAAGATTCTTTTCTTTAAAATTAGGTCAATTTAAAAGTAATTATTGTCCTACAATAAAGTTTTAATTAACTTCTAACTTACAGACAGTAATCAAAGTATTTCTGCATGATGTTTTCAGGTATCTCTGTCCTTCCACGACATAGCTCATACATAAGCCTTATGTGCTGAATTAAAAAACAGTGACATGCAAATATTACGAGTAAACAAGCATGAACCTCCTCAAAAATTTGTCAAGCAAGAATTAAAATAGCACATGCAATAAATGCTAGCGCTAAAGACACCACTTACATTCACATTCATAAACCAAAAGAATTTCATCTAAAATAAAATGTGTTCGGTTGTTTTTTTATTTTCAAGTTCTAGATACGATTACAAAGGTTATGAACTAAGTTCAAATTATCTATTTTGTTTACGGGAGTATTTATTTGTGTAGTGATTAATAAAATTCAAACATCTATTTTGTTTGATAAAGTTTGTATTTAGGGTTGAATGAAGATGAATAATTTTAAACAATCTATAATTTATGAGCAGATGAAGTGTGTACTTACATCAGAGTTGGGCTTAGCATACTTGTTCTCTAACAGTGAAACATTTTAAACAATCTATAATTTATCAGCAGATGAAGTATGTACTTACATCAGAGTTGGGCTTAGCATACTTGTTCTCTAACAGTGAAACATTTTAAACAATCTATAAAGTATGAGCAGATGAAGTATGTACTTACATCAGAGTTGGGCTTAGCATACTTGTTCTCCAACAGCTCCTGCCTGATGTTGATGTCATTGACAACCCCAATGTTTGGTACAACAACCTGATGAACCAGGGGCATTAACCACACAGTTAGACCCATTCTGTAATTGGAAGAGATTTTTTTTTCAAATTTGCTGAATCAATGCTAAGTTAAGAGTTAAAAAGTATTCCACTTCTGTTTGTATTTTATCAACTCACCTTAGCATTATTCTCCCTACCAGTTCTTTTTCCTTGATAAGTCCATCTACAAAGATGTCAGCCTATGATATTTAATAGTTTATGTTAAACAGATCAAAATCTCCAGTTTATAGGATAATTTTCTAACATTTTTTTGTTTTCTGAATTTGTATTAAAAGTAATAGTTAAACTCTCAATGTTTTAAAATGTAATCAGTCACTGATACGAAAACCTTTGAGAACATTAAAATATGTTGCAGTCTCCCCAATTTCTATCCAGGTATGATATCTCTAGCCAATTTATAATATCAGCACATATATTTCTTTTCTTTTCAAAACAGTAAAAAGCCTCAATTGATCTAAATCAACTAAGATATTTACTCAACTATATTAAAATGACATCTTGATTCTATTGTAGATTGGTATGTTGAGTTTTAAGAAGCCAATATATATATATATATATATATATATATATATATATATATATATATATATATATATATATATATATAATCTCGATTAAAAAAACATTATTCCAAGTGCAGAATATAAATTAATTTGTAAAAAGAATTTGTATTGTAATGTTTTGGTTACATTTTTGTAAACTTCCTATGCCTTTTCTATCAATACTTCGCCTCCCACACCAGTAACAATAATAAAGAAGGTGAAGTCATTCTCCATCCTATAATGGATACAGAATTGTGTCTATACAAAATATTTAACTTGCCTTGTCAGTCCATTCACTGTCATTATCCATTGGCTGAACATTGCATAGGAAAACCTCAACAGCCTGAATACAAATTAAAATGCTGGATTACATCATTACACACATTAAAAAAACTAATGTGCTGTAAAAAAATTATTAAGATTGGGGGGGGGGGGGGTTTATGTCACTGGGTTTTTTGGCCAGTGGGTTTATGGTATGGGGAGTGGGGGGGGGGGGACTTATGGTTTTTTGGCCAGGGCATTTCAGTCATGAGGGGTTTTTGTCCAGAGGGTTTATGTCACTGGTGGTTTTTTGTCGGAAGTATATGTCCGGTGGGGTTTATGATCAGACACCATATTGTGCTGTAAACGCAGTTATATTAACCAAGAACTAGGTTATTAATATAGAAGAGGTTAATGACACCTCTTTTACGCAATCATCTCTCTCATCTCCTAACAGGTAAGTCTTACCTGGTACAGAATTACAGAATGAGAGAAGCAATACTTCCCTTGTTGGATGAAATCCTACATACCTGATAGGGAACATCAGCCAAACTCCTGGGTAACTTAAGCAGTTGATCAATGGTCCCATATTTATAACAGGCACCATCCACCAGCCACACTTTGCATCTCTTGATTGGGTTGTCTCTAGTTCCTTCCAGCACCCTTGTCACTTTAGCTCTGTAATAAAACAATGAAGATATAAGTGAGACGGTATTCTTTTTTAACCTTAGTTCTGAATTGAAGCAATTAGAATTTAAGTGAGACATCTTTTTTGACCTTAGTTCTGAATTGAACCAATTAGAATTTAAGTGAGACATCTTTTTTAACCTTAGTTCTGAATTGAACCAATTAGAAATTAAGTGAGACATCTTTTTTAACCTTAGTTCTGAATTGAACCAATTAGAATTTAAGTGAGACATCTTTTTTAACCTTAGTTCTGAATTGAACCAATTAGAATTTAAGTGAGACATCTTTTTTAACCTTAGTTCTGAATTGAACCAATTAGAATTTAAGTGAGACATCTTTTTTAACCTTAGCTCTGTAGAGAAACAATAAAAATATAAGTGACATGTGTCATTCTTTTTAACCTAAGCCCAGTGGGGGAAATAATGAGAATGTTAATCAGAAATCAATTTTTATAAAGTTTTAAAGCTCTTTGAGGAATTGTATGCTCTATAAATAATGACAGTATTGTGTACAATTTTATCAAAGTTAACACAAAATAGTGTTTTGTTCATGATGATATGATAAAAAAATAAGTTAAAAAAATTTATTTTACCTGTAATAAATATCATTTTCATCCTTGAATGCACACAGACCATCCTTGGCTAACAGAAATATAAGGTTGAAGGGTGGATCAAAATGTGTGATCAAAAGTTGTTTTTAAAGCAAAAAAAAAAAAAAAAATTTAATGGTGAGCTCTAAAATGTGATCAGAACATGCAAGTAGAAAGAACAAAAACAGAACCAAAGAGAAAAATGCCTGGTGACCTACAGGGGTTCTCTTCTCATTGGGTACATAGGGAACATGGTGAGCCCTAAAATGTGATCAGAACATGCAGGTAGAAAAAACAAACACTAAACTAAAGAGAAAAATGCCTGGTGACCTACAGGGGTTCTCACTGGGTACATAAGGAACATGGTGAGCCCTAAAATGTGATCAGAACATGCAGGTAGAAAAAACTAAACCAAAGAGAAAAAATGCCGTGTGACCTACAGGGGTTCTCACTGGGTACATAGGGAACATGGTTGGTTTCCCTGCAGAAGAAGGAGACCATCTGAAGCATCAGACTCTGGTACTCCAGTCTCAGGTCTGTCACAACAAGGTCAGGGTGAGACCTGTGCTCTAGCAAGTGGCAGAAGTAGCGACTGGAATTCTCCACATGAATTACTTTTACCTGGCCATTCAAAAAACAAAAAAATATAGAGTACTTAAAAAACAGATGCTAATTCAAATTACTTCTACCTGGCTTTCAAAAAGCATTCAGCAATAGGGCTGGTAAGTAGGTCACTATGGCTCATGCAGGTTTTATTGAGCCGTAGAACAGTTTGGTGACCTACTTACCAGCCCTATTGGAAGAGTCTAAAAAAATGAATGTGAATTACTTCTACCTGGTCATTCAAAAAACTTTTAGAAATTGGAACAAAAAAAATTCTAAATTAACTCTATCATCTCATTGTAATCAAAATTTAATTTTAAAAATCAGCCAGGCATAGACAAGTTTTTAAATTTCCATAGAATTTTAGCATGGAGTGTTGCTTTAAAAAAATGTGTACAATTTAATAAGGTGAACACAACTCTTGAGGAAAAAAAATTTATAACGATCAATTGCACGGTATTCAATAACAATTATCTTTCAAAGTTTTAAACAAATGTGAAATGAGATTTCAGTCTTCCATGTCATGGGCACTATGGGGAAAACAACTATTCAGGCAAACCATACAAAATATTCCTGGGTTTAAATAGTTGATTCAAATTTGATTTACCTTAATCTCCCCAGAAGCAGGTAATGTATTAATAGTGCTCTCTCCTGTTTTAAAATCTTCATCTTCTATTATCATATGACGATAATTGCATCTGTCCATGTTTCTGAATGAATAATTTAAAATTTTTATTACTTGTATAACATCCACATGCTACATTATATGATTGATAGTATTTCTTCATAACTTATTTTTTAAAAATACATTTCCCTCTAATGTGAATTTATTACATCCCTTTAGTGAAATATATTTGAACAGTATCTTAAAATACATCTAATTAAACTAATTATGATTCTGTACACTCACATACAAACTCCAAATGACTTCAAAAATGGACAGAATTCTTTGCTCCTGTCTGTTTCTAAACTCTTTAAAAAAAAGAAGAAAATAACAGTAATCTGCCCATACCATATGTTAATAAGCCATTTTGGATTAAAATCCACTTATTGAACTATATTAAGGCAAATATTTTATCATCAAATTATCACTTATACAGGAAGTTTTTGTTTACATAATGAGAGATAATTCATTTACTAACCTCTTTTATTCCCCGAAGAAATTGTTCCAACTGCGCAGTGTAGACAGCATCCCTGCTTCTCTCCAGGATTTCATACAAACTTTTGACACGTTCTGCGCATCTGTTGGTGACCAGCACATGTGACACTGGCTGAAGCTCAGGCTGATGATATAGGTAAGATGGTTGTTTTTTTTAGCTCAGATTGTACTGCAGTAAAAATATTGACTTTAAAGTTTTAAAAAAGGTATTACAAACATATTATTTGGATTTTATTAGCTTTTGTATTAACTTTAATTACAATTAACATAATTAGGTATATAGCGTCACAGATATAAAACTTAAGGCAACTAGAAATAAAAGTTTAGGAAACTTTGACAATAACAAGAAATAATAACTAAAATATTTTTCTAAAAACTAGATTTTTTTTTTGAGTTTCCAAATAACAGACTGTCTACATAACATTATGTTGAAACAGTCAAATAATGTTAAAATAATCTAAAGCTTCAAATAAATTCCCCAAAACTGAGGAATGTATATAGAAAATCCTAATTTATGTAGAATATAATGTGTATATAAATCATGTACTAAAAAACATAAGCTATTTCAAGCTATATATGCTCTGATTCAAACTCATTTTCTTACTAAAAATAATAGAGCTCATAATATTAATAAGATTAAGCTGAAATTAATTGTAAGCCCAGGAAAACAATATTTTAAACAGATAAAAGGTGATACATAAGAAAATTGGAAGCTGAGTGCAGATTTGAGGCATCGCTTACTTACTATTTTTCCTGAAGTTCTGTCCAAAAAATAATCAAACATGCAGGCAAGACGGTTTCCAAATTTTGTTTTGGAGTTGGGCAGCCCATAATGAATGACAGTCGTGGCATTGGTAATGGCTAAATCTTGATAGCATTGGTCAGTGCACACTAACAAACAAAATAATGGTTCGAACTATTAGTTCAATAAGACTATCATGTAATAATTTTTTAAAGCTACGCTATAATATAAAGTTTGATAGTATTACTAATGAAATTTTTTTTTTAAGAATATGTCTTAAGGATCTCACCCAGGACTATGAGCTGTTTACTTAGTGAAGAATTAAGCCACTGTGTACGTGTTTCTAAGATTGTATCATGTTCAAGTTCTTCATGTATCAACAGGCAGTACACTCCTCTTGTTTTTGCAGCCTATATGATAAATTATAAATCATTTCCTCATTTTATTTGCATGCCATATTTTGTTTTGTTTTCTTTGTTATTTGAACAGTTTACAGGGAATAAATAATTATCAAGACAAAAGTAATTCTAACAAACATCTTTTACGCTGATTATCTAAGTTTCACTACTAATACTATTTCACCATTAAAAAAAAGCAATGAATGCCTACAGGGTCACTTCAAAGTTACTTCGTGTTGCTATTGCTATTCTAACCCTGTCAAATATCTCTACCATCAGTAAATCCTATTAAAAGGTGTTTAAATGTGCAAACCACAAAGTACACTGACCTTGGACATCTCAACAGCTTCCTTTATATCAGAAGTAAATGCTGCAACCCTCTGTGAGGAGCTGGACAAGGAGTCCAGAATGTTACAGAACGTGGTTAGCCTTTGTTCCCACCTTGATAATGTTACAACCTGGCAAATAATAACAAAAGGCATTTGATTATCAGGCCAGGATTTTTGTAACCAAAAATATCAAGGCGGCATTTACTTGTTTTATCACCATTAATTATATTAATTATATATAACTACAGTCAAAGGCAGCCGATTTAAGTATTTTAATTATGTTTTAAATAGTTCAAAAGTACCCATTCAAAAGAGACTGCCCATTGAGTAAAGTTCATTTGCTTCTCTTGTAAATTCAAAATTTCTAAAATAGTATTCACCATTAAAATCAGTGTTTAAATTGCTTTAAAGACTGATAAAAAAAACCTCAAAATCAGCTGCAGTTGTTTTGCAACTCAAACTTTCATGGAGGGAGTCTTTTGGGATTTAGGAATGAGCACTATGGATTTAGATAAACTTCCAATTACCTGTTTGACATCACCATAAATAGCAGCCTCCACACGAGATGATATAGCCACAATAGGTTCTGTGGTGTACCTGAGACGGAACTCGTCAACACCAGCGCTCCAATGGCTGGCAAAAACCAGGACTTGAGAGGGTAGACTCAGAAGGTCGTCGCGATTTTTTTGAACCACCATGTATCTTTCCATAATACTTTCAATCTGCAGGAAATATAATAGGTTGTAAGATTTTTAAGCTTATTTAAATATATAACGGGGAGAAAGTGAAGGCAAGAAAATAATTCCAGTTGAAGTCATATAATAGAGAAAATGCTTTAAAAATATAAAATATAATGCTGAAAATGTCATTAAAAAATGTACAGAAACACATCTACTTTGCTTGCATTCATAACTGTGGCACATTGATAGTTATCATTTACATACTTTACAAATGCGTTCAATATAATAGCTATAGTTGAATTTAACAGCACGACTGACTGCAAGAGAAAACAGCAAAGGCTACTAAGACATTTTTTTTTCTTTGCAGCCCAACGCCTGTACAGAATCTCTTCCAGGCATCTTTTTGACCCCACCCCCCTCCCCAAAGAAAGTCTACCACCCCCTCCGAACGAACTGAAATTTATATAGAAAACATATACTTTTACTAGTGTCTTCGTCCCCCCGTCAACCCAAGAAAAAAGTCTGTGGACTTTTCATCAGGCTTTTCCTCAATAACATTCTATCACATCATCTAGCTGAATTGAGGGAACTGTTCAGACAAAACAAACTAAGTGGATCACAACCAAATAGTATAGTATGGATAGTTTCCAGGCAGTCTTATAGCCCTCCTCAAGCAAGGGCAACCAGACACTCACACAATTGCTAATGTGTATGCCTAAGAGTATACAAGAGAGTTTTTTAATTTTAGAATTTGTATTTACCTCCTTTGAAAATCTGGTTGACAACAACTCAGCATCATCTAACACCTGAAAATATATCAAAGTTAGGAAAAAAAATTATAGCATTTTTATAAATTTGAAATAAAATAAGCATATAGACTAAAAATGTATGAAAACATCCTGACTGAGTTTATAATTTCATTAAATTATAATAAATTTAGCAAAAAATATTTTAACAGGAGTTATTAAACATTAAGATCTGATTCTGATTAACATAACCGACGATAAAATTTTATTAGCTTCAATACTATTTTCAAATCTCTAGTAGCAGTTATCAAAATGTTTCCTTTCAATGGCATAAACCATAGTATCAACTTACAATATGACAAAGTCTTTTCAGGCTGGTAAAATCTTGATCAAGCATTCTCAATAAGCTGTTAGGTGTAGAAATCAAAATGTCACATCCCCTAATAAGACTCATTTGAATCTGGAAGAGAGGCAAATTCAGAAATTATTTAAGTCTCACAATCAAACTAAGGCCCATATATATGTTTTTCTATACTTTTATAGACTTTAATTCAGTAAATAATATTCATACACAAACTACATAAATAAAGTCAGATGAAGTAGATTTTGATTCTTTAACCACAACATATAAAGGAATGTGGTGAGCACTCGGCCCAGTTGCATTGAGTGCTTGGACTCTGGGTTAACTTAAGCCCAGAAAGTGAAATCATAACAACAATGTCCCATTCTACAAATTTTTTTTAAAATACTGGCTCATTCAGGAAATGAGGTTTTGGATATCAGCCAGCATAAGACTTACGAGCTAGACTCAGAGTTAAATAGGGACTAAAATTGTTTAGAATGATGCAAGTAGCTAGAAACAATCCATATGAGTTTTGATTCATGCCCAAAAAGTACTTTAAAACCCAAGTACATAAAAAAATTTAAAAAAATAAAACACTGAGGTAATATCATGTGCATCCAACATAAAACCCAAGTAAGTAAATCAAAACACAAAATTAAACACACAGTAGGATTATCCTCGGTGCCTCCAGCATAAAGAGCTACAGCACGAATGTGGTCGGCACCAGAGCCAGCAAACCTCTCCACCATTTCACACACATCACGGGCTTTCTTCCAGGTGGGGACCACTACAAGGGCTAGTGGCTGAAAACAAACAAAAAAATTGCTAACACTAACAGTCTCTAAAAGCCAAGAATTCGTATCATATGTGAAACGTAACATTAATTTCCCCTCAAACTCAAAGTATAAAATAAGAAAAAATTTTTAATTAACGTCTCCTCTCTCCTCCACCTAACTTTAAAAACCTGTGTTTCGGTTTATTCCAAAGTATCTATAAATACTATAAACATATTGCAATGCCCACCACAGCTATAAAATAATTTATATTTCATATCGTATCCTTAAACTGTTTGGAACATGATGAAAAGAATGCAATAACTTACACCCTTCCCACTTGGTAATCCAAAGTAAATCAGTTTATCCAAGAGCATGGTAACAATGGCAGGGATGTATGACATGGACTTCCCATGTCCCACAGGGCTTATGCCGACAACGTGGCGACAACTTATCACTGCCGGCCATACAAAAGCTTGTATGCTCCTAGCCGTTAGAATTGCAAAATCTTTTTCTAGCACCTGGAAATTACAACATTTGTTTATCTCCTACAAGATATTTAAAACTATTATCATTCAATTTTCTGTAGTATATAGTATATTTTTTAAACTTGCTTCAATATTATAAATTGAGTTTTATGTTTAATAACACACATTATAATTAATATAACCAAATGCAAATTAATGTGAGCTATCATTTATTGCAAATAAGTTGATCTTATCAGAAGTCTTAAAAGATGTTTTTTAATAGTACAAATCTAATATCTACCGTTTTAACAGACTCATGAAATGGCACTTGAAAGACTTCACATATGAGGGCTGGAATACCTTTTCCATTGATCACTACACCCAAAATTGGCTGTGGAACTGGCTGGTCATTTCGAGTTAACTGACAAGAACAAAAAGACAAATCTGAGATAAAGTTTATAATTTGTTCATAATTACTGAACTCCTAAAATCATGCAACATATTAAAGTTTTATTACACAACATGTGAAGACTTTAATCTTTATTTCCATTTTAAGCAGAGTGGGCTAAATCCATTTAAAGGATTTAAACATTAAGCCCCAGTATGTGTTACATAATAATGATAATTTTTAAAAATGATTTATTATAACCATAACAGCATGTTTTTTAAAACAATATAAATTTTCAATGGACTCCAGTACATCCATCTACTACTCTGCTGACTTAAAAAATTATTGTAATTCATTATCAACATTAAAGCAACTGGCAACAAAGAAATATTGTACAAGACTTTTGATTGCTTGCTACACCTACCACAGGATACTCCAAGACAGAACTTTGGCTCAGACCACTGGATAACCTCAATTTTTCTAAAATTCTGAAAAATGAAACAAAAATTAAAATATTTCAGCACCATTACAAAGATTTAAAGAGTTGTAAATGCTGTTATATTAGAGGGAAGAGGGGTTGGCACAATAGTTTTCATAACTTGATTACATACAAAGAACAGCTACAACTTCAATTAGGAAGACGATTACATGGTTTACAGCTTTGACTAGATCAGGAAACGTATCAAGTCTCAATAATACAAAATATTGATAGGTTACATTCTGGAAAAAAAAATGGGCCATATTGTTTAAAGCTATTAACTTTTGAACTAAAGCTGTAAAGGAAGGTTTTCTACTTCGGACTCTTTACCTGACTAACCCAAGTTTATCTAATGTATTAAACAAAATGTATTAGGGTTAAGTTTTTAACCTTTGGCTTTTATGTTTCCACATAAAGGCATCCCTATCAAATTTAAGCCGTGAAAATTTGTCAGGCTCTTGATCAGTGTTAACAGGTGTCTCCTCTACATATGTGTCTTTTGAGAGTCTGTGAAGTTAAAAAACATTATGTTTTTAAATATTTAATAACTACATTAAACAGAAAAACACAAGCATCAGAAAGTGAATCTGTGAAATAGAATTTTAAGTTTTTGTTTTGATTTGTACATTTCATAATAACTCCACTTCAAAAAATTATATATCTTTATTTAAATAATCTCCTTATAGCTATATCTTTTTTTTATCCACATCTAAAAAAAAAGAACAACATAAAAAAGAAATGACAGACATACCAAAAAATCATTTGTAAAGTTTTGGAAAAAGTCTGGAACAATGAAAACACCCTAGGTGAATGGAAAACTGTTCTAATAGTTTAATTTTTTTTTAAAATGGGAAATTCAGACCTGTGTGTAAAATGGCAAAGCTTCACACTTTAATTTAACTACTCAATAGCAAAATATTTTGCAGGATCATTGTCCAGTGTTACATTGTGCAGGTCGCCAACCAATTTCACCAGGCAGGTATTGAGGTGGAACTCGCAAGGAAAAGGCAAAAGAGGTCAGCCAAGACTGGACCTTGAGGCTAACACCACATACATGGTGCAGGACAGAAAACACTGGAGATCTTTGGTTGACTGCCCATAATACAGCAGGGGTGATGGGCAATGATGATGATGATTCTCCAGAGTTGCAGAGGAAAAAATGCAAAAAGAACAAGCTGGGTTTAGGAAAGGCAAATCATGCATAGACCACATATTTACTTTGAGACATGGAACAGCTCATTATATTTATATGCATTATTTATTCATTGATTTTGAAAAAGCTTTTTAGCATGTGGCATGATTTTTCAGAGAAAACCATCTATGCTATCAAAATTGTATACAAGGGTTCAGATACAGAACTTATATGTGGAAACCATAAGGCTAACTAGTAAATCATTTAGACAAAATAAAACTTTAGACTTACAGGCAGGTTTTCTACAAGGCTAGTCATGCAATAATCCCATTGCTACACCATCATTATGGAACAGAATGGCAATCCCTCCTATACATGACTTTCGTAACATCAAAACTGCGTTCGTGGATAGAAATGTTATGTGGACACTAATGAGCTATTAAGTCAAAAGACGGGGGAGCAGAAAAGACCAAAAAAAAGCAGCATCAATAAAGGTAGATGTGCCTTAAACTCCCTATGCCAGATACAGAATTCCACAGCTCTGTCCCTCCAGATCAAGATAAGAATCTTCAACACAAATGTCAAGGCAGTATTGCTATATACCTAGATGGTTACAAAATCAAACATCATCAGGCTACAAATCTACACCTATGACGTATCCTAAAAATATGCTACCCCATGGGCAAAGCATGAGGCAGCAGCCCATAAACAAGGACATCTAAAAGTGGGGATGGATTGGGAATATACAGAAGAAAATAATGCCATGCAGGCACTAGCATGTTACCCAAAGGAAAATGGGCAGACCAAGAAAATGATGGAAGCAGACTAGAGAAAACATGGGAAGAACAGAAGAGAGCCTTCCAGAACAGTGTCTGTTGAAAAATTAACTGCGGCCCTTTACTACACAGAGGTCTCACATAATTAAGTCAGTCGCTTCTTAACCTCACTGAAAGAGCCCACGGTGCTTGGTATAAAGATATGGTCAAACAATACTTGTTTACTAGCAGCAAAGGTTAATGTTTGTACAACCTACACAGAGGTCTCACATGATTAAGTCAGTCGCTTCTTAATCTCACTGAATGAGCCCACTGTGCTTGGTATCAAGATATGGTCAAACAATATTTGTTTATTAGCAGCAAAGGTTGATGCTGGTACAACCTACCTTGATCTTGCTCTTACACCACCATCGCTCTGTTGGCCTGCAAAATTTTCACTCAAGAAATGAGGGTCTGCTTCTAATCTGTATGGTTAAATTAAAGCTTAGTTATTTCAAAAAATGTACTTCTTAAACATTCGAGTTAGATCCACGTAAACTATTTCTCAGTTCAATTAATGTATACATTTTAAATTAAAACAAAGTAATGAATCATCAACAAAAATTAACAGTAAAGCTTGAAGTAACTTGTAGTACTATCTATATTATGTCACATGATATTAAAACAAAAATCATTCTAATGCAGTGAAATTCACACACGCATACAACAAGACAATTAAGAAAATACATTTTTTAAAAACCAGGAATACATAGAATTTTAATGAGGAATACTTACGAATTTTCCATGTTACTTGATTTTGTTTCTGTGCTTGAACATAAATTGAGATCTTTATTTAATCCCAAAGGTAATCCATCAGAAATATTCACATTTTTATTATTCACTTTAGATTTCCCATCAGAACTTGATGAACTAGAATATGTAGGAGATGTCAATTTTGATCTCTTAGGTCTTGCCCCTTGCCCCCAAGTTGAGGGGTCAGACGCAGATAATGATGGGGAGTTGATCAGTTCAGGAAGACTAGTTAGTGAAGAACTTTCAGATAAGGAGGATCTAGGAGAGTGCTGTAGATTTTTTTCTGTCTCCATCAAGCTTTGTAGCTGCTGTTTTCCTCTTCCTAAACTCACTTTTCTCCCTTGATTCTTAACCCCTGTATTAACTCCCTTCAGTGATGATGGAGATGAGTGGGCACTTGATGAGCCTTTAGACTCCAGGCAAGAAGCTGCTCCCTTTTCATTGGGTAATGAAAAGTGTTGGTTTTTCACTAAATAAGATAGGCGAGACTGACGAGATGGAGAGTCATAATCACTAATACTGCTAGTGCTATCACTATGTTGAATACTGCCATTCTGGTGTAATTGTCTTGAAGGGGTTCTGCTGCCAGTGTCAGCAACGGGTGTTTCACAATAATCAACTATTAAAGGTGGCATCTCACTATCACTACCATCACAGGGTACATGTTTCTCTGTCGTTGATTCGGTGACATCACTGACTAAGGTTTTATGCTTTTCACTATTACCTCGGGCAGAATAGTCAGTAATTAGAGGAGGCATTTCATTTAAAATTGATTGCCTGCCTGGCAAAGAAGAGTTTTCAGCAGCTAGCTGGGGCATATCACTATACTGCCATTCATCAAAAACTGCACCAGTGGAATTTAATGGCTTGATACCTTGTGTATTACATTTATGTAGTGACGTATCTGAATATGAAGACATCTTGTTGGATCTTACATTTTCTTTATGAGAATTAATAGATGAAGTATCTGTGGGAGATAATAAAAGTAATGAGAACTCAGCAAAAGTACACTATATATCAGTCTCTAGCATGTGAAAAAAAAATTTTAAAAAAAAAATAAAAGAAATAACATTTTAAAAATAAATCCAAAACAAAAATATTACATTACAAAATAAATGCACAAAGTAAAGTATTCAAATTCAAACCTGGCGACTTAATCTTAACAGCATAATCCTCTTTCACCAACAAGTCATTAAAACATAATGGCCCATTCTTTGTGTCAAAATACAATAAAACATGCTGAATATTTTCTTTGTCTGTGTGAACAATCTCAGCTCGACAACCAGAGCAATCTGTGATGACACCATTGTAAACAAAGTCATTATAAAATAACTGCAGGCCATATTACAAATTTGCTGTAAAGACAAATTCTATTTATCAATGTGCACTAAATATATGTGATGACAAAATAATATTTAACTGATAACTAAGTTTTAATAAAATTTTTGTTCAAAATAGTATTAAATACAGTAATGTACACAAATAAAATTTCTCTTTGAGCTTGTAAAGGCACCCAAAGTAGTACTTACTGGCAACCATCTCTCTCATCAAATTGATAGATGACTGATCCCACTTGGAGCCTGGCCTGTTAAAGAAAATTACAACAAGTTACTTTTACAAAACTGACAATGCTATCTTAACTAAAATTATTTTAGCCTGCCTAGTGATATACTAAGGTAGTGACTACCTGGCCTGTAAAAGAAAATCATAAGTTACTTTTACAAAACTGACATTGTTATCTTCAATTAAAATACAGCCTGTCTAGTGATATACTAAGGAAGTGACCACTACATATTCAGTGGTTTAATTTTGGAGGAATACGGTTGGAAAGAATTGTGATTTCATAGTTCTATAAAATTATTACAATCAAATGAATTCTAAAGACAAGACACTGGTGGTGGTGGTGGTGGTGGGTAATCTATAAAGGGCACATAACATTTCAGAATGTAAATCAGCTAGACTGGAAAAAGTACTCACTATTAGCTGTAAAACATAAGTAGTTTCCAATATAAAGTTGTAAGTCTAATGCTTACTGCACAATAATTTTAAGATTTCAATACAGGCAGAGGAAAAAACACATTACATTAAATATTAATTAAATGTGAATCAAATATTTAATATTTTTTTACCTCTTTTTTGCATTCAAACCAGTTTCTCCCTCTACAATTTGAAGCGACAAAGGCTGTAGTCCCCATAAACGACATTTATACACTTGTGGTGGAAAGTCTAGAAATTTTTTAGGCAGTTTCATCAGTCTGAAAATTTAAATTTATACCATTTTTTTTAGTAATCTTGTTTAATTTAAAGATCTAAAATTCTAATGTTAGTATTGCAAAATTTAGTATGCTGTACATTTATTTACCATTAATTTCCATCATAATCAGGAAGTGTATTTAACATAACGACCTACCTCTGAGCAGATGTTGTAAATTCTATGCCTTCATCAATCATGTAGCAACTGAAAAGCAAGTTCAAACAATTTTACTTCAAATATAGGTACTATAAATATAGGTATGTATAGTTATAACTTGAATCAGATTGACAAGTTCACACAGCTAGTACTGTCTCTTGATAGAAGAAGAGAGTTTCACTAAAATATTTGTGTAGTAAATTATTATTACCACAGTAACTTTATGAACTGTGATTATCAATCTACCATTGTGTTTTAAAGCTCACTATATGTCATATCAATAGTTCCAAGCAAAATACTACATTACTGTTTCAAAGCCCATGAGAATTTCTCGAATGAGGGAACAGAATCTATATATATAATTCTCTTCTGGGAGACGCTAGAAAACAAGCTGTAAGCGCGCCTAGCTGTCCCCTCCCTTCCTCTGTAGGCATATCTATATTACCCCACCCCCCCCCCATACCCACATGGTCTGGTGAGCTGTGGTTCACGCTATATGTTTACAAGCATAGAGACGGGTTTAGTGACGGCTATTAAGGGCAGATAATTTAGCTCAAATTTTCAGTGGCAGCATTAGTACTGTCGAATTCACAAATTATGAATTACTGAAAAGTAGAAAAAACGACAACTAAATAGCGGCGTATGATACGCCGCCGGTCGGCTCGTGTAAAATAATATCCTGAGATGAAGGAATAAAAAACAAAATATATCAGGGCTGCAAGGGTTAAGAAAAAATCTTACTTGTACAAAAAATTGTGGCCATGTTTAAGTGCTGTGATGGAATTTATTTTCACTCTATGCCAGTTCTGGTCCTTATGTAACGCTGCACAAATTTCATTCTACAAATGTTTAAAACAATCAAGTTTGTAATTCAAACTGTTCCTCAAATAATAAATAAAGATATCTAAATTAAGGTTTATCAAGTCCATGTAAATATATAAAATCTTTAGGCCTACATCATTAGCTAACCAATTAAAAAACAGTAGTTTGATTGGTTCAGTAAATTAAATAATGCACAATTTTAAAGAGAAAAACTCTATTTTTCTGGCATTGAAACACGGAAGTAATTGTAATATATTATTTAAAAACATTAATATCTCAAAAACTATAAAAAAAAATATTCATAAATTTATTGAGTCAGAAGTAATAGAATCAAGTCAAAATGTTTCCAATATCTTTATAAAGTATAGTAAACCTGTAGCGGTCTGTGGCCCACTGCTAAGAGCTCAATCTGCTCTTCAACAAACTGATTCATCGCATGGTGAAACTGTTTGAATTCCTTGGCTAATCTTGATACTGCTGTTTTTTCTTTCATTGAAAAACTTGAAGGATCTTTAACCTGTCAAAAAATTTAGGCAGCAATACTAAATTTATTTTGGAAAATAAACTTCAGGGATGGGAGTATATAATGCTCATACACAAATTGGGATGAATAAAATGCTTTTTAAGTATTGTCATTTACATTATTTAATTAATCTTACCTCCAAAATGGTTACATCAATCTGGTTTTTACACACATCCATTTTCAATATATACCCTGTTTCCTTGCCTTGAAATGTAAGAGGTTATAAAATTATGCAAGTGTTTATTGCTGTCAATGGTAGATAAAACTTTCTTAATTCCTCTAAAAGACTTTCGAGGAAACAAACACTATGATTATTTCCACCCATGGGCTGTGGAGGAAATAATCAGTGCTTATTTCCGCCAATGATCTTTTGAGGAAATAAACACAGTGCTTATATTCCCTAGATGCTGCAAAAGATGCTCATTTCATTAATTAAGTTCATTTCTTTATCCTTGCTCTGATAAAAATCATTATATTCTTAGACTAACCCTAGCCCTAATTTAGATATATGTTAAAGAATTATTTTACTAATGCAATTTGCACTAGTAACAAAATCCAGTAAAAACCAATATAGGAACCAATCAGATACACAGACACAAGCAGTTGGTCAGAGATAGTCCAGTTGGTTGGTCAAGCATTTAGGAGAAAGTTGAGTCTGGATCAAGAATTATATAGGATTGTTAAGATTGTTAGATTGTTAAGTAGTAGAAACTAAGAAAGTGATATCTGGACAGTTAGATCGAAATAATGTGTAGGATTAGTAGATGACAGTAGAGTTAGGATTAGGAGTTAATTGATTTGTTTGTGCAGACAATCAACTTGGAGATTATTAAACATTAAATTCATAAATTGTGTCAGTCATTGTGCTTTTAACTGGAGGAATTCTACAGGCCTTAAACTAAAAAGTGAAGGACTTGACTCCCATACAAGTTAATGTTAAAGTTACATTCAAAAGCTATACACTATACCAGAGTTTCTTCCAGGCATCTCTTCGGGGGGGGGGGGGGGGGGGGGGCGAAGCTCCCCGAAAATTTTTTACCGCCCCCCCCCCCCCCGAACGAAATGAAATTTATATAATTTATATAGAAAATATATACTTTTAACAGTGTCCGCCCCACCCCACCCCCCCCCCCCCCGAAGAAAGTTTACCGCCCCCCCCCCCCCCCCCCCAAAGCTTTCAAGTTCTCCCCCCCCCCCCCCCCCCCCGGAGAAAAAAGTCTGGAAGAAACACTGCACTATACTGATACACTATACAGCACTATATACACAGTTCTGTACGTTAAAGTCAAGTTTTACAATACACTTCGATACAGGTACAGGGTTATCTAATATCAAGATTCTAGAAATCTAGATCTAGAATACATCTTGATTGAATCTAGATCTAGACCTAGGGGCCTAGATCTAGATCTATTAGATCTAGAATCTAGATCTATTTATTATTATTTTATTTATTAGTTTAGTTAGTATTTCCTAGTTCTAGAATTCTAGATCTAGATCTAGATCTAGTCTTGATTCTAGATCTAAATAATTATTAATTACTAGATCTAGATTAGATCTAGTCTAATCTAGAATCTAATCTAGATTTAGATATTCTAGATTCTAGAGTAAATTAGTAAATTAAATAAATTACTTAGAAAAAGCTGGAGGAAATTTAAAAATAGATTAGCAACAGATGAGTTGAGATGAGTGACAGAAAGAAAAGCATGGGACATGGGAGTACACTGTAAAATGTAAATGAAATATGAAGTTGATGAAGACGAAGAAGAAAAAGAAAGAGGTTTTTTCATCTAAATCTAGATTCTAGATTTAAAGTCAGTGTACACTGTACAATACAGTGAGTACAAAGTACAATCAATAGTTCTACCGATGAGCGCCTTGTTTCACTTTTACATTCACTTTCGAAGAAGTAGAAACGCGCTTTCCCTACACAGCATAGAATTTCCGGAAAACATGCCAGTTTGGAAAACTGTGTAGACCTAAACTAGCCTAGCATAATTACGAAGAAATTATTTTTCCAATATTAAATGTGTCTCCTCCACCCCCCCCCCCCCCCCCCTCCCTCTCTAGATCTATATTATACAGTTATTCAAGCTGGTAAAAAAACCAAACCCCTCCTCATTTGTTTAACAGTCACTATCAAGAAAAGGTTTTTATTGCTGTAGAAAGCAGTTAAATTAGTGAGTAAAGCCATGTACGGTTACTTTCTTAACTTTGACTGTGTATACGCCCTACCGTGGGTACGCCACTGTACGCCACGGTACGCCACTGCTTCATCTGCCCCGTGTATCGTGGCCGTCTTGGGTAAGAATGGGAAAAGATGTTGATACTTCTCTGTTGAAACTTAGATCTAGAACATTTATTAAAGGAAAAGTATTGTTCATTTAAAAAAAAGAACGTATGCCACGCCATTAATGAATTATGAACCCTCCACCGCACCCCCCAACCCCCCCCCCCCCACACACACACACACTACGCTTATGCAGAACAAACAACGACACGGGAATCCAGTGGAGTTCCACCAAAAGGCTGGAGGATCTCGACGTTGCTGATGGCATATGCCTACTACCTCACAAACAACAGCACGCCCAAATTAAACTGAATCGACTATCTGAAGAAGCTTTCACCGTTGGATTAAAAACCAATAGAAATAAAACAGAGGTCATCAGAATCAATAACAACCAGGACCTGTCCATACAGCTAAAATGAGAAGATATACGAGAATCAAACAAATTCACGTATCTGGGGAATGTGGTCAACAAGGAAAGGGAACAGACGAGGACACACCCAAATAGACAAGGTCAGATGTGCCTTCAGCTTACTGCGCCCCACACGAAAGTGCACAGCTTTGTCACCTCAGAACAAGATACAAATCTTCAATGCAAATGTTAAGGCAATTGCTTTATGGGATTGGAGACAGCTGAAGGGTTACCAAGCCAAATCGAGACAGGCTAAAGTCGTTCACAAACAGATGTTTGCGATAGATCCTCAAAATAAGATGGCCAGACAAAATGTTAAATAATAAAGGCCTGTGGCAGAACACAAAACAACCGTCAATAGATAAGTAACCAGTGTTTCTTCCAGGCATCTCTTCGGAGAAAAAGTCTGGAAGAAACACTGTAAGTTAGGATACCACAAAACCCGTAAATGGGGATGGATCGGACATTTCCTGAGAAGGGAAGAAGATAATATTACAAGGAAAGCCATGGGCTGGAACCCCCTGGGGAGGAGCAAAGAAATCATGACCTAAGATATCACGGAGAAGAACGGTAGAAGAGGCGTAGTCCGCTGGGCTCACGTGGGCGCAGATAAGCAGTGTTTCTTCCAGACTTTTTCTCGGGGGGGGGGGGGGGCACTTGAAATTTTCGGAGGGGGGGCAGACAAACAGCGGACGCTGTTTATATATTCTCTATATAAATTCCATTTCGTTCATAAGGGGGGGGGGGGGGGGAGTGCGGTAGACTTTCTCCGGGGGAGGGGGGGGGGGGGGGCTGGGCTCTGCCTGGAAGAGATGCCTGGAAGAAACTCTGCAGATAAGGAGAGCTTGCCCAGAGTCCGATGGAAAGGCGTGCTTACAGCTTTTTTGCTCCACAGGGGCCACAAAGGAATAAGTCAGTCAAGTCATCCCTTTTACAACCCTATAACTGTAAACTTTTTTTTTAATATTATAGAAATGAAAATACTTTAAACTACTTTAAATACTTTAAACACGCTCACTTCCTTTTGTAAATTCCTCCAAACTACGGATGCGGCCCGCGAGGTCATTTTATCCGGCCCGCGACGATCTTTTTGTCCACTGAATAAATGTTTGTTGGAGGTGCCTGGGGAGCTTTGCACAGAAAATTCAAAACAATTTTAAAATGTAGCTTTGGGTGCAAATACAATTACTCGCCGTGTTAATTGCAGGTATTGGTGAAAACATTGTGACTCAAATGGCGAAAAATTCAAGCAAGTTTTGCCATTTTTCAATTGCAATGGATGAGTCGCTGGGCAGCTGTTCAACTTCTTGTGTTCATTAGAGGTGTGGATGAAGACCTGAACATAACACACGAGCTGGCTTACTTACATAGAATGTATGACACTGTTGCCGAAGAGGATATCTAACCATTTATAGTTCAGAGACAAACACAAAATCGCAAGATTGACCATATTTCACATCAATAAGATTGCTAATTTTGCGAGAAAATTCTGAGAATCAGTGAGAAGAGTATCTAAGAAAAGAAATAGGTGACTTCCTGATAGTAAAGGCAAGTCACAGCCATTATTGTCTGATGAAGAGTGGGTATAGAAATTGGCCTCTGCTGCAGACATAACTAGTCATTTAAATTTTCTAAATATAAAGATGTAGACAATGCAAAAATATCTAATTCTTTAATCTAATTAGACATTAGCTTAGTCAATTCAATAACAAAAGTGGAGTTATCACAATTACGTAGGCCTTCTAGTGTTCGCCATAGTTTCTTCTAGACATCTCTTTCCCCGCCCCGAACGAGATGGAATTTATATAGTAAACATACACTTTTACTGGTGTACGCTTTATCATCTAGCCGACGGCGATTGACAATAAAAGAATAATTTAGAATTTTTTCTTGGGGGGGGGGGGGGCACCAGTAGCGTAGCGAGGGGGGGGGTACATATGTCCTCGGGCGCCGACCTTAGGGGGCGCCAAAATGGGTTGGAAAAATAAATTGAAATTGAGGGGGGGTACAAATTGAAAGTTTGGGGGGTGTGCAAATCGAAATCTTGAGGGGGGGGGGTGCAAATCGCAAAGTTTGTCCCCGGGCGCCGGGAAGGGTCGCTACGCCTCTGGGGGGCACTTGAAACTTTCGCTGGAGGGGGGGGGGGGGAGATGGAACTGGTTAACGTATCTATTTTCTAGATCATCATCGTCATTTCCCGTTCGTGCCCAAGACACATGCAGAGTTTCTTCCAGGCATCTCTTCGGGGGGGGCGAAGCCCCCCCCGAAAAATTTTTACCGCCCCCCCGAACGAAAAGAAATTTATATAATTTATATAGAAAATATATACTTTTAACAGTGTCCGCCCCCCCGAAGAAAGTTTACCGCCCCCCGAAAATCTTAAGTGCCCCCCCGGAGAAAAAAGTCTGGAAGAAACACTGGACACATATGGAGCAGATGAAAGAGAGATCTCGGCATATGAAGGGATGTTGTGGTCAGCACTATACCCGGTCGCTATTGTTGTCCTAAAGTAAGTTAGGAAACCCATTAGAGCTGGGTGGACTCAGAGACGTTTCACTAATTCGAACCCGGATTAGAACTAAGAGACTCTCGGGTTAACAGTCAGCAATAAAATAAAGTGTTATAAGTTACCTCACAAGTTAAAGACAGTTAATACTATGGACGTTTCGATCCAATGTATTCGTTAGCAGTCTAGCTATCTTCCGCCAGGCCACCAGAGTTTCTTCCAGTCACCTCTTCGGGGGGGGGGGGGGAGCTTCTTTGCCTCCCCCCCCCCCGAAAAAAATGAAATTTATATCATTTATATAGAAAATATATACTTTTAACAGTGTCCGCCCCCCCCACCCCCGAGGAAAGTCTACCGCCCCCCCCCCGAAAATTTCAAGTGCCCCCCCCCCCCCCCCCCCGGAGAAAAAGGTCTGTAAGAAACACTGTAGGCCACGCGTTCAGGTTTTGTCCCTCCCACCCGAAGAAATGCCTCAAAGAAACTGGTTAAGGCTGGTTGGCTTTTTTGCCTAAGTAGGGACATATGTTTTTAGAGATCGCTAATGCTAGGCCTAGATCTAATCTATATAGATCTACTGGTCAGGTTTTAAAGCAAACATTTTTAAGGGTATGAGGTGACTTCGTCAAGATCGAATTACCAAACTGTATAAAATAAAACAAATATAGTCTAGATCTAGAATCTATAATTCTTTTTACTTAAAGCTTTTTAAAGCACTGACTTTTTTAAAAGTACTGGATCTAGATCTTAAACAATCTTCCTTTTTTTTAAAAATATCAATAAAAATCATGAAATAGCATAGGCTACATGATACTAACATGATGTCTTATCATGATGTCATTGATGATGTTAGATTGTAGGGCCTATAGTTACATATTTTAGCGATCAACGCTTGTATTGGAAACGAGTTTGTTTTCTTTTTATTTAAATTCTCAATGCATTCAAAAGTTTATTATTAATTATAAATATTTTAGTCTAGGCCTAGATCTATATTTTGCTTTATTTTATTATGCCAAGTTCGTAAACTCTGTCAAGGGTACTGCTTCAGGCAAAGGCTATACAAAAAGTAGAATCTATGCACAAAAGAGCCACACGAAGAAACGGACGTAACGTAACGACACGAGTTGTTCGTAGGCAGTGGGTATGTGAAATGTAACGTTGAATGTTTACATTTCTTTAGATCTAGAATCTAGATCTAAGTAAAAAAAAAGTTAAGAATTAGATCTAGATCTAGATGTTAGATCTAGACTCTAGAGTAGTATTTTAGATCTAGATATTTGTAGAAATAATTAGAACTAGACTACTCAGTCAAGCGGAGTAGTGCCTAGTTGCTAGTTCTCAGATCTAGATCTAGATCTAGAGATATCTAGAATCTAGGACAATCTAGGATCTATTCTAGATCTAGATCTAGATCTAGTAGGCCTAACTAGTAGTAGAATCTAGATTCTAGACTCTAGTAGCTAGCTTCTAGATCTAGACTCTAGAACTAGACTACTAGTCTAGTAGTAGCTAGAGTTCTAGATGAGATTCGATGTGCTGTTACTTGTTACTGTTAGAGAGTCATAGGCTACTCATACTAAATCGCCCGCGACTTGTGTTGTGAAAAGCAGGTGACTCCTTAAATTTTAATAATTATTTCACATTTTGAGGAGGATTTATGTTTTTTAAAATACTAAAATGTTTCCTTGTTTCATTTATGTATGTAGGCCTACCTGTTTTTAAACAATTGAATAAAAACTTTTCACTAATAAATGAAGACTAGCGATGTTTCCACCAGATGCAACCATACTCATTTACTATAGCAGCCATCTTGTTTAAGTTTTATTTTTATAAACTTAAGCGCGAGATTCAGGGAGAAACCTCTCTATTTTACAAATGGCTGCTGTTCATATAGCAAATCTTGCTCGCAGACACTGCTGTTTAAAGTTAATTTCTGGCCTATATCGATATATTTAGCCATTGATTTAGGTTTATTATTCATTTATCTATAATATTTGTCACAAACGTATCACAATATACTACTATTATTAAAGCCTTGACAATGAGGTAACGTTTTCGTACATTAATAGCCGCGGGCGATTTTACGTACCCAAAACGATAGATTACCTATTTTTTTTATCCTACCGAATTTGGCACCCCGTTGTTAGGTTAGGGTCTGCACCCAGGGTTCCCCCCCCTCCCTACACCTCTGGATCTAGATTCTAGATCATAGAGATCTTGACTAGATCTAGAATCTCTAGATCCTGATGATTAATGATTAGGATACCAATGTCCTTTAATTTAATGAATACTTTATTTAAGTGTCATAGGGACCATATCATTATTTTGTATTTTCACTTGAGTTGACCCTTTGTTTCCCTGGTAGAATGAACCCCCCCTTATTTAATATTTATTTTAATAACATCACGCCGATTTTAAAAATGGTAATCTATAATTTAAGGTCCGTTAATGTACTTTAAGTTATTTTTAAGTACATTTAAATTGATACGTTGCATTAAAAATTCAGTGCTGACTTCTTTTGCTTCCCCAACGGCTCAGTTAAGTAAGGCACTTTTTAACTGAAATTGTGCAAAACATAAAATTTATGTTTTTTTTCTCATTTTGTAATTCTGTCCACTAGTCTGACTTGTCGGTCTTAAAATGATAGTGTAAAGAGAGAGCCGACTCAGATTATATACAACCATGACTGCCAAGAAAGCAGGAACTCATCTCTCTAAAAATGTTCTTCAGATGAAGGTAAAATAGTTTCTATTTTTAACATAACCTGCACATCTTAATTAAAATAATATAGCACAAAGAGTAACATTTTTAAAATCAAAACTAAAAACACAGAATAAAAGCAACTACTATAAGATCTGTATACTTTTTTTTTTACTGCTTTCATATTATTTTACATTGCTTTTAATGGTGGGTGAAATTGTATCCCTTTCAGTTCATGCAAAGAAGTGTCCTTAGGATAGAAAAAGAACAAAATGAAGAGGAACAACAGAAAGTCATTGATGATGAACATTGGGTACTAGATATACCAGATTACAAAACTAAAGAGTAATGTAACATTTATAACCATTTTGTTCAACCACTCACACTGGTTTTATGCTGTGTTTAATATAGCCCAACCTGGCACTATTTGTCTTTTGTTTTGAAAAGCAGAAAAATTAATACATGTTTTATTTGGTTCATTTATCATTATCAATAATTCTTGTCAAATTAATATATCTTGTCATCAATGTTCCCTCTAAGGGAAAAAAGTGAGTGTGCAACATGTAATTTCTGTGTTCTATAAGTCTTATACAAGGATATAAGTATTTTACAAAATCACTGTGCGGCAGCTCAAAACTACTGCACAACCGCACAGCTTAAAGGGAACACTGCTTGTCATGAATAATTATGGACATGACAGAATTCTATCAGAGGTTATAAATTCTGGGCTTTCAAGTCTTTATTTTCTGTTCAGTTGAACTTTAGTTCCATCTCTAGGATAATTTAAAACTAATATTTAAAAGTTTTAGAGACTAGCCCAGATCAGAGATGCCTGGAACTCTCGCTGGCAGTCTATGTCCCAGGAGCTTATAAAAGCTTAAAAAGTTGAGATTGCACAGTGTTTTACTTATCAATTTAAACAGTAACAGTTATATAATTGTATGCTATGTTTACTTCTCTTTAAATACAATCTGTATTCTATTGTAAAATCACAGTAAAACTAAAACAACAAATTTCATTTACTTTTAGGTCATTATTTCTACAAAATCAAAGCTATGTTGTTTGTGAAGGGCTACGTTTTGGTCGACAGTCTTATCAGGGATTTAATCCTGAAATAGAGGTAAGATTAAACAATGCTTTAAGAATCGGAATGTGCAGTTTAAGAAACATAAAATCATCTTGGGTGTGTGCATATCTATTAAAATGAACAGAGCTCATAGTCAAATTTACAAATGAGCTTTTAATTTGAGGTTGTTTTTTTTTTTATTTCTCTAGAAAATAATGCGACTACAAAATGCTGAAGAAGAGGCAAAGAGGTCAGAAGAGATAGAAAAACAAAACAGTGTCAGTGACCAAGAAATGGTCAATAGGTGAGTTTCTTTAGACATGCACACAAATTGAGCAGTGTACAGTGTCTCTAATTGCTTATAAGCCTACTCTAGACATGACTTCAGTGAGGGGAATGAAATGCATTTTTAAACTTTTATATTATTTGGGGGAGGGGGGGGCTTGTCTTAAATTATGACTCAACATGTAATAATGTTTTTACTGCAAACACCTTTGTTAATTTTTAAAATACAGTAATATCTTGTGTGTATGACTTTACAGTGTGTTTATCAAGTTTAAATATCCTCAGGTATTCATCACTAATGGGTGTTATAGCCAAGAAATTTGCCAAGAAACGCAACAGAAATGATGTGGCTGAAAATGACGAGAGCGGAGAGCCCAGGTCCAAGAAAACTTTCATGAAACCATCAGATGATTGAGTGTGCTTGGAGTTTCATGTGGCATCACCAGCAGATTAGAAGATGAATGCAATTTTCAAATTGTCACGCACCACATCTTGTAAAATATTATTAATGGGCTTAAATGACATGAGTGCATCACAATAAAATTGTAACATTCTCACTTTGTCCTTAATTTTTTGTAAACTATTGTGTAATTTAACCTATAGCAGTGGGCCCAATTCTAGATTAGCTTAAGTTAATTTGTGGGATGTTCACTGAAACAGATATTAAGTGATAAAACACTAAATATTTCCTATATTTGTGAAGTGATACTGCCCTCGAAGATGTTGATAGTGTTTAAACTGGAGTTTGATAAGTTTAAGAAACTCTTTTTTGGGACAAATGCTAATTTCAGAAAACTAAATTTGTTAATGAATGTACTGTACTAGTTACATTACAAAACAAATCATTTTTCTTATTTAATCTTTATTTCCCACACTAAAAAATTCTGTTTTATAAAATCTATTGTACATTACTTTCAAATAAGTGCTACATTTATGGGAGCTTTTATTTTTGCTGATATTACAAACACAAAAAGGTTAACTTTATAAAAGAATAAACTCTTCTGTCTTCATCTATTTTTTGGCATTATGTACCAGGGGTTGTCCAAAAATGACATCACACTTTTAAAAATATTTTATCTTACTCATCATCATAGATTGTCATACTTCAGCATTTTAAATGGAACTGTATGGTTGAATGGTATTGGTAGATGCTAACCCAAAAGTCTCCTGTTAGAATCTGGGTCAAGTCTGTAAACCCCCCCCCCCCCCCCCACCGAGTCCACCCAGATCTGATGGGTATCAGACTCAAAATAGGGAAAATATAAGGCAGCTGGGCATTGCTGACCACACTACACCCTTCACTTGCCCCATAGACTCATTCTCAAGTTTGAAAGGAAGCTTAACTTTTTGCTTATTAAACCTTTTGAAACAAACATTTCTTTTGCATTAACGATTGTTATTGATCTGCAAATTAATGGTGAATGCTGCTTTAGAAATATTGCTGTTTAAAACCAGACTGAAGAGTTGTCATTTTTTTGGTATAAAATATACATAACCATATCCTCCTTTCCCTCTGTGTATGCATCTCTATCTCTCAAGAAACAAAACGCGCTGTGAGTGAGACACCATAAAATAGCATGGAGTCAATAAATTTACTTAACTTTAAGGCGAATAAAACCCACTCGTGACTAATTGTGGTGAATTTGTTCTTGTTTTTATCTCTCCATGCAATCCTGTGACTAAAAATATAAGGGGATTTGTAGATGTAGACCACCCCCCAGAGAAAAAAAGTCTGTAAGAAACACGGGGGGGGGGGGGGGGGGGGGGCGGGGTGTTTGGCTGCGGGAGGTAATAATGGGGGGGGGGGGGGGGGGAGGATAACTGGGCATAATTAACAGGTTGTTGATATACACCTACCAAAAGGTTCTTATTCCCCCCCCCCCCCCCCCCCCATCATTGCCCATAAGTCACAAAATTCATCTCACCCCTCCCCAAAACTGTAATGTTACTACTTATGAATTGCGCACTTAACACCCGTTGAAATTTACCATAGCTCTAGTCTTTTAAGACACATCACCTATGGCCGACTGACTTAAAAAATCTAAAAACATATGCAAAATGTGTAGGCCTAAATTAATTTTAACACTGCTAATACTAATAGTTTATTTGGCCTACTTTTAATCCAGCACAAACTCCAATCTACCCTAAGCTATTACTTACACGCACTCAATCTTAAACTGTAAACTCAACTGAACTTAAATTATACAAGGCTTGTACTTGTAAAAAAATGTAAATAATTGCTAATACTAAATCTAGACTAGTACTAGTAACATCGCAGAGAAGAAATAACGGTGATAACTTTTGCTATTATACACTGACCTAGTTCTGTTTCTAAAAATAAAATACTTTCTTGAAATTCGCGCCCGTTTACTGCTTTATAAAGCCACAGGCCCTATAAAAAAAGTATCTGAACTGTCCTGCTTTGCTTTATTGACAGCTATCGATGGTTCTTAAAAACATTTTCAAGCTTACGTCGGTGTATGAAGTGCGGAAAAAAAAAAGATAAGTTATAGAAGAGAAACAGAAACAAGTGAGATAGTAAAAGCAATCAGGAAGAGTAAAATTTGGTTATATTACGTCTCGAAAGACAAAATCATCTGGTAAAGTGGGTGGTCCTAAAAAGGACCTGGTTTAGGTGAAACAAAAAGAAAAAGCTTTATGCTTTCTTTGCTGCTGGTGCCTTCTTTGCTGCCTTGGGCTTTTTGGCAGCTGCGGGCTTCTTAGCAACTTTAGGCTTAGCTGCAGCTGGTTTCTTGGGGCTCTTTGGCTTCTTAGGCTTGGCAGCGGCAGCCTTCTTGGGAGTCTTAGGCTTCTTGGGTGCAGCTGGTTTCTTAGCCTTCTTTGGTGATTTAGTGGCGGCTTTCTTTGCAGCAGCAGGCTTCTTGGGCTTGGCAACCTTCTTGGCAGGAGATTTGGGCTTCTTGGCTGCTACTTTCTTAGCCTTAGGCTTCTTTTCAACAGCTTTCTTCTCTCCAAGACGGAATGAGCCTGCAGCACCGGTGCCTTTGGATTGTTTTAGGCCACCGGCTTTAACGCCAGCCTTGAGTGCGGCCTTGAGACGAGCGTTGACTGCAGTTGGGTTGTTTCCAACTTTGTAGTTGGCTATGATGTATTTAAGGATGGCCTGACGAGATGAGCCACCGCGTTCTTTCAAAGCAGTGATGGCAGCAGCAACCATGATCTTGTATTGTGGATGAGCAGAGGGTGCCTTTGGCTTGGCAGCTGCGGCTTTCTTCTTGGGTGCCTTGGCTGGGGTGGCAGCGGGAGCTGGAGCGGCAACATCGGCGTCAGACATGATTTAAAGTTGAAATAAGCGAGCGTTGAAAACGAGCGGAGGAGGTGTGTATCGCACAAGCGAGAGAATTCGAGTGAATGATCTGAGCTGACGACGGCCTGGTTTATATAGCGCCGCGCGGACATATCGGACAGCACCTACGTCACAGGCTCGCTCGGTTAGACTCTCGTTCCGTCTGTTCCGCTCGAAATGGCCGTTTTGTGCTATATGACATATTTGTAAATTAAAAAACTTTTGAACAGAACTGAGACAAAATATCGCTTTTAAACCATAATATACGGCCTTTCATAAACTTTCTTTTGATATATAATAATTATTAAGTTATTGTAGAAAACATTTTAAAAACACTTGTTAAGTCGCTGATCGTTCGACTGAGATGTAACGATGATATGCTAAGAAATTTAAAATAAATGCTTTTAACGTAATAAAATATTGATATTCATGCTTCAACTTCTCGAAAACTTCATTTTGTTTAAATATATAAGTCTTCTGTAATTTTCAAAGCAGTTTTTCATGCTTTAAAAAATATTTTTATCCGTCGACATAGCACACTTGGTACAAATTGAACCCCTCATTATCCAACTTTGATTTCAAGTCTTTAATCAACAAACACTTTGTAAATAGATATTTTTAGTTATAAATAATCTTTTATTTTCACAGAACATAGTAAACTAAAAGTTATAATTTTTTTTACGTGAATTAACTTTATATCTTCGTAAAATAACTTGTAAACATGACAAGTGAAATCGCCATTTTCGTCTCGAATTCCAATGACCTCAGTTTGGTGGTAGCTAACTATTTTTCCTTTCCCTTCAATATTACCCAAACATTTTTGTCTATAAAACATTTAAAACATGTGTAAAACACTTTAAAATACATTTCAAACAACCAAATGGGAGTATTTAGTTAGATTATTTAGTTTTTAAAGCTAAATTTCAAGCCCTTATATTCGACTAACATAGCAAGAATGCCGCCATTTTTAAGTTTCCTTCTTGAACAATATCTAGATCTAGAACCTAGAATACATTGTACATCCCAAATATAATTTATTTAGATCTAGTTAAAACGGAACGTCTAAGACATTTAATTAAAATGGCATATCATAAGCTTAAAATTATCACCAAGGACAGCAAATAAGCTTTTATTAAATACAAGTATTTTTTAAAACGCACTTAAGCTACGACTGCGTAATTCAACAAGAAATTTTGTCGATGCCTTTGTTGATCTGTTTTTTACGTCTCATAAGTTCGCGTCTTAACAGTTAAACTAGATAATATGCCCACCATTTAGAATATTTAGAAATATAATCTAGATATAGATCATTAATTATTATTATGACATCAAGAAAAAATTGTGCGAAAGCTTAATAAAAATTATAATAAAAGGCCACACCAAATATAAATAAAAATAGGCCTACTCTGGCTAATGTAATTTTAAATGTGGTATACCAGTCAGTTAACTTTAATAAAATAAAATCTCCTTTGTATAATCCTTCTACGTTTACATTGCATGAAATAAATCTACAAACTATTGTGACTAATTAGTGTATTAAATATTTGTTACTGTTGTATTAAAATCGTTCCAAAAAAGTGTATTTAAAAAAAAAATAAGTTGAGTACAAAAATTTCAAAATGTAGACCTAGATCTAAATGAGTATATTGTTTATTTTTTATCCTTATATTTGGTTTAATTAAAGACTTTTAAAAATTTAAATAAACTAAACTTATATTACATAAATTCTCTTCACAACAAACACAACATGAAACCCACTTAATAACATTTCCTATATCACTGGTATTATAATTTTCACTCAAGGGGAAAAGTTATTGACAACAATGAGAGTGAACTCAACTTATCACAAAGGATGAAAAACTATCCTAACCCAATTCTTAAATCATTTCTGTATGATAAATATAATATAAGCATCTGACCAAGGGTTCTAGGATAATTCAAGAGACGATATAGTGTCGTCAGAACATCACAGCCCTATTTAAATAAATATTTTGTGTAGGGTTCTTGCAATTGTTTTCATAAATACAGCTTGAGGATTGTTCTGTTCTCATCTAGATCTGGATAGGCATAATGCTAGGGCAAGAGAGCAAATATCTGATTTTTAAGTAAAAAAAAATTCTTTAATCACCATCTGCCTTATTCAGTTGATTCATGTTTAAATAAATGATAGCAAACTACATTTTAAAAATATATTCTGGTAGAAGTGAAAGAAGAAATCCTAAATAAATAATGGGACTCACTAAATAT